TGAGATATTCTCATGTTATGATAATAGGAAGAATTATTTAATGCCAATAAGCAAAGCCTCCTGTTGCCATAAAAAAAATATATATCATTACTCAGAAAGGTAGAGCAGATTGCTAATACATTACTTTTTATTTTTTGTTTTGTGTTTGCTTTCCTTGGATATTTTTGCTTTCCATTATTTAAAAGAGCAAAATTCTTTCTTACATGTGACAATAAAATAGCAGAATTCTTTCTTACATTTGACAATAGAGTTAATTGTAAAGATAAAAATCCTAGCTTACTCATGCAGAAAATATACACAGTGCAATTTCTAAATTATTTAAATATATTTACCATTTTTTGACAGCAAATGCTGTGATTTCTTTAAATATTTTTATTTTTATTGATTTTATAAAGAAGAATTATTTATATAATAGATTTAATGGCATAGATAAAAGTTCTAGATTATTCTTGCAAAAAATATAACCAATACAATTATAAAAATTATTTATTGCTCTCATTTTTTGACAGTGTGTGTAGTATATATATATATATATATATATATATATATTGTTTATGTGTGTGTGCATGCATACATGCAAATATAAAGTTGTATATATGGATATCAAACATCTATTTTATGCTGTCAAATTTAAATATAAAGGAGCTAATCAAGAAAGTCATGTATATCTGATTTAAGCCAATCATCTCTTCTATTGATAGTATTTGTCCTATTTTACCTTAAGTACTCTACTTGTCTTGTTTTCTATCTTGTAATGGTAATATTAACTGTTTCCTTATAAGGAAATATTCAGCATTCATTGACCGAGCTGCTGCTGTCAGTTGAAATTTATAAAATCTTTCTCTTAAAACAATTTTTCAGGAAATTAAATTTTTCAAGTCCTGTAGCTGTTATCACTTTTTCCAATGCTGATGGAGATTTCCTTCATAACCTTTTGTTTGAAGTAGTATGGAATGTCAACATCTTAATTACATCATTATTTTCTCTTTGATTTACATGTGATATCCATTTTAGTATAGTTCTTTATGATTCTGTAGCACCAGTCCACAATGTTCAAACCAAGATCCACAGGCTTCACTCTCTCTATGCCAATTTTTAACCATTTATCTTAGAATACAGCTGACAGTTTAGATATTTATGAATGAGTTTGGTACCAAGCATGACATCCATATAAAAATCTCAATCTGACAAGACTATTTAAGAACATGACTCAAGTTATCAGGTTGATTTTTTGATTTTGTAGCAATTTGCAGTGTTGGGTGAAACTACACAAGGTCAGATTTTATTATTTAAGTCAATATTTTCACAATATATTTACAATAATTTATTTGGTAATATTTGACTTTATAACATAACTTAAAGGTTGTTCATCATTTGTAAATAAATATGTATAATATAGTTATTTATTTTCATTTTTTTAAATTTCAGTTATTTAAAGATTGCCATCAGTTGTAAGAAATATATAACCTCAAAAGAGAAACCAGGTATTATAAAGTTATCAAGTGATGGAAAGACAAGAATGTAGAACAGACATCATGGAACAAAAAGAAATTAGAAGCACTGGCAGCATAAAAAATATACCTTTAAGAATATTGTAAAAAGAGATTTAGGAAAAATTAGAAAAAGTAATAAACAAGTAAAGATGATGATGATGTTAATGAGTGCAAATAGAAAATAGGAGAAGATTAAGAACATTGGCTAAAGGCATGAAAGTACCTTAACTACTACCTTTAAGTAAACATAGCAAAGAGAGATGCGTAAGTTGTGTGAAGAAGTACATGAAAATTCATTTTTTAACAGTAATTTTTAGTGATGAATATAGAGCTACATTGCATGGATCTGATAGCTGAGCTATAGGTTGTGCCCTTCATGAAGATAAGCAACAGGGAGGAGGTGGAGTAATGTTTGGAACTTGTATTTTAGGCAGTAAAATTCAAATTCAAAGTTGATGATGATGCCAAGATAAATGTAGAGAATTAAGTTCTTGGACAAGAATTGGTTTCAGTGGTACAGAACACAACTAAGATGTTTTGAGCTGAAGAGTATATTCCTGCAGAACAATGAACCTTCAAACCCTGTAAAGACATCTTTGCCAAAAATAGTTTTCAAAGACATCAAATTAATGGAATTGCTCCTATTCTCTCCAGTTATTTAATAAGAAATTTATAGTTTATATTTAAAAGAAATGTGTGGGAGAATGATAACAATATTCAAGTAATGAAGATCTATTGGAAGCCATAAAAACTGCTGCAAGTAATATTAAAGCCAAAAGTTAAAAAAGTTAAAATCAGTGAATGAATAACTAGTGATGGTAATGTCAAAGAGCCTATATTAATATGTAAAATAATGAAATAATAATAGTTATTATAAGGGATATTGTGTTTCTATGGCCTGCCTATTTGGGATTTATTTATAAATGACAATTTATGTTGCACGTAGTTTGTTTGCATAATAAAATCTGACACACCCAAAACAAAGTATTTTTAATAAGGATATATACAATTTGAAACTCACATGATATTAATGATTAATACCAATTTTATCATGAAGGTATGGAGTTGCATAATAAAATCTAACATTCTGCATACAGATATTAGATTTAAGTGCATATCATCAAGAATCAAGTCTTTCAAATCTTTGGCTTTAGATGGTGTCACTAGTGCTGACCATATTAGTAAGAACTCTATTGTCAATTGTTCTATTTGTATGTCATATATTGCTGTCACAGAGAAAGCTTCATAGTAGAGAGATATTTTGATTAAATGAATAATGCCTTACATCCACATTCTATTTTGTATATCAAATTCTCTATACCTTTCTATTACTAGATATTTTAGACATTTCTGGATCTCTGATTTTTTTCATGTTGAATATTTAGCAGTTTACTGCATTTGTAGACACAGTTGAGGAAAATTGTATCTTCATTACCAGTTCGATGACAGCTTGCCTGGTGTAGATTTTATGTACATTATATTGATAAAGATAACAGTCCTGTGGTTAAGTTAATTTTGTAAATGAAGTAATTTTAAACAACAATTATTGATATTCCTTTGAAATTTCTATAAATATATATATATATACATTTTTGTTTATATAAATAGATTTTATTATATCTGAATAGCATTTGCATTATATTATTGAAATTATAATTTATTTCTTTAACTGTAGTTCATTTAGACTTAAACTCTAAGTATTACTCTTGTCTTTACTTAACTTTAAGTTCAGTCTGAACATTTATGATTCACTTCTATGTTCTACATGTAAAATGCTAAAAACAAAAAAAGTTAAATAAAATTGTTAGTAATTCTTTAACAGTTTTATTAACCATCATTAAAAGAATTATCCTTAGAAAAATATACATCATTTAAAAATTTTCATGAAAATATTATTTCCATTTTGTTGAAATTAAGAAATCTTTTGTTGCTATTGCATAGTTATGTCTCTTTAAAGTGTGTTGAAATAAAAGGACATAAAAAATAACTTTTTAAATCATTGTATTTCATTTTGTCCAGCCTACTTGATTGATAAAAACTTACATCTATTTGAGAAATTTAAAATTTATAACTACAAATGATAATAATTAAAAATGTGTTTTCTTTAATAATTGTACAATATACTGTTTTTTATACAACATCAGAAAAGGCTGTGGAAGTGAATACAGACAGAAAATCCAGAGCAAAACACCAAAGGTGGTTGACTGTCAACACTGACAAATTTTCAGCAACACCTGCAGCCAAGTTGGCCCCAAATGTAATGGCTAAGATGAGGAGCATGTGGTCTCAGTAGCACATGGCCTTCATATACCATCACATAGGCCTGTGCCCTGCAGAGGTGATTCCAATTTCACTAGCAAAAGGACTGAATTTTGATCAAACAGAGCACTAAATTTATCATTTGAGATAAAGATAAGTTTGCCTATTGTCTGGTTCACACTCCTCTCCTGTTTTTTGAACAAGAATAGAGATTTATCTCTTGTTTTCTATTCATGATTGGGTTTCCAGTTCCATCTAAGGCCTTCTCATTCTCTCCCAGTATCCCCTTGCATCCTAATGGCATTATTGCCTTGCTTGGGGTGAATTGATTAAAAAAACAAAAAAAAAACAGATATCTACTATATAACATCTGAAAATATATATGACATAATTATATCACAGATTTTCTAAGTACATTAACAAATTTTTTTGCCACAAAACTTTTGTATAAAAATTTTTTCATGGGTTTTGTGGTTAAAGTTAAATATTTTATTGCCATATAAGTATAAATGTTTAAATGCCATTAAAAGAAGATTTCTGATAATGCTTTTGTCTTTTGTTTAATCTTACACTTAAATGATAAAGAAAAAAAAGGCAGATAGTTAAGCAGTCCTTTGATTAATAAATTTAATTTTCAAATATAGATATCTTAAAAAAAAACACTTAGGTTTCTAAATCTTTAACCATTGGGACCAAGTTGAGCCTCTTGCTGTGAAATATTTACTTTAAGGAGTTTAGAAAAAGGTATATTTTAAAAGCAAAGGGTAGAGTGAATAGAAAAATGATTGGGACAACCATTTTTTAACTTATTTTTCTCACAATATTTCTCATTCTCTCTTTTCTCTCTTCAAATACAGTATCCTATAGTGGCAAAATGTGTCTTGTTTTACCTCCAGGGAAACTCAGGGAAATATTTTAGTCTCAACCAAGCCACATGATTCATCACACACATGCACACTATAACTAATCACATAAATACATATTTCTCTCTTTTTCTGAGCTATGCTGTTCTGTATGCATGAAATTGACTTATTTTGAAAATGTCCAGACATTCAACCAAATCTATTACAGATGGTTTACCTTGATGCAATTAGAACATTGCTTGTCTATGGAATGGATTAAGTGAAGGTAAAAATGAAAGATGAGTTTTCAGACAGAAATCATTTGCACATCATATAATGTTTGATTTTAAAAAAGTGAAAATTGAAATTGTTGTTTAATTGTTTTTTGTTCTTTTGTTTTTTTCAGGATCAGTTGATCTCTTAGAAGCAGTTAATATTCAAGGCAATACTGGAAAGTCTCAGGGCATTATTGCAGATGTGGGCTTTTGTCCACACCGACCACAATCAAAAGATCCACTAAGTGAAGGAGTACCGGATATAGCATACTTTTTTGGCAGTGATGCTACATTACTTAGCGTTAAAGCAGAAGAAGTCTTTAAGGGTAAGTGGATTAAGATCTTTCTCTTTCTTTTTCACAGCTTTGATAATTAATATTCACTAATCTCATGATGAGACAAGGTTAAAATCTGTGCTAATTAGTATTTGATTCTTTGGTTTTATTTTTACTTGTATGTCTTTGTGTTCTACTATGCTGAACTCATTTTTGGATATAAGTATGATTAAAACATGAAAGTATTCAGTCAATATTGCCATTATATTTATAGTGTACCAATAGTGATTTGGCTCAAGGCTGTCAGTATACTGCATACAGTAAGGGCTGAACTTACTACTCAGTCATAACATAACAGTCATATAGCAAGATAAACTTACTAAGCATTGCACCCTGTTGAAGGTCCTAAGTATGGATCACACATTGAGGATCAAACTCCCTATTTACTTATAATTAATCCAGTAAGACAAGTTTGCTAACCATTACATCATGTTGAACTACACATAGTAATGGCTATAGTAATTTACTAAGCATAGTATAGATGCCGTATAGTTCCACAAGTATAGAACACCAAGTGAGGATTGAACTCACTACTCAGTTGTAAATTATCTAGGAAGACAAACTTGCTAACCATTACACCACAATAAAGTGCATTTTGGATTGGCCAATGACAAGACATGTTAAAAAACAACCTTGTGCTACATCCTACCATTATGGGTAAGGTAGGTAGTGTGGCTATATTATCCATAACAGTAACTTCTACATTGATACATGTTAGAATCTTTAAATTTATTTCATTTGCAAAAAACTTACTGAAAGCCATAATCAAGGCCAGTCATTTGGCCGAACAGACATTTGGCTGACAGACATTTTACTGAAAAAGTACAAGTAAAACTATTAACAAGCAATACTTTGCGTATTTTAATTAACAGTATTATAAGGTAGAATAGGACTAATAATTACCACTGAATTTCAAGTGATTAAATTACTAAATCTAAATTTAATGTTAAAAGTTTTCTTATTTCAATATTTGTTTATTAGTATTTTTTTAAATATTTGAGTGTATTTGGGTAAAAAGTAGCACCTACTTATTTAAATTCATATTTAACAGTAAGATAAAAGCTAGTTCATCTCTTTAATATAATGATCATTAAAAGCAAAATTGAAAAATCCGTCATATCATAAAAGCTTAAAATTTTTGCTGTGGTAAAATGCGCTTTTTCTCAAGATACTTATCATCTTATAGTAATATTTGAAGTAAAATATAATATATACAGAATAGATTTAAAAAAAAAAAAAAGCCTGTCAAAAAATGAAAAATTATAAATTAATACAGTAAATAAATATATGTAACACATTACTATAAAGAGTGTGACATACATGTAAGTACGCCATTACATTTTCAACTAAATATCCATTTGGCAAAATGTACATCTGCCAAATTTCCAAGTAGTGCCAAAATACCATTTTGTTTAATGTTCAAACTGTATATTCTACAGGATCAAGTAGTATTTTTGAATTAGCATATTTCTCTTGTTATTAGAACTATGTGATTAAAAAGAAATGTGCTATGATAACCTTTATATAGTCTGTTTTGAATTATCTCTCATGATTATTGATATTTATTCACCTTAGTTTAGTACAACATAATGCCACAAATGTGTATCACCTAGTGAGGATCAAATTCACTATAGTAGTAATGATCTGGTGAGACTACCTTGCTAACTATTGTTCTATAGTGAAGTGCTTCTCAGCATATGTTTATTATAGCACACAACAATATTAAATAGTGGCAAGTGGAATATTTTATTAGTTGCAATGATATTTTTTAATAATCATATGATGCACACTTTTTTTTGTCTTGATTCTTCTGTTCTTTGATTGGAGATAATTAGCATTAATTCACTTATTACCCAATCCGTCATGGGTCCTGTAACCCTTTAGGGTTGTAGGGTCACCACATGTATTGCAGCTGTAATAGTAGGCTGATATTGAATTCAAAGATTTCTTTCTCCAAGGCTGGTTGCCATCCAAGGCTATAAAAACCCAGTCTATCCTGCTATTTAACCCATAGCTGGAGGGAGAACAGATGAATTCATACCTTTCCTAAGTATATTTGCACATAAGTGAATGTAATGAACTCAACTGGAATTAAAACTTGGATCTTCAAGTTCTCATTCTGAGGTGTTATCCATTACAGCACCGTGCATCAAAAATCTATAAGCATTACAAAAAGATTCAAATATATGGAATTAATGTTTAGTTGTTGATCTTTGTGATCATTATTTTAAGAAAAATAATTCAACTGCTGACCTTTGACATCTAAAGATGCTTCAAAAGCAGACATGTCCAACTGGGACATTAAAAGTTACAAAGACAAAATCATAGATTAAAATAACAGGATTTGAAGTGTGAAAAATTAAAGTTAGTTCTACTGTTTATTCTCTATAATATATTGGCATTTACTTTTTTTTTCAGGAGGTTTTCCAGTAAACTTTTCTATTCTTGCAACTTTCAAAGCTGAAGCTGGAGTTTCTGCTAATTTATTCACAATGTATCACAATGAAGATGCACGAGAGCAACTTTCTCTGAAAGTTGGTAATGAAATCAAACTTCTTTATAGTGACTCAGAAAAATATCCAGAACCTGAATTCTATCCATCCTTGAAAATCAATTTGACTGATGGCGAGTGAGTACACAAATTTCTTTCTTTTCTGAACCAATTTCATAAGGTAAAAATGTTTCATAGATTGTTTAATTATATTAATAATACAATAATTGTTTTACATATTGATACTAACTTTATTGATGTGCAGGTATTGTTAGTGCCTCAAAACAAGAAATCAAAAAGCTGAGTTCAGATTCTGATCAATTTTGTTACATTCACTTTCACACAAATATTCTGAGGAAAGATATGAATCCATCTCTTCTCTTCCCAGTTATTGATTAAATAGCAGGCTAGACTGAGCTCTCTAGCCATGGCTGGCAACTAGTCTAGGACAAGGACTACTCTGAATTCATAACTCAGACAGTTGAAGTTGTACAAAAATGGTTAGACATGGAGTGCAGATGCTATGTCTGTAAATCAGAAACATGATGGCATTTAACATCTATGGATGATCCAAGCAGACGGTTATTATCAAGAAAGTTATTGACACCAATATGTATTGAGCTGAAGTAAGATGGATGGATGGATGAATTATTTTTAGTCTTTTATACTAAAACATTTAAATAAATTTGCTTGTCGCATTCATATGAGAAATCTTTACTTCTTATATATTATAAGTTGCTTGAATAATGTTAAAGTTTATTTTATTTGTTAATCAAATAAGTGAGTTTTTATTGCAATTTGTAAGGTTTATTAGCTTAAAAGATCCTAACTAAAATGAATAGCATATTTACAATATCAGAAAAGATAGAGTGACTTATCGGTTCAGTGACTAAAAAATACACTCAAAATCTAAATCCATATTCTTGGACCATATTTAAGATCACTGATTTATTTAGCATGAAATATAATTCCTTTTCTTATATATTGTTTTATTTGTGTTGGTTTCAATCTGTAGGAATGACTGCAAAACACTTTTCTCTCCCCTTTTATAGGCAGAAGCACACAAATGCATGCTGGGAGTTTTTCTCCTCGCCAATAAAATAGTCCATTTATGGTTTCATCTGACTCAATACCGATCTGTCATGTCTTGAAGTCAGAACGCTACATTCACTTGTCCAAACTTGCTTTTGTGTGTCAACACCAATTCTTAGTTTGTGAACTTTTTGCCATATTCCTGTTGATTTGTCATACATTTATTGTTTGCTTACTTTATATTATATTTTGCCCTGTTCTTTTCTTATTCATGTTATTGCTTATTGCCAACTTTGTCAATTCTGCTTGTTAGACAGTTCTGTTATTTGGCCATAGCTACTTCACAATTTGACATTAACATTTCTATATTCTACAATCCTTCTTATCATTATTCCTGTTATGTCTCTTCAACTCATGGCGGAACATGACTCTAAAACTTTCTCTCCTTTGTAGCTCTTAATAATATGTCCTGTAGGTCAAATTTTCTAAGCACTCTTTCCTCATTATGTGTCCCAAAAATTCAATTGTCTCTTTCTGATTCTAAGTGTAAACATCCTTAAAACTCCTTGCTCACATGTTCAATCCATTGTATTCTCAGCATCCTTCTGTAGAACCACATTTCTGTTAACTCATTTCTTTTACATCTGCCCAGCATTCATTACCATATAGGAGGACTAATATAACATTACAGTTCAGTATTCTTTTCTTTATTTCTAACAAGATTCTCCTGTTTCTAAATGCTTAGCTTTTGAAAGGCACCTTTCACTATTGTATTGCGCCTTCTGATTTTGCTGTCACATTTTCCATCCCCTGTTAAAATAATTCCCATATATTTAATTTTTTATACTTGATTGATTTTGGTGTTTCCAATTTGTAGTTTGCATCTTGGATTCCTCCTTTTGCTGACAACCATACATTCTGTCTTCTTACAAGTGATGGTTTGTCCTTTCTTCTTGCTTTCCTTTATGATCTTGTTTAGGAGTTCCTATATTATTAATATTATTATTAGGATATATCAAAATTATTTTTATTTTCCTTCACACCTTTACTCTAAATCTTTTTTCATGAAGACATCTAAAAAACACTCTATGACGCTATCTTCTTCATCTATGATTTACTGTTTTTAGATTTCTCTTCATTCTTACCCAAGCTTTGAAATTCAGCTGTTGAACAAAACCTTTTAATTATCAAATTTACATTATCTATACATTGGATAATTAGTAAATAGTGTAATTTATTAATTATGCAAAACTCATGACTATAATCCTTACAGAATTGAAATATAATATTGCATTTTGTGTATTAGCTTCCTTAATCATATGCATGATTTTTTCTTTTGTTTAGAGATTAAAGATTTTATTTGGCTTTAATTTTATATATTATTTCCTATACCTTTAAATCAGATAATCTCAAGTATATTTTTGTGCTCACTCAGGTTTGGTTATCATTGACATTCATGATCATCACCAGCCCCATGAATGGATGTGATTGTAAGGTCACTGCATTGCTGGGCACCTGACCAGATTCCTCCAGATGTTTCAGTAGTGTGTCAATGAGTTTCTGTGAATGATCTTCTAGATTACTCAATGATGTTGGCAGCCCATTTTTCTTTCTGATTGCCTTATTAACATTAGAAGTCCATAAATGTACATATCAATGGATCATAATCAGAAATTCAATGTCTTCTTCTGTTGGCCTTCTCTAAATAGATGTATATATTTCCAGACTGATGGAATTAATATTTATTTCAGTAGTTTGAAGTTTTTTTTCAGCTTCACCTGACTACAGTTTTAGCAGTAAAGAAATGTAAATGTTCCAGAATTTCTTTGAAAAGAGCAATTTATACAAGAACTTTGTATTTAATCAAAGAATTGTTTGATACTATCCAGACAGCATTGTTAGTTAAAATATCAAGTGACTTTGAGCAGGGTGATTGAATTATACTGCTTTAACTTATATTTAAAAAAAACTAATATAATATTCTATTCAGTTTGTGCTGTAAAGTGTTTTTTTTTAACTTGTGCTTGCTCTTGATTTTTTCATTAATCTTTGATTTGTATCTAAGAGTGAAAATAAAATGTCTGAATCTTAATTACTTTACTAATTGGAAAATCAACTGGAATTTTAAACTTTGATAAGCTTACAATAGAAACATAGATATGATTGCCATTATTAATTTCTTTATTTATGTATGTATTTTAACTGTCGACTCCACTGTGGAGTATAGATCCAGAGCCTATGTTAGGTGTTGCTGCTGTGGATTCCATAGCAAGTATAATTTTACGGGTTGGAGATGCTAGCCCTATGCCCAAACAATTTTGAATTCAGAGTTGTCTTTGCCCTAGACTGGTTTTCAATCAAACAAAAGATCCCTGACTGCCCTGCTATTAACTTGTAGTTGGTGGAAAGAAGAGATGGATTTGTACCTTTTCTAAGTGTATTTGCTTGAAAGCAAATGTAATGGCCTCAGATGAAACTTGAACACAACAGTCTCACTTTCTATATTGATAGCTGCTACACTATACACACATATCCGTAGTAACTAATATCTTATTCTTATCATAGAATGTTAGGATGAATTTATTCATCTTTCCAAATAACTGTACAAGAAATCTTTACTTTAAAATGAAGACTTTTTACATGTTACAAGTTATTGTATATGTACATACATTATATATATATTGTTAATATTTCGATCTCTCATGTGGTACGATGTCATAGAACCACATCATGAATTACAAACTTTGTCTACTATTCTGCAACCGTTATCATCACATAGCAATCTTCTATGTCGACATAACAGAATATCATATTTGATGGTAAATATCTTTGTTTAAATGTCCATATAACTACTCTGAAGTTGGCTCATGTGAGCCGAAAGCTAAGATCAAGGACCAGCTTAATAAAAATATTCAAATGTTGGACAATTTTTGTCTTTATTTTCACCCAAAATTAAAGCAATTATACAAAGTTTAGAACACCTCATGATCAAACATAATACACATTCATTGTCTGTTATATATAACAATGTATGTTTAAATATATATATATATATATATATATATATATATATATATATACACACACACACACATTTATATATAAGACAAAAGGAAACTTTTTTTATACCAACACATTTTGTTTCTTGAGAAACTTTATCAAGGTAAATATTCCTTAAGGAATGAAATGTTATTTTTTCTTTAATTAACTCATTCCAAGCAAGGCAACACAGCCACAAGGGGTAACTAAGTGTGAAAGAAAAAAGGAAACATTATTAAGGAGTAAGAACAATGAAAGAACAGAAATTAAGACAAGATAACAATTGACATTGCATTTAAATTTTTAAAAATAAAAGTTAACTGGAAGGCAAGAAGCCAGAAGAGAATCCACGAGTGAGATGTGTGAGAAAAGAAACTGTTAGCATAGAACATAGTTACATCTGTTGTTGGTATAAAAAAGTTTTTCTTTTTGTCTTTTATTTATATTGTCTTTACAGATATATTTTATTTATATCTGAATTTTTAAGAATATCTCCTTACAAAAACAAAAAGTGTTTTTCTTCTGGAGACACTCTTCATTTTTCCTTTTACATTTACATATATTTTTAATACAGACATTTCATTTTTCCTCTTGTAGATGGCATCGTATTGGATTTAGTGTGAAAGGGAATGCTGTGACATTCATTTTTGATTGTCAGCAGGACAAAACATTCAACCTTCCAAGGAAATCTAATCTTGACCACCATGGTCTCATTGTCATTGGAAACCAACTGTTAGAAAATGAATACTACAGGGTATGTAATTTAACATTTATTAATTCATTTTACCATTCATTGTTACAAATAATAATTTTTAAATCTTTAAGGAGAATTAATTAATAAAATCTTTGAGGAATTATAATCAGAGTAGAAAATATCTAGAAATTATTTAGTGAAAAGATTTTTTTAGTGTTGACTCTTAGTGAATTGGTATGCTGAATTGTACAAATAATGCAAAATAAATTAGTAAGTCAGTTTAGAAAATACAAATTGGTATTGAAACAATCTAGGACTGTATGTTCTGTGACTTTACTGTTAAACAGAAATGTGTACACAGTTAATTGGTATCCAGCCTACTGTGTTAATTTGTTAATAAGTTTCATGCTACTTACTTGTGTTCAATTATTATGTGAAGTTTTGTAACATTGTGTTGGAACAGCTCTGAAATCTTTACAATTGCTGAAACATTTGAGTAACATGCCTGCATTAAATTTTGTGTGAAGTTTGGCAAATTTGCAACAATGATTCTCAAGATGTTTTTCAGATATAGATAATAATTGACTCTTGACATGAAGAGGTTAAGATGGTAGGGTTCAGGAAAGCATCCACATGAGAGTCTATACCACAAAGTACTAGTTCTTGGGAAAAAGCTGTCTGAGTAGAACTTTCTCCTTACATTTGGAATACAAAAGAAACGAGGATGATTCAACTCTGTAAATGTGGAATGGCATGTCCTATCTCTAAAGGTCTGAACTGGTAAAACTAAAGAATGGAGCTCATCTAACCATTTTCCTAGTTTGCAATGTTACAAGCAGAAAGAAAAGGTTATTTATACACATAAATTTGGAAGTGTAATTGTGAAAGGGGGTTGTGTAAAAAGAATTAGACAAAAAAGCAAAATGAGGTCAAAGTTGGGGTTTATAGTCAAACTGTAGACATTTTTCACCCCACAATTTCTGTTAATTTAAAAGTTATTTTTGAAAGCATAATATTGATATTTATGGATTCTATTGAATCTTCCTTTGTGTTTTTTGTGCAACTATCTTTTTAATAAGAATTGTAATTGCTTTGTTTTCTATTTCAGGGAGCCATTCAAGACCTTCTTATTGTCAATGACTCAGCTGCTGCCTATGACCACTGTAATTATTACTGTCCTAACTGTGATGTACCTTTTGCCAGGAAGGACATGGGATTAGTGACTGATATTGAAGCAGCAGGTGCCAATACTGCTGAGTCTAATATTATTATGGTAAGGACACAGAATTTTACAAATTTTCTTAAAATTGTATGATTGCTTTATTAAAGTATAATCTGAATTTGTTCCTTATATTCAAAATGATTTAAAACCAAAATGATGATAATTATGAATTAAAAAATTATGAATTTGTATGAATTGCTTTATTAAAAAACAATAAAAGTAACTTTTATTAATCAAAGTACCAAAAAAATATTAATAAATATTTACAAGATAAAACTTTATCAATATTTTGATGAGAAGTGCATTTTTCACTTATTAATATTTTTGTGCTTTGCAGATTACTGATGAAGATGGTTCAGGAAGCATCTCTGTTGAAACTGAATATCCACTCCAATATGTAAGTTTATGAAAAATGATGATTGAACAGGGCATTTTTAAAATTTGCTTTTGAACAAAAAATATACAAAATATATAAATATATGCCCAACGCTAGTCATGTTCTTTAAAGGCAATATTCAACCAATCATTATATTAAATAATTGTCCACAGTTTACCTTATATTTTATAAGGTGTGAAAAAGAAAATTTACTATATTTAACTGTATATTAGATACACTCCCATTTTAATAGGGCATATTCAAGAATTTTTTTTTTACTCTATTTAATTATGTAATGCTAAAAGCAAGCCATCAGTACATTAAAAAACTGTAGTGAAAGAGATAATCAGTTACCCCGAAAAAAGTTTGTGTTTTGTGTGCGATCTGCCAAAGAAAAATTACCAAAAAGTAGCCAGCAAAAATCTACATCAATGACTAGAAGCTATGCTAATGTTCTTCCCTCCCCTGAATGGCATGACCAATCAGAAAATTCTCTCAGTGAACAGAAGTCGTTGTTTTTCGCTTATAAAAGGAGATGATTTTTTTGAGCTGTGGCACGAACACGCGTTGTTGTTAGCGAGAAGTGAAGGTTGGATTTGTGACCCCATTTTGTCACTTCTACAGTGTGTGTTGGACTGTTACGTCAGATTATCGTGTGAACTGCAATTTGGCTACAAGTGTTGCGGCCAAGAAACAAGAAATCTATTGCATTTGCTACTATCAGTTGACAGTCTTTTCTTTACTACAACAAAAACACTATCAAAGCACTTTAGCTATAGCTGAAAACATGTATAAAAAGTACAGTTGAACATAAAGAAATTGAAATGTAAAAATATACACTTATTCACCAGTTATTCTTCTTTGGCTGCTTTGTATGACAGATGTATTTTTTTGTGTCCTCAGTGTTACATTACCCAGGTTAGTGTTTTACCATCACTGGTATTTCCTTTCAATTCTGTCTCTATTGGGGTTTCCAACTGGTTAATGATAAAAGTGTAATCAGGTATATTTAGGTATAATAAATCAATGAGAACTAGAAAATGTTATCAGTACTTTGTAATGATAATTTCTTTTTTTGGTATTGTTGTTGTAATAATAAATGTCATCATCATCATGGCTTGGCTTCACAGAATAAAGATCAAGAGGGAGTCTCTACACATTGCTTGCAAGCATGTTTGTGACAGATAAGTCCAATGCAGGACAAGCATACATGGTCACAGCAGTTGCAGCTGAAAGTCCAGCTTGGGCTTGATAGCATAGCATTGCAGTACTTCCTCCTCTGCTTCTTGTCCTTGAGAGTGGCCCTAGTAATAATAATGATAATAATAATGACAACTACAATCTACATGGGGCATGGCTCTCATGGTTCCTGATCTTAACTGATTGGAGGTGTTATCATGTACATGTTAACATGTACATGTTTTGTCTTTGTGAATAAAGATGAGCTATAATAAATGTTTCATATAATACCACAGATTAGCTTATCAGTTGCTTTGCCTTATCTATTGTTGGGCATGTACCTAGGGCTGAAGCATTGTGCATCTTTGTTCGTGAATGGGAGTAGTGGAGGATCATTATGGCTGGGTGTCAAAAGGGTTGATTATTTTTTAATGTTTGAAAGTCGAGTCAGTCAAAGCACTACTTGATACTTTGGAACAACCTCAATCTGAAACTATATGAATTGGGTTACCTGACCTGAAAGTATTTGTTACTAGGCACTTGCAAGACTATGCACTGCTTTTATCAAAACCTGTCACCATATCACGCATATTTGGTTCTATTGAATATACCTGGTATACCATTATCAAACTGGGTATCATCTTGGATTTATTGTGCTTCGTATATGTAGTATCGTATGCAAATTAGATAGACAAGTATAAATAGGGAACAACTGGCAAACATAGGGTGGCTATGCCTAGCAAACTCGGTCGCTATTCAGGACATGGAGAACTGTACTACAACTACTACTATGCGGAGAGATATGCAAAACATAAAAGTATAATTATACCCAAACATCACTTAGTTGGGGCACTGACTCAATAATAATTGTCATTTGAGTAAATGATATGATTATGAAGCTGAGCAAGATAGAGGGTAAAATTATCACATGTGGTAATTGAAGATAAAATAAGCTGATGGGGGGGGGCTCAAACCTTGCATATAAGATGCAGAATGAAGATTTTTTAAGCTATTTTGAGGCAAAAGAAGTGCACTTTATATGCTGTCAAATATGGTAGATTGCAAATGGATTATATCATTTCACACTTTTGTAACTCTGAGTCTTGTCTGATGGTATTATCATGTAAGCTTTGATGCAGTAAAAGTACTTTAGATTTTGTTCATTCAAATATCAACCATTAATGATAGTTAAAAATCTGCTTCATTGAAATTCTAAGTTTTCCTTTTGCTGAAAATCGCATAAGAACTGAGAAAAATCACCAAAATGATTTTAGTAGAAACCCTTCTGACTCAGACAATATCTTGCAAGGGATCTTATGCTGTAGAATTATTTATTCATATTTTAGATTCAACATTTTAATTGCTGAAAATATAGCTTAATAAAAAAAGAGCCAAATTATTTACTGGTTCTACTAGTTAAAATTATTATACAAGGATCTCATGAAAACAACATTTAAAGAAAAAACTTTTTTTTTCAGGGTCCTGTTGGTTTTCCAGGACCACGAGGTCCTCCAGGTAATCCTGGTCCAAAGGGAGATTCAGTAAGTATAAATCAAGTATTTATATTTCTTTTATTCATTTAGATAGATAGATATAAATTGAGAGAATTTTTTTTGTTTTGTCTCTTGTTCTAAGTGACTCCGCATATTGTCAAATATATAATTGTGTTAAGTATGCATAATACCAAAAAAGAGTTATATTCATTAAAGATTCAGAAAATACTTGTGTTTCATTTATTCATTTTGAATTATCAAAATAAGTTATTATTTCAGTTGAAAATGAATTTTAATGTTTAATTTCAGTTTAATGTTTTTAATAAGTCATTATTTCTTTCTCAAAGGGATTTCCTGGTCGAGATGGTCTCCCTGGTGTCAATGGACTTCCTGGACCTCCTGGACACGTTTTTATCATTCCTGTATGTATATCTTTAATTCACCATAATTACTTTCAAATTAGTTTTACTCATCAATGTCAAAAGGGATCAAATAAACCTTATTCTAAAAAATATTTTTCTAAAAAAAAAAATAAGAAAGCCATGATTTATACAGAAATTTATATCAGTTATCCCTATGATCCCTTTTTTGTTTTATTAGTCTAATAATCTGTTTTTGAATACAAGTTTTAATCTTTATGGTGTCCTACAAAAGATTTGGATAACTTTTTTTATTATTGCTAAACCTGAGAGATAAATAAAACATTTCAGCTATTACCTAGTTGCTGAATTTTCATGACTGGAATATTTGCCTTTAACAGATTTGCCTGTAATTAATAACTTCTAGACTCTAAAATGTGAAAAAAAATATCACTTTTTCTCTTGATACTGTTTTGTACAATAAACTAATTTTCTGTTGGCTGGTTTTGACATAAAAAACACATTTTTGAATCTTTCCTTCATGAATCTGATTTCAAAATTTAATATCATTTAGTTAGACTAACCTGATTAAAAGGCAGCTTGTATTGTTTTTAATATCTGATTAATTATTTTCTAAAATATTAATATCATACAGTATAAGGCAGAGATTGTCAACCAGAAGGAAATTCCCACCTGTGGAGAATTTTAAGCTCTCACCGTGTATTAGGACCACAGAATTGTTGAATTCAAAGTATTGGAATAATGATCTTTATACAAACTATAATTCTACAAAGCCCCATTTGAATTACACAAGCTTGGAAGAGGGAAATGATTTTCTGAAATATAGTAAAGAGAGTACTTGTGCAAAGGAGGCTAAGAATGATTGCTTTAAACCAAAAATTTCTTAGAGGTCTTCCTTTAACCTTTGCACACTGTATTATTAATATTACTTCTCTTCCTACTGTATTCTTTTTCAAGGCCTCTCAATTGCTATATCCTTATTGTTAATTTCCCTCAAACTTGTTTTCTATTGTCATAGCAGGATACGAAAACCCTGTACATACATACATATATATATATATATATATATATATATATATATATATATAGAGAGAGAGAGAGAGTCCACCCAAAAATGTATACACATTTCAGAAAAAAAAAACTGTATAGAAATTGGAATACTAAATTTATTCAGACATCACAAGATTAATACAAGTTATCTTTGGATGCTACAATCATAAGAGATGATCAAAATGGTGGCCTTTAGCTTCTAGACATTTATTAGAATGGTGAACTACTGCTTGGGAAACATGGTCCAAAGTGTCCAGTGGTATTGCTGCACATGTATTTTCAATTTCTGGTCTGAGGACCGCCAGTATAATGCCATCTATTGAGGTAATATTGTACTATGTTAAACAGTGTTATCGCAATTTGATTTAAACTATAAAAGATAAGTTTTTTCTTTCCTAAAGTGTGTATACATTATTTTTGCAGACTGTATATATTGTAAAAATACTTTTTACAGGGCACACAGATATTACACTGATCTCAAGTAGAAATACCTGGAAGTGACACACACAGATACACTGATCCTGTACAGAAATGACAATCCATATATAAATAATCCTGGCAATTTTTAATGGGTACTATGCTAGTGTAATATCTTTAGTACTATGCATAATATGTAACTTTGTTAAACAGTGTTATGTTTTGTATAAAAAGATTTAGCTATGTTCTGTATAATACTATTGAGATGACTGGTGGAGATAAATTTACTTTATCATCTCAATATAAACAATATGATACCCATGATTGACAATAGACAAAGATATGTTTATAAGTATGAGAGTAATCACTTTATATACATATTTACAGAACTTGAATTAGATAAAAGTTTATTCATACAATGAACTGAATATAGATTAAAAGCATAAAAAAGAAAAGTGAATTAAAATATTATTTGATAGCTGACTTTGTCATACCTTGTATCAGGGACATGTCTTGACCATAAACAGTAAGAGAAAATGGAAGGGTGGTGGAGACATGCAGTCATTTTGATGATTTCTTTTAACCATTTCACTTCAATCAAGGTAATATAGTCACTAAAATGCAACAGGTTACTGAATGTGAAAGAATCAGAGAAAAAAAAACATTATTAAGGAGAAAGAACAATAAAAAAACAGGATTTAAGAAAATGATTGACATTACATTTAAATTTTTGAAGATCAAAATTGACTGAAAATCAAGAGGCTGGAAGAGAGTTCCACATGCTAAGAGTGTGAGAGAAGAAACTCTTAGCATGGAACTTATGGTTACAGCTAGCCATTTTGACTGTAAAATGATGAGACCTAGCTGCCAATCTAGTACTGCACTTAAATTCGTAAAGTCAAGGTACCAAAAAGAAAAGCTCATCAGAACAGTTACCATGAAAATACCAATAGAAAAGTCACAGAGAATTGCATTACTTCCACTGGCAAAGTGACTTAGGTTTGGTAACTCTAGCCAAACTGTAGCACAATGTATTTCTTATCCTTTGATATGTGCATAAATTATAGCTGAATCAAGGGTAAATAATTAAATTTCGTAATGCTACAATACTTTTAATATTTGGTATCAGGATTTCTGCAGGTCTACACGTTACTGTTTGTTTATTATTATAATGTTTGTTATTATTATCAATGATTATTTGATCTTTTTTATAACTCTTTTCTTAACTCTTTTTGTAGCTAAATTGGGATACCTCAAAGGGACCAAATAACCAAGCTGAAACCTTAAGATCTATGTTAAGCCAACACATGGTAAGTAAAAGATTATAAGCTGAAATTCTGATAATTTACTTAGCATTTTGATATATTCAGCATTTTGATATTAGCTAGAGAAATTAAAAAATGAAAATAATTTTAAACTTTGAAAGAAATTTTTATATTACACTGGAAACGTTCTTGATTATTTATATAAACTATTATTATTATTATCATTATTATTATTACTATTATTATTATTATATGGATAATTTCTTAATCTTTAATTCCTTTATATTTCTATATCAACAAACTTTACTTATACAAGAGGAATGAGAAATCTAACATCAAGCTGCCAAAACAGACCTCTTCTTCTGCAGCAAGGGTTGTCTGTAGCCCTTTGGTAGGTGTCTCAAAGAGAGAGACCACTGAAAATGACAAATGGAAATGAGAATGAGCCTTGGGTGCAGAGGCCACTGATATGGGAAAAAAAAATGAGTGAGACAGATTGCCATGAATGTAGAGGCAGCTGAAATTGAAGAGTGGGAATGAGACAGCTGTGAAAAAGGGAAAGGAAAAAGAGGCTGAATAGGTCTCAGTCAAGACTTTTATGACATCTGGGACTTCTGGTTGTACCCTGCTAATTATTTCCACTGCTGCTGCAGCTGAATCAAGCAAAGTAAGAAAGTCCCCACATGCCAAAATAGTCAGCAAGTGAAATAGTTTTTATACAAGATTTGTTCATGAAACATCCAGCCATATAATATTAACAAAAAAATAAACTACCAAAACTACCATTATTCAAAAATAATTTGCAAAGTTCATTTTTGGAATCATCATCAGCTGCATTATTACATTCTCCTTAATCTCATCCATAATCTGAACTCTTTCAATGGTGGTTTTAGCTTTTGGAAATGCCAGAAATTACAGGAAGCCAAATATGAGCTGTAGTGATGAAGGGGGTTGATATACCTGGATAATACAATATTTAGCAAAAACAACCCTCAGAAAACATGAAGAATGAGCAAACATCTTGTCATGATCAATACAATGATAATACAGAATACAAAATCACTGAGTAAGGTCCTCTCTGTTGTCCAAGTTACATCAAGAGTATGCAACTGGTTCTTGTGATAAATATTTAAAATGGCTGGAGACTTTCTAGATAGAACTCTATTTACTGAAACAAGTCACTATAAGTTTTGTTAATATCCTTCAAATTTATGCTAGGAATAAATTTTTGTCAAATGAATACTGCAATAAAATGATGATTTGAACAAATAAAAACACTTTTGAAGGGTTATTTCTCTTGTAATATTGTTCTATTTTGTATTCTTTTTTTAGCTTGCCATGCGGGGCTCACCTGGTCCACAGGGAATGACGGGCCTTTCAGGTCCACCCGTAAGTAATTGCTTCATTATATTAACACATAATCCATTATACTGTTCCATTGGAAGGGAAAATAAATTAATTTAATAACCTCACAAAAGCAGGCAAAATGCAAAACAACTTGAACAGTACATTGATCCTGAAAGTAACTGAGAAAAAAGGGGTTAGGAATTTCATATTCAAATTGCAAACTCCTTGAAATCAGAATAAAAAACTAGAGAAAAGAATTTTGTGCATAATGGACATCAGAAAAATGTATCTACTAACAACTGTAGCAGCTGAAACCAAAGTTAAAGCAAAACTATTGTGTACCTGACTTTATCATTACTGACCAAAATTAAGTTTGCATAAAACTGAATGGAAAAGACAACAAAACTAGAATAAATGAATTTCAAAATGAGTGAACAGAATTTTTTAATATTTTCCTATATTTTATTATTTTTCAATGGATTTTATGTTTCCCTCTTAGATTTTTCTTAATACAATGCTAAAAACATCAAGATATTGGTAAATCTAATTGATTATCATCACAAAGCATTATAGATATTTCAATCAATACATATGGTAAACAGTTTGAAACCAACAAAATCACACAAACATTTAAGTTGACAAACTAACCAGCCCTTAAAAAATATTGAAATTTGATATATTTCTAGATCCAGATAATTGCTCATGATAGAAATATGATGTGGAAACTTATGTCAGTTTATATCTGGCAACTTTATAAGTTTTTTCTTAAATATGCATTAAACCAAATGTTTTTCTGTTTTGCATCATTCTCTAATGAGTGAAAGATCATGTTATTAACTAATGAGGTTAAATAATGATTTGTTTGAATTTGAAATTACTTACTGACAATTTTCTACTACTTTTTAACAATAAAATTTTTTATTAACTATTATTCAGTCATCAAAGTCTTTAATCAATGTCTTTGTGATTTTTGTGTTTGCTAAATTTATTATTTTAAATTTTTATCAGAATGAACAATACAAATGTGGAAAGACCTATACCTTTGTTTCATAGATTACACAAAGGTATTTTATAAGGTACAGCATGAAGAACTACTTGAAGTACTGGAAATCATTTCACCCCAAGCAAGCTATAAAGTCACTAAGATACAAAGATTTACTGAGTCTTATAAAATATGAAAAAAAAAAACACTATTAAGGAGAGAGAACATTAAAAGGACAGGAATTAAGAGGACAGAAGATAAAAATTGACATTGCATTTAAATTTTTGAAGATTGAAGTTGACTGGAAAGCAAGAAGCCAGAGCCAAGAAGCCAACTGAGAAGTGCAATAGAAGAAACTGTTAGCATAGAACTTGCAGTTACATCACTGTAAAATGATGAGACCATGCCACCAATCTTGTACTGTGCTTAAATTCATAAAGTTTAGGTACCATAGAGGAAAGTGATATTTATTCTGTACAATACAGAAATGTGGCACAAGGCCGAAAAGGGGATTGGGGAAAGGACGGTCTTCTTCTGTCTTAACTATAACTTAGCTAGCCACAAGCACTGATCCAATCGTACGCAACAATATTCCTTACACAAAAACAACACATTCATTCGTACCTTTCTTACTACAACCACCATAATACCTCTTTGTCTCTATGAAAATACTAACTAGTCCCCATATTTACAATTCGTTGTCTGTGGGGGGGAGAGAATAAAACAACAATTCTAAAAGTTAACCCCAATGAGTATTTACAATATGCATACTAAAAAACTATTTACCATAGAGGAAAGTTCATCAGAATAATTAGCATGAAAGTATTTATAGAAAAGACTCAGGGGAGATACAGTGGTGGGAAAGTGACTGAAGCCAAGATACAAGGTCAGGATCAATAACATTGCAGATAATTCTTTGGATTTTATCAAGAATTTCAAATATATAGCAGGAGCATCTGACCATATATGGCAGCAATATTCAAAACAAGGATGAATGGTAGACTTATAAATATGTAAGATAGGTTCGGGCAAGAAAAATTGTCTATCCCAACACAATAAACAAACTTTCCTAGCCACAGACCTAGCAATTGATTCATGAGAAAGATATTTGAGTAATCCTTAACTTTTACTGGGAACAAACAGTTTGCATGTGGAGAAAGAATGAGTTTGTTTGTTGACACAATCAAAATAGAAAATAAGAGTAAAATAATAATGCATTTTCTCACTGGATTTATTTAAAATTTACAGTATGACTCTCCTAAGAGAATTAGAAAACTTACCAGGATTTATTATCAATAGATTTAATCTTAACAACAAAAGATACTCAGATTACCTTCTGTTGATAGAAAACACAGAAAGAAAGCTGAAAGAACTCTTAGACTTTGTAGTAAATGAAAGTGTGAAGAAAATTCTATTAACTTTACCAAAACAGAATGTGTGGTCATCAGCAAAAAAGACAGCTCATGGTGTGAGATATGAGTTGGAGCCATCAGAATCAATCACCTTAAAAAATATAACTATCTCAGAGGTATTATAACAGACAAGGGAAAATGTGACACAAAAATATGAAGTCACATTGATATAGTGAATGATTCCTTTCAAAAAGTTTTAGACAAGTTAGTAAAGGAATAAAGAAGAAGCAACTAACCATTAACTGTAAGTAAGCAGAATACATGGTTGTCTACAAAAGTGACTACCTATTTTACAAGCTATATATTGCTGATATCAAAATCAAGCTGGTACAGGAATTTAACTATCTAGTGTAGTAACAGATGACAGAAAATGTTTCACAGATATCCAAAGGCACATAATAAAGAAAGTTGCTTTCCAGAAACTAAGCTCAGTATTAAGAGATAAAATGTCCTTAGAAACAAAGAAAAGAATACTGACCTGCTGTGTTATATCTAATCTCCTATATCTCAGTGAATGAATGGACAATCTCCTCACCAATGCAGAAGAGACTAAAAGCAAGAGAGACTGTAACTCACTAATGTTGAGAATACCAAGGACAGAAAATATGAACAAGATGGAAGTTTTAAGGAAAATAGTAACTACAAGGAAACTTATTCTTACAGTCAGAAACAGATGAAATTTCTGGAACACATAATAAAGGCTCAGAGAATTTATTGGAGGCAAGAGAAACAAAGAGAAATATTGAGTAACCTATTTAACAATTTTGAGTAAATGACTGATAAAACAAGGAGAAGAAGAAATGGTAAAGGGCCAAAAGTTACATAACAAAAGAAGTTGTGGAGAGCCATGTACACCCTCATCCTAGAAGGATATGACTCATAAAAGATTAACATTATATCTAAATCAGTTGTAAAACAAAACATAACAAAACAGGAAAATATGTTTGTGCATTTATATACTTTTTTGTTAAGTTATTTAATGCTATTGTACCTAAATTTCATATATACATTATTTGGAAACTTTTTTTTGAGTTGTTGTTTAACAGCCTCAATTTCATATATATGGAGTTGTTGTTTAACAGCCTCAATTTCATATATATGGAGTTGTTGTTTAACAGCCTCAATTTCATATATATGGAGTTGTTGTTTAACAGCCTCAATTTCATATATATGGAGTTGTTGTTTAACAGCCTCAATTTCATATATATGGAGTTGTTGTTTAACAGCCTCAATTTCATATATATGGAGTTGTTGTTTAACAGCCTCAATTTCATATATATGGAGTTGTTGTTTAATATGGAGTTGTTGTTTAGCCTCAATTTCATATATATGGAGTTGTTGTTTAACAGCCTCAATTTCATATATATGGAGTTGTTGTTTAACAGCCTCAATTTCATATATATGGAGTTGTTGTTTAACAGCCTCAATTTCATATATATGGAGTTGTTGTTTAACAGCCTCAATTTCATATATATGGAGTTGTTGTTTAACAGCCTCAATTTCATATATATGGAGTTGTTGTTTAACAGCCTCAATTTCATATATATGGAGTTGTTGTTTAACAGCCTCAATTTCATATATATGGAGTTGTTGTTTAACAGCCTCAATTTCAGTGTTTGACCACCAGTTAAGCTATTTTATTTTAATTTTATTTTAATTGATCCTTTTATATTAATTTTGATAATTGATTCTTCCTTTGAAACCAATTTCAATTGTTAAGTGAGGATCTTCTATCTTATATAACAAAATAAAAAAATCAAATAATGATCATTAGACTTTATACCCTTTCATATTGAAAGAGTAAAAAGACTTTTCCTAAATATAGTTAATTTAGTTAAAATATACTCATTTACATTTTTAAAGGATGTAAGCAAAAATCAAATTGAATTATACTTTATGTAAAAGCAGTGCTGTGTTATGTTATAATCACTATATAGTTACATTATGCTGTTTTGTATTTTTTATTTTCACAAGTTAAAGGGCATATAAGAATTTCAAGTTGATTATGGAACTAAAGAATTACTAACTCATTGCAATAAATTTTCATTTAGTGTCTTTGTTGTAAACTAGTGAAATAAGTATTGAATTTTAGCAAAATAGCTTCTTTTCTATATTAATTTTATAAAATGTCTTTATGCTATTATTATTTTTATGTTCACTTATATTATCCTTTTATATTCTTCACTTACAATGACTTCAACATTTTAGGTCGTTTTTTATCCTCTTTTTATTATTTTGTATTCATTTTTTAGTTTTGTTTTATTTTGGCTAATAAAGGTTGTATTTTTATTTATATATTAGGGTATGCCGGGTCCAGTTGGTCCAAAAGGAGATCCTGGAGTTCCTGGTGAAGAGGTAAGATTCAGTCTTCATTGAAGACTTTCTCTTTTATGTGAATTTAGATTGGTAAAGGTTTGATGAATGATATGCAATAACATATAAATTCAGTTGAAATTTATCTGCCTATCATTTGTTATTAGACAGAATGGATTCAGAGGTAAGAATTGTTTTATAAGAAGATTCAGATTTGAAATAATGAGAAATTTGTCTCCAAGAATAGTTTTGTGGTTATTGTCTGTAAAACAAGAAAATGTCATAAAATAATTTTTTTTTTTTGATTAGTGTATTGTAAAGAATTTCAAACTATTACTGGTTTAATTGTTCTCAAGAAAAAATTATTTTTGTTTATTGTCCATATGTAGTTCTTTCATTTTGGAAAGTTTCAAGCACTTTTAATCCAAAATTTATAGAAGTTAGCATGAATACAATATCCTGAGAAACAATTCTTTATAGTTTTAAAGTTGGGAAACAATTCACACTTGTATGATATAATGTTTGTGTGGGTTAAAAATTATTTTTGTATTGATTTTGTTATTACAGTTATCACATTTTTATTTTATAATTTGAAAATATTGAGGAAATAATTTAGTGAAAAGTGAGATGATGATTTTTTATTGATGCCATCTGTTGCAGATGTATGGATAACCTAACAGTTATTAAAGCAGAATGTGGAATTGGCATGCCAAGTTCAAATTCTGACAAAGTCTATTTCATTTATTCAGCATGAATCCATCTTCCAACTGTTGGTTAAGTGCTCTTAATGTGCTCTTGTACTTTCTTATTTTGGGTGACAGTCAATCCTGAAGAAAAACTACTCTGAAATAAAAAAAAAAATAAAAAAATTTAAATAATAGAACAGACTAAGAGACAATTCCAAATTCAGCCTGAAGAGGGATGGGCATAATCAGCCTATCTTGCCCTAGACACACCCACTGCTGCTATGGCTGCAGTACAATTGGTGACTCAATGATTCTAATGACTTACAAAATTCATGATCATGATACTCTGTTGTGGGATTGATAAAATGCAGTCTCATGATTGATCTAGATTGATGAATTCAGAAATCTCAGTATGATGAAAATGGTTTAATATTCATGATAAAAAAAGCAAAGTTATATTTTAAATATATGTTATAAATATCTAAACAGTCATCAATATTCAACCATTTTCACAGATCAGTGATAAAATGGTTTCAAGTGAATGAATCCTCAAAGTTTTAAACACTTCATCAGATCTTATAGACTCAAAACCACAAAGAACTTTAGCAAATAGCAAAAACTATATCACCTGAAAACAACTAAAATTGATATAACTGAAAGGAAAACTAATGAAATAATCAGCTTTTTGCTTCAGGTAATATGGAAAGTCAACATCTTGATTAGATCATTATTTCTCTTCCAATTACACGTGTTATCCATTTTAGTACTTGGTGCTATTGGAGCACTAGAAAGAATGGTAACAGTGGACTTGAATCTATTTTCCTTGAGCTTCATTGCTGTATCATATATCTGAAAGAAAGTCTTAAGTAATTTTGTCCCAAATACACACAGATATTGATAGCAATTAATTTGTACTAAGCATTTACTTCATTATGATAACTTTTTTGTTTTGTAAAACCTATAAATTTTATTCATTTTATTTTTTTGCTCAATTAGGGTCCCGCTGGACCTATGGGGGCTCCTGGTATGCCTGGTGGCACTGGCCAAAGAGTAAGTAAATGTTTATATATATTTGAATGTGATTTTTTATTATATTTTTATTATTTTTGACTGACTTCTGTTTAATTTCATTAAGAAAACATTTTTTTAGATTTTTTCCTTTCTCCATGACTTTGGAAACCATAATTTGGAATTTTTACATTTATATAAATTCCTCACTTCTGAACCTGAAGAAACTATTCTCAAAATTAAATTTGACTGTGAAAGTAAATTTTAAGTAATTAAATTTAAAAATGATTCAATACTTTCCTGTGGTTCTACTCTTGCTAAGTTGTGATTAATTCTTGTAATGCTATGATTAAAAATATATATATTTACTTGGATTATATAAAACCTTGAACATTTATTCATATACTTGTTAACTAAATTAAAATCTTATTGGTTAAATTGAAGTTCCATCAAATATATTCTAAATGGTTTTAAGGATGTTTGCAACACAGTTGATGACTGAATCTGCTTTATTGCCCTAAATTCTTTCACAGTATACACAGATTTGTTTCTTTTGCATTTGCTATAGATATATATATATATATATATATATATATATATAAAAGTGAACATTGAAGTCAACACTTAGAGGTGACAGTCTGTTTCATGCTACACGCAATTGTCAGGCCTGTTAACTTCAATGTTCACTTTTATATTTACATACGCTCTATCTCTGATATTGAGCACTTTATCCCATAAATATAGCACAACTTAAATCTATATTTCTTCATATATATATATATATATATATATAAAGAACTTTTTAAAAAACCTGTTCTAAATCACATATTGTTTTTGTGTTTGATATTTACAGGGCAGGCCTGGTAGAGATGGTGAGAGGGGCATATCAGGTCCTCCAGGTGACAAGGTAAGTTATTTTTGTTTATTGATCATTTCTTTTTTATATGCTGTGTCCCTTAAGAATGTAAGTGATCATGAATCTTGACAAAAAAAAACTTTTTATGAAGACAAAAGTTTGCAAGCATTTCCCAAAGCAAGATGAGATAAAACCAAAAGAGATATTATAAACAAATGATCTGATAAAATTGAAAATAAAAAAAGTAATAGCTTCAAGTTTTGGAAATCTTGTGTGCAAATGTAAATTGTACATAAAAGTTTTAAGTATCCCCTAATGATTTTCATACATTCTAGGAAGATGCACATTGAGACTGGACAATACGTTTTAGTAGTCTTATATAGGGAATAACTTTCAAAATTTCTGATGAAGCTGAATAAATAGTGAAACTTGTTCAATTTATAAAGGTCTCCCTCTTGTTTCTTATTTAATAATATAAATTATACAATACAGTTATATAATTTTCAAATCTATTTGGAAATCTATTTAAAATCCATTGGGATAGATTTTTTGCTACAAAATCAATAGAGTGCTTTACAAATCTTCCTCAGAAGTTATAAATAACACAAATAGAAATTAATATCTTGATTAAATATTTATTGCAGTTTTATTCCATTTTTTTCTGTTTCTGAAAACCATATCAATTTCTGAAATTATCAAATTTATACATTTATAATAGAACTATATTCATGTTTTAGTAAAGTCATAAAAATACTAATTGTAAATTAATTATAAAGATAGTAACTGATTATACTATGAGATTATTTAATTTTATTTTCTTAAATTGATATTTATATAAAAGCACTAAATGTGTGTATGTATGGGTGTGTTTTGTGTTTGTGTGCATTTGTGATGAACTTAATTTTCAAGTTAAGAAAGACATTGGATAATTAAATATGAAATTCTAACCTGTTTTAATGATATAGAATATGTAAATTTTAATTAACTGACAAATCAAAATATGTGTTTTTGTACACTACTTAGTAGTTTTATAAGCTACATGCTCAGAGCAACTTAGGAGTTCTTTATTTTAAACATTTTTTTTACATTTTTCAGGGACTTTCAGGATTTCCTGGATTGCCTGGGCTACCTGGTGAGAAAGGTGATAGAGTAAGTGTTATATTTTTCTAAATGACTTGTCTTAGATCAAAAATGAAATGATACACTCTAGTGATTTTTGTTACTTTCTACCCAAAAGAATACATGGCTTCCTCTGCATTTAATAAGAAATTTTTGTGCAAAATCTGGAGCTTTGTTTCAATGTTTTGTTCATTGTCATGTCTCATGAGATTTTATTTTAATAAGCAATTTCTCCAGTTCATTATCATCAGTGGAACATTTTGTTTTTTCATTAAAAGCCACAACTTTATATTGAAAAATGGATGAGTTATAAATTTAACTAGTAAGACTGAACTTGTGATTCAAGTCATTTTTTTCTTACAGTTTAGAATACATGAATCATAGTTTAGAAAATTTCACAGAAAATGAACAAATATGTGATGTGAAAAAGTGTTTTTAAAAAGAAACAAAAAATATTTTCTTGTTGGTAGGGTGCAAAATATTATTGTAGTGAGTAAAAAAGAAATTTTAAAAGAATAAGCAAGTAGAAAAAGAAATTTCATAGTTATTGTAACCAGTGAATTGAAAAGAAAAAACTTAAACAATCAAAAGTGTCCAGTTTTCATTCATCACTCTTCAGAGCTCAACTGAAGACTTAATGGAGTGTTCACAGCAAGTAAAATGGTGGGTAGGAATTGATAAAAGCAGCACACACACATCGCAGAAAAAAAGTGAATGAAAATATTAGTGTTATGAAATGTGATTTCCTTCATATTTTTCAGTCCAACAGTAGTTGTTAATCTTGCATATAATATTCTGCCCTTCCGCTTACTGCATGGACACTTATGTAGGCTCTATGCCTTAGCTATGATAATTAGACAGTCATTTACATATCACTACAATTAGGTTTAATGCTGCATCATAATTATATTTTCATTTTGATAATTTTAATAAATGCCAAAAGAATAAAGTTAAATATGGGGGGATTTTGTTTTTAAATTTAGTATCTGTCCAAAAAACAAATAATACCTGCAAAATCCATCTTTAAAGTTTTTTAAATGATGATGAGATTTGCATTCAAACTTTTTTTTTACTCTTATTGTCTTAACAAAGTTAACTGCTCATATTCAAAACAGGAAGTTCTATAAATTATGCATTTTCATTTAATTATATATGTCTTCAGTTAATTCTTGAAATTTTAAATATTATGGGTAATTTTGGACTGCATATTTAAATTTATATGATTCTTTTATATAGAAATCTTATTTTTTTTTATCTTAATAATATTTTGAAGATTTTCTTTTAATAGTGGTATGACTTTTTAAGGATATATGGACAGTCTGAAAAGTATCCGGCCATTTAATAATAATGAAAAAATATGTCTCATAGCATTACCTTTAATCTCGTCCACAATATTTCAACAGCAATTTTAGTTTTGTAGCCAAATCTGGATGGTAAGGGACCTGAAACTTATTGACGTAGGTGATATTTTGCCCCAAAATCCCTGTACAAAATAAGTAGAATCTATTTACTCAATAATTATAAATACAACAGTCATATAACATATGTTCATTTAATGGCATCCCAATGCTGACTGAATAGCCTGACAAGAGGTTCATGCATATACAGTACAATACCCTCTGATTGTCAGATGAAATGAAGGCCATATAAATGGCACTTGAAATATTCAAAATGGTTGATTCTGTTCCAGACAGACTGTGTATATGTTTATTTTTCTGTGTAATAATGTAACAAACATTACTAAATTATTCCTTTAATAAGCTATCCTACCCATCAACAACCATAGTCAAGTTTATACACTCATTGTGAACTTCATAACCCATATCATGGCTGTATAGTATATGCTTCACCAGGGCTACATACAGTTTTGAATTCACAGTTGTTCTTCTTTTAGACTAGTTGTCAACCATGGCTGGAGAATTTTCCCTGCTATTTAACCCATTGATGAAGGAAAGGAGATGGATTCATACTTTTCTCAAGGATATGTATGCTAAAGTAAATGCAACAAATTAACTAGAATTTGAACTTGGCTCATTGATTATTCATTCTGAGCCATTAACAACTACACCACCTGCACATCCACAATAAACTATTCATTGTATGGTTATTAATTTTAATTGATTAGTAAATTTTAATATTTTAAATATAATAATAATAATTTCTCTTCCTAATTTGTTTTTGCTCTCTACTTTCAGGGCTTAGGCGGACCATCTGGCCCGATTGGGTTGCCTGGTCATGATGGACCTCAAGTAAGTATTACTGCCTTATGATCTACTTTAAATTTTGTTTGCAATATTTAGATAAATGCTTATTCTGCATTAAAATTAAAGCTTAGATAATAAAAAATTCTCATCTGATGATGAGTTTAACCCTTTGGCATTCACATTACACATCTATATATTTATATCTCCTATGTATTCACATAAAATGAATGAATTACAAGATAGAAAAACTAAAGACAAATAGTCAACTTGCCTGACATCATTTGATAATGAAAGTGTATGTCCATTAGGTTCCAAAAATGGTAACAAATTGACATTGTAGAAATCATTTTTCCATTCTGGATTTGACACATGTGTCAACATCATTATCTTCATCTGAACCAATCATTTCATTATTATTAATGATAGAAATGTTGATATCTGATTCATTTTGTATTTCTAGTTTTTCATTTTTTCCTCAGATTCTAGAATAACCTGAGTTTTATATCCCTCAAATGAGCATTCTGAATCACTAGACTCCATTTCATTGTGATGCTTGATTTCTCATCATCAAAAAAAAAATGAAAAAGATTTTAAAACTTGTATTTTCTTTGCTAATCGAACAAAGAGAAGATGAAATTAGGATGTGGTCAAAGTCTCACTGTTTGTTTGACTTCCTTTGTTATTTGCGATGATGCCATCATATATTATGGCAGAGTATACATGGGATGGGTTACAGTGGGTTGAATATTGAGAGCTGATATTTACAAGGCTGGTTTGAGCGTGTTGAATACTAAAGGGTTAAATGTAATCTCACATGTCATCTTTTTGCGATCTAATGGTCTAATTTCTATGTTTGTGTGTTTTCACTGTAACATAATAAGAACAGCACATTATAGCACAATTTTTATTAGCACAAAAACAAATTACATCAAAACTTGTTTTATGGCACCCATCTACAGGATGACAGAACAGGGGCAAGCAAGCCATGAGGTTCCCACATTCACATGCAGAATACTGACATCGAAAATCTGGATAAACTCAAAACTGTTATGATGGATTAGTACAATTGGAGACAATGTTGCGAGCAGGGATTTGGCCAAGTTAAACTAAAACTTTATGAGCACAATGTGCTAAAATGCTTTAACAGGAGAGAAAGCAATGTCAAGTCCAGTCAGGCAACAAGTTTTTGAATACTTGTTAATTAAATATAAATTGACAAAAAAATGTCCAAGGGAAATAACTGAAGTTTTGTTAAATGCTAATTACAGACTTATTTTCTTTCATTTGAAAATAAGAGGAATAGCCAGAAAAGAATTGAACTGTCTTCTCTCTTATCTTTCAACCATAACAGTTGCAATAATTAATAATAATAATAATAATAATAATTAAGTTCATTGATAATTAGCATTTGCAAATAATTATAAATCCTATAAATCAAAAGTAACTTGACACTGAGTAGAATTTGTCAAAGGCAAAATTTAAGTTAGTGCTTACTTAAGTGCTACTTATCACTAGGAGTTCAATATATTTCTTATTCATGTGGAGCTTACTATAAACATAGTGAAAAGCAAGTTAATATTTGTGGTTCCCAGGTGGCCATTGTTTATACTTCAAATGGAAAATATAACAACAAAATTTATTTTAAGTCTTGATTTTCTGGTGATCAGAAATAGATCATAACTTTTGTTTTTGGTAATAAAATTTTAAGCTAGATTTTTGCTTTATAAACTTAATTAAAAAAGATAAACATTTGGTTTAGGTAACCTCATTTTAATAAATAATAAAGCTCACTCAACACAAGACTTGAGAGCCACTCAAGGTAAAGCTTTACAGTCAACAAAATGGTAATGTTGAATGAATTGTATGATATCAGGGGAAGCAAAGGTGGTAAGAAATGAAGATTATGAGGATTAGAATGAAAGATGACAATTGATTCTTGACTTGAAAAGGTCAAGATTGAGATATTTAAGAAAGCAACCACACAGGAGTTTGTTCCACAAAATGGCAATTCTTGGGAAAAAAATTACCTGAGTGGAACTTTCTTCTTAGGAACATGGATGGATGAAATGAGTATGATTTAACTCTGTGGAAATAGCAAGGCAAGTCCAAGCTGCAAAGGCAGTAGAAAATGGAGCTTATCTGAACATTTGCCATGGAAATAGTGATAGACAATGGCCACAAAGTAAAAATTCAGAATAGAATGATATTTGCACTATATATCAAACTCTCCACTAAAAACTTAATTTGTGAATTTTCAAAAACTAATATGCTAAAATCCTATGTGGGTGGTATCTTATTAGTAACAACAGAAGATTTGATGGTCATAATTCTAGCCATCCTTGATTTATGAGATGACAGATATACAATCAAAAAAGACTTTTGATGAATTATATCTAGATGTATGATATTTTCTGATATAAATGGTTACCAAATTTTACCTCTTGTGATTAAACTTTGAAATGTTCATTCTGTGAAATTATTCTTGTCTGATATTTTTGTGTATTTTCACTTTTAAAGATTATTATAATTTAAATTTAAAAAAAGCTTTTGGCTCATTTTCTTTGCTTTCAATTTAACTCTTGTTCTTTTTTTTTTTCTCCTCTAGGGTGAGCAAGGCAGTCCAGGGGCTGTTGGTGCTCCTGGAGAAATGGTAAATTTATTTTATTTAATTCTTTCATTTACTGTTTTTTTTTTCAAATTTACTCCACTAGCTTGAACCATTTGCCAAAGAAGTTATAATTCTTCTCATTTCCCTTTCTACATATGATCATAAATGAAATTAGTTCAGTTAATCATCTTCCTTTGACTATTTGATAAATTTTCTAAAAGTAATATAAAATATTTGAATTCTGATTTAAGCTCTAATTCATCCATTTCTCTATGAAGACAGAATTCTTAATTCTTGTTTATCTATCCTAGAAACTCCATAATCCTAATTTAAACACTTGGCATAGATTTTGTTTTTTAATAAAGGATTTTTTCCTATTTTTAATTCTATTTGTAATACTAATTCCTGTCAGAATTTAAGAAAACACAGCTCTCTATATTCTCCTTTTTTATCATTTGTGAATTTAACTGAGGAGAAATGATATGGTTTCATACCTTTTTCAACGGCATTAGTATGAAGTGAACACAAACTGTCTTCACCAGTATTTGAGCATGGCTTAACAATTTCATTTTCTGTGTTGATAGGCCTCTCACATCAGATAGTGTTGATACATAAAATTTATTCTGAGATATATTTTAACTGCTATATTTTAATTACCTGTAATATTTGTTGTAGCAGTTTTATTTACAGCATATCTAAAAAAGTTCTTTTGTTATCTTTTCAAGGGACCAAGAGGATTTCTGGGATCGAGAGGTCCCCCTGGACCAGTTGGGCAACCTGTAAGTATTTTCATTTGTTTAAAAGTTTTATTTCTTTTTATTATTTTATATTTACTTTTGGAAATGTGAATGACACAAGCAAGTGATAAAGAGGAGAAAGTTTTTAAACAAATCGCTTTAAAATGACCATGGACAATATGAATCACATTCTTAAAGATCTACATTTTACATACACAATTCTTTTTATAAGATATTGTCCAGGTTGTCTTAGGTTGTTTAATTTTTATACAAAAATTAGTACTCATATTGATAAAAGAGCTGCTTAATTTTTTATGCTTGGCTCTAATAAAAACAGAAAAGTAAAATTGGTAGAATTCTTGAATATAGAATAAAATTATATATTTTTAATGAATTTTATATTTTTATTTTTTCAATTTTTTTTTGAGTTGCTTAAGCCACATTGACATTATTATTAAAGTTTTCTAAAAATTAGTCAAATTTGAGTACAATTGCTTACAAATGAATTGTTTTTAAAAAAAAAAAGATCATGTCGGAAGTAATAATCTAATCTTCCAAATAAAGTAAAGGATTAAATAGAGATGATCACCTGGGTAATTTTTAAAATTACAATCTCATATATGTATATATACATACATACATACACATGTATTTAGAGATCTGTGCAGTGTTATTAGTCTAATGTGTACTCTCTGATAATAAACCAATTATTATTTCCATTTGATATTCCTAAAACTTTAAATATTTTATTTGTTCATTCTTAATCCAGTTGGAAACTACCAAAGAATTGAAATGTTTTTAGTTCTTTTCAAAATTATTGATTTTCTAAAAAAAAAAATAATTATTTTTTATTTATTTTTTTTTTTTTTTTAGGGTTTGCCTGGGGCGGAAGGTCCAGTTGGACCAAAAGGAAATCAGGTAAGTTGAATATATTTTTTTTATTTCCTTCTAATGTCTATACCTTAATCACATCATCAATAGGATTATCAGTTTTTTTGACACTGCATAAACAAATATAGCCTGATATACCAAAAATTATTGTTAATGTTTATATTATCATTCCCAAAATCTAATGCTAAATTCCTTCTTTATTTTAATCATTTCACCTCAAGCAAGGTAAGAAAGTCACTAAGGTGCAAAAGGTTAATGGGGGGGGAGTGAGAAAATATGAAAAAAAAATGAAACATTATTAAAGAAATAGAACAATAATCCATCAGAAATTAGGAAAACAGAAAATAACAACTGACATTACACTTTTAGATTTACTTTCAAAGAATCACTGAATAGAATGCTTGAAATAAATTTGAAAGCCGAATGTTTAATTCCATAAAACAATTTTTAGTTCTTTTAATGCAATTTGATTTCAAAAACAAAAAGTCTTGGTTTATACAAACAATAAATTTGATTACAAATATAAACTATTGTTGAATTTTTATTCAGTAAAAAAAATAAATTTTCAACAATTTCAAAGAAAAATAATTAGAATAATTTTAATAAATCTTGTATATTGATTTGTATGTTGCTTGCTTTTTCTTTTGTTGCTGTTGCTTGCTTTTTCTTTTGTTGCTTCCAAATATAATTGTTTTAAAGAAATGTCAGTTTTTCAAGTATGTCTTTTTTGTTTGGATTATTTGTTAGGGAGCTCCTGGTGCCCATGGTGCCCCTGGTGCCCCTGGACCACAAGGTGCTACGGTAAGTTATTTTTTTTTTTTTATCTGACATTGGATTTAAAGGCTCCACAAATACACCACTGATGTCCTTTTGGATAGTGGTAGTGTAGATAGAGGCATTTATTAATCAAGTGTTACTATCATTGTGAGTTCAATAACTGGTTGAAGTTATAAAATAATATACTCTGGTTCAGCAAGAATAAATAAAAAAAATGTCATTATGGTGACAAAATTATGCAATAATCAACAAATACAAACTATATCATATCGGAAAAAAATAATGGATATCTGAAGATGGCCAGAGGGTACTAGACTGAAACATTTTAATAATAATAACATCTACAATAATCAAGATAATAACAATAGTTTGAATTAATCAAAGTATGAGAGTAATGATTTATATATTTATCCCTATAAGATTTTATTTACTTTTATACAAAGCAAACAGATTATCCATTATTAAATATTTTCTGATCTCCAACGGTTTTGGGGTAGCTTCTCAGTTCCATGTATGGAGCCTAAGGTCATCAACAGTCAGAAGCTAATGATTTTCATGTGCATCATACTAACAGCCTATCTCTTAAAAATTTACACATATCTTTTCATCTTTAGATAATACAGTAGGTATTTAATCTTCTTAGAGTGCTACAGAAGTCTTTTACTTTTTCTACTCCTGACTTAGTTTGAATAAATTGAATCCCATCCAACAGTTCTCGTTCTTGCTCAGTCAGTTATGTACCAGGCGTGATACATGCTTAGATGATCATGTATCTTTCAATACATGACTGATGAGGCAGATTTTTTTTCCTGCAGTAGGTTGCCATTTCTTTCTGTGGTAAACCAGTTGCCATCCAAGTCTATAGATCTCAGTCTGTCCTGCTATTTATCCATAGCTGGGGGGAGAAGAAGAGGATTCATACCTTTCCCAGGGCTATTAGCATGTAAATGAATGTAATGGATTCGACTGGAATTCAAACTCAGCTCTCCTACTCCTCAATCTGAGCTGCTATACATTACTCCACCATACTTAAGTTAAAATGAAGGAAAACTGTACTGCAATCAAGAGAATCTGACATCATCTCTGAATTGAAATGATATTGCTTATCTACAGCATCTTTATAAACATGAAAATTGTGTTGATGCATTACTAATATTATAAATCTGTCTAGATGCTTTGAAAATTAAATGTTGCTGTTATTTACAAATGAAATAGAAAAGTAAATGTATTGAATATATACATAAATTGTTAAAACTGTTTACTTGCATACATTTACAATTTACCTATATATTTATAGTATATTTTTGTCTGAACTATTACTTATGTGCTTCTTTGTTTAATCATTTCAGGGGCCACCGGGACCCATTGGACACCTGGGACCACCTGGTATTTCTGGTCCTCAGGGTAAACCTGGTTTACCTGGATTACCTGGCCCAATTGGTCCACCTGTAAGTATGAATATGATTTTTGATTATTATTATTATTATTATTTAAATTATTTTTTTAGAAAGGGTTATTGATTAATCCCCAAATTAAACAGATATGAATTACACCATCTCATGTTTTCTTTTTATTCTGTCACATCAGTATGATCACAATTTTTAATTATAGCAGTGAAATTAAATTTTGAGGCATTCTTTAATTGGTTTTTACTTATATTATCATAAATCTTATTTTAATTCATAAACTATAAATATTACTTTTAGTAGCTTTTATCTAAATATATTAAAGATACTTATGAAGAAATAAAAAAATCCATAGTACTTATGACTAAAAGTTACACAAGCTTAATGCTCCTCAGAGTCAGATAAGAATAGGTACATTAGGAAAAAAAATATAAATATTTTCTTATGTCAATATTTTGCTTAGTTTCCGGAAGATGTCTTTCATTGACAATAGATTTATAATAAAGATACTTTGGTCTTTGTTTAACAAATTTTCCTCCAAGTTCTGAAATAAATTACTTTAGATTTGAAACTCTAGAAGGAAAACTCTGAATTAAAACCTCCACTGCTTGTGGGTATCTTTGTGTGAAGAAAAATCTAAGGAGACTTAGTAATACTGAGAGGAGGATCAGGGCATATGGGCAATTCAAGATATTCACAGTTCCTGTTCTGGCTTGTAGTACTCTGTCCTACAACATCATCATCTCCTAAGACAGACAGATGCCAACTTAAAGTTGGTTATTCTGAACTGTTGGTGAATCTTAAATTCTTTCAGTACAACCACTTTGAATAAAAGTTTAACTTTTAATTTATTATTTATATTTGAATTGCTGAACATTTACAGTGTTTATATTTTTACTCTTGAAACTTGGAATAATTCATTTTACAAATAAACATTTTTTTCTCTTAATTTTAGTTTACTAAAAATATGATCAAACATTTGGGGTAGTGAAATAAGCACATCCCATCTCTCTTCTCACTTGTAACCATCCACTATAATAAAATAAATATTTTCAGTGCTAAAGCTGAATTAAAGCTTCATAATCTTCTACTTAGTATTGTTGCTATATTATAATATTGCTGATTAGAGCACCCTGAGGCAGTGTAATGGTTAGCAAGTTTGTCTCGCTAACACAATTATAAATAAGTAGTGAGTTCAATCCTCACTGGGTGCCCCATACTTTCAGCCTTGTGCTACATCTAAGCTATGTTTGGAAAATCACTGCAATATTGCTGATTAAACTATTTGATGTAATAGTAAGTTCATGCAATAAGTTAAAATGTTGATATTAAAAACTGAATGAATAGATACAAAATCTAGAAAGAAATTTATGGTTTTCTAAAATTGAGCAACTTTATTATTCCACTTTTCTTCTTTCAGTTAATAATGCAATTCAAGATTGTATTTCAGTCTTATTATTTTGATCTAAACTTTTTCATAGATGTGCATGTGAATCATAAAGGATTAAAACATTATTTAATATCAGTTTTCATTTCATTCTCATTGTTGTATTTTTTTCTGTGGCTGATTCAGAATTTTTTCATTTTTTTTTTTTTTTTTCCTCAGGGTCCTCCAGGAATTACTGGTGAACCTGGAATTAAGGGTGAAACTGTAAGTATAGATAACGTGTTTCTTTAATCTTTTGTTTTTTAGGTATAAAAAAGATTTAAAATAAAGAGAGTTAAAAAGGTAGTTACATATCTAAAAAGAAAAAAAAACATGTAAGATAAAAATATAAACATAATTGAAATAGATCTATAAATATGTAAGAAGTTGTATAAATATGTTGATATATGAAGGTAGAGATATATAGATGTGAAAAATAAATCTAGAAATATATATATATATATATATATATATATATATATATATATATAAAAGTGGACATTGAAGTCAACACTAGCATCAAAAGTCTGTTTTATGCTTATAAACAATTGTCAGGACATTTCCCTGACTGCGTACAAGCATGAAACAGACTCTCTCGTTCTCTCTCTCTCTATGTGTGTGTGTATATATATATATATATATATATATATATATATATATATAGATTGATAATATTAGTGATTAATATATATATATATATATATATATATATATATATATATATATATATATAGATTGATAATAATATATACATATATATATATATATATATATATATATATATATATATATATGTGTGCAGTAAAAAAAAATTCCAACAGGTAGAACTCAATGTCCAAAACAGAGTATGGATATAATAAAAAGGCTTTTAAGCACTAGTACTCCATGGTCATAATTTATTACATTGTAATCGTAAATACGATCCAATTCGTCAAACCTACAAATTCAAAAAGCTTTTTGAATTTGTAGGTCTGATGAATTGGATTGTATTTACAATTCCAATTATGAGCATGGAGTACTAGTGTTTAAGCCTTTTTATTATATATATATATATAAATATATATATATATATATGTATGTATGTATGTATTTTCTATATATGTTATATGTGCACGCTACTTATTGGAAATTGCTCAATATCAGTGATAGAGCTAACATACTTAGTTGGATATGAGTTTGTGTCATCATAAAACGCAAACAAAGGAGAATTCCCCCCATACCAAATATAATCAACCACAAACAAGCATAAATAGATTCAATTTTTAAAAAATAAACCAGTTTGATGATTGCAAATATATATATATATATATATATATATATATATATATGTATGTATACTTGCATATTTGCTGGTCCGTGGGTTTTGAAAAAACATTAATGTGCCTAAATAGGTGTCTACAACAGGGATTAGCTAGCCACCCTGGCAGATTGGCATCTGTAGGAACAAGTAACCATTTATTATATTATGTGTATTTATTTATAGAGAGAGATAAGCCATCTAAAATATATTTTATTGGTCAGGTACACTGTAAAGTAAGATGTAGAAGGGCATATATATATATATATATATATATATATATAGATAGATAGATAGATAGATTTTAACAGAAAACTGGGTTTTTATTTCTCTGCAAACAATTTAATTTATAAGTTTTGTCTAAAAAGATTATTTTATAAAATTGTTGTCAATTGTAATATTTATTTGTATTTCATGGCATTATTATAGTATTACTATTATTTATTAATAATTTATAAATTTATTTAATTATTGCAGAATATATTTAGAATGCATTGTATAAAATTAAAAATTTGAATGTTTAACATTTTGCTGAAATATTTAAGTTTAATTAACAAACTACTTTACCTGTACTATAAAAAAAATTATTGCAATATTTAAGTAATTTTACAATTGCATGTTGCTTTATCATTATAAATGAAATTTTTATTGACAGCTTTTACCCATGAATTTTCATTACATTTTTTAGGGCTCTGTTGGTCCACAAGGTGTTAATGGTTACCCAGGATCACGAGGTGTTAAGGTAAATACTTTTCCATGTTTCTACATAAAAAGGCAAAAGTTATAGTTTTATTTAAAGAACTCAGATGAATTTCTAGTTTTTAGTGAACACAAGATTGATATTTAGAGTAATGACAAATATTTTATTAACCTTGAGTTCACTAGAAGAATTTAAAACAAGGTTTTTAGTTTAGGGCCATACAAATAATTAATGAAAAAATAAAGTTGTATGTATAGTAATTTTTTTTATATATCAGCAATCAAACAAACAAGAAAATATATGAATAGATAAAAAGATTCTGGAGAATTGTTGTTTAGAATTCAGTTTGAGGTTTGATTTTCCATCAAAAGGTTTCTGTAAATATAAATAAATATATATGCATGTGAAAGTTAAAGTAAGAGAAGTAAGAAAATGGATTTGTCCACATACATACATTTGGAAGAAGCAGAAGAAAAACATTTAATGGCTGATGTCTCTGTGCTTGTATTTGTTGGTTTGTGAGTAGTATTCAACCATATTTCTTTGAAGTTACTGTAGTATCAAGTCTGCTCTTTGATACAAATGAATCTTCTATAATTGGCATTTTCCAGTTATTGGCTTGCTTTTTATTTGTTTTTAGATCAACTACCAATCAACCTTAAGGTATAAGCGTATTGAAAAATAATTAAGAACATTTCATTAGTTAATATTTCTAACTCAATAAACAAGTGATTACATCAGCCAAAATCAAATACAGGTCAATGCCATTAAGCTGCACACCAATAAACCACAATGTCACTTAAACCGTGTCTGTGCAATAGACCCCAAAATTTTTTGTCATGTTCATATTAGGATCATAATCATCAGTGGATCCCAATTTGAAACAAATTCAAACTTGACTGACACTTTTTAAAGTCTGATTTTTTTCTATATAATCTTTTATTTTAATAAATTCAATAAATTGAGTTTTAATACTTTCAGTATATCTGTATTTTCCCAGGCATTTAATATTGTTTAGGCTTTGGCACTTCACACTCACAATTGTGTAGTGGTTTGGATTAGTAGCACTTTGTGGACATTTTGAGTGTGAAATATGCAGCTTACAACATTTATCATAACTCAAAAATTTCACTGTGTTACCCATTTTCATGGATAACTCCATGGACTTGAAAAGCTTTATTTTGGTGGTCTAAGCTAACAATCCTGAACCATAGACCATCTAAACTGCCAATACAAGTTTTGGATCCCAACTACCATGGTTTATCAGCACTGATCTGTATCTCTACAACATATGAATTTATATTTTGTTTCTTTAATATATAGACACTTATTAAATTATGTTGTATTAACTTGAATATTTTGAACTAAATTGGGATTAAGATTAGCTCTGAATATATATATTTTATCATGTCAAGCATATTTGCAAAGAGTAAAAATAAGAAAATAAATAGAACTCATAAATGCGATTTTGCTTTTATTAGTTTGTGATAAGTGAAATTGTCCCTATCCAAAAAGTTGTAGAGAAAAACATTTGATAGATTGATAAGAGTTTCAATTGGCTTATATAAAAGGATTATTTGTTTTTATTTATTTTATTTCTAACATTAACTTTATTGAGCTTACCATTTTGTTCTAATATCTTCTGCCATATTTTAGAGGAATTCATAATTCTATTCTTTTTAATTTTCTGAACAAAGAATTGCACTTGGTGCCTTTTGCAGTCTTCCAGGGAACTGAATTTTTTTCATTGAAATAATTCTGTAAAGAACAGAACAGTTATCCAAAAGGAAATTTGATGGATGAGTGAAATCAGTGGTGGACTGGCCACAGTGTCAATTTACCCAATAGCAAGTGGGCCCCTGATGGAGTGGGACCTCTATATCAAATAAAAATACAATAAATAAACAAACTCAGACAACTGTTTTAGTGATAGAAAGGAATAAGAACTTTATAAAGTCATTTGCACACTATCAGTTACTCAAGTCCAATTTGAAGAGACATTTTCAAAGCACAAGATCAAAGTTAAGAAATTCACTGCTTGAGCAGAATTTGGAATCATACATGTTCATACATGTTGCAATCCAATGAAAAGGAATTGTTAGATGAATTGGATGCAAAAGGAATTATTGGTAGATTTGCACAATCACCTGAAGAACACAAACAATTGTTCTTAATAAAATGAACTGCATGCACTGCACTTTTGAACTTTCTGTTAATGTGTAACTTGTGAAGTAAATTATTTAAAAGTATCAACCAATTACTTAAACTTAAAACAAATAAAAAATTAAATTATAACATTTTGTAATTACATTTGGTATCTACTGTCAGTAATGTGTACAGTACATGTACATTGTAATTACAAAGAAATACACATTTTTTTTTTTCATAAAGATTTTAATTGTATCCTTTTGCCCATATTTATTTTTTGAAAATTTTATTTATTCATTATGAAAATTAAATGAGAGCATTGTAGTTGTGGATGAGCCTCCTTCGTCTTCTGGCAACCAATATTTTTATACCCAGTCCACCACTGTTCTCAATCATTTTTGTCTAGTCACTAAAGAAATATGTATCATGTTATCTTGATGGAATATTACACAATCTGGTCTCTTACATAAAACATTACGTTTTTTGTCAGTTACTGTTTTTAATTTGTCTTCGTGGGAGTATTATGTGTTTGAATCAATTGTTTGTTTCCATGGATGGATACCATAATTGAAGACTCCATTTCAATACCATCATATATACACAATAGCACTTTGTTTGAATGAAGTCTGGACTTTAGTACACTTAGTGGTGATTCATTTCTCTTAGCCCACAATCTTTTGTATCTCAGATTGTTGCAAATATCTACTACTAACATAGTCAGTCATTCACAGTACCTTTTTCATAAACTGTATGAATTTATTTTGCATCTGTGTTGCATTTTTGCCTTTGTTCAAATAAAAAAATAATATATTAAAATATTGCTTATTTCCTTCTATCTTCAATATTAAAATTAATAACCAAAAATATTCACTTTTTGATATATTTTTTAGTATATGCTGATATGACAACTGTTACAATACAATCATAAGTAATAATTTTGAATGAAATTAGTTAAAACAAAGTGCTCTTCATCATTGTGTTGAGCTGCCTCAGAATTGCTTGATTACATGATGTCATCCTTCAGTTGGATTGCATCCAGCATCTTGAGTGAATTGATTCAAGCATGTCTTCAAACAGTGTCCAATGCTGTCATGTCCACAAGAGGGTTTCCAAAGTCATCACTAATAAGCTCTCCTTTGCTTTTCCAACAGTATCCAGCAAATCTGAGTTTCCTTTCCTTTATTACATCTCATATGAGAGCTAGTTTATCATAGAGTCTTTCTTTTCTTGGATGGTTCATCCATTTTATAGTGAGAATGGCTTGTAGCATACATATATAATTACTATGTATTATATTTTAAATAGTTTTGGTGAGATCTGAACCATAAATCATGACTGACTCAACAACAGTATGAAAGAAATCTTTTTAGATAGTGTCAAACAGATCAAATTACAGTTAGTTTCTTCAGAGCTGTCTATGCTTTACTAATTCTTATCTTGACATTTTGGCCTCATAGGAAGCAGTACTACTACAGCAGGTATCAACGGAAAGAGAAAGAGTGAGTTAGTAGAGCCATCACAATTACAGCTGAAATATTCTATTTTCTTTGCATTTACAATCAACAAGATAGCCAAATCTCAACTCACTCAAAACATTTTTGATGTTATCTAATAACATAACCCAAATTATCTTTTTAGTCAATCCAGTTATATTGGACAAGAGAAGATATTTTTAAATTAGCCTATTACTAATCCTTATCATTTGAATCTCTGGAGGAAAGCAAAATATATTTAAATAATGTTTTTACAATGAATGCTTTTTCTGTGCCATAATGTAACTGTTTGAAAATAATCTGTATAACAAAAAAATTGGTAAGAAAAGTAATTTATGTGCTTTGACATACAATGAATATTTCTAATACAAACAGATCACACCTTCCCTCAATGGATGATTTGTGATAATATTACAATTTTTAGTTATTATCCATTGATTAAGAAAGATCATTGCCTGAAAAACTTTATAGAAATATCATGAAGGGTACTGCTCCAGTTTTATCTCCAGACAATTCAGTCGAGGGTGTTTATGCAAACCATGACTACAACAAAAAAATCAAACTCGACCCCACAAAAACAAAAGTAGATGTTAGATTCATCATCTCTTAACACTAATGTGCGGGGTCTAGGTTCCAACTTTCCAGAGGTGAAAATCCATCTTCCCAGTACCTGGTCAGATCACCCCTAATAGTAAGGCATGATAATCAAAATTGCCACGGCTATGGACTTGGCACCTACATTAAAAACGGTTTCTCATGTTCAATAAAATAGCTGAGGCAATAATATCCTGTCTGAGTATCCCTCAGCTAGCATTCATATTTATGCTAACCTCAATATTAACCATAATGAATGGTTAATCCACTTGACAAAATCGATGAAGAAGGTAGATAGTGCTGAGACTGCTCCATCACCTCTGAACTGACACAAATTACTTGATGGTTGTTTGATAATTTTTTTTTTTCTTGAGAATTCCATTCATTTTTCAATTAATACAAAGTTTCTTTTCTTCACAGGGTGACAGAGGATCCCGAGGTATACTTGGAGAAAAAGGAGACACTGTAAGTTTAAACTCTTACTTTTTCCAAATATCAAATTCTTTATTATTCTAAAGTGAAAAGCATTTTTATCCATTTCAGTTGATAAATTATAAATAAATACAAGTTTTATATTTATTATTCTTGAATTCTATTTAAGACAATATTAATTGTTAATTTTTCTAAACTGTTTTTTCTGCAAATTATTTGCTTAAAAAATTTTGATGAGTGAAATTCTGTTAAAAAATACTATTTCAGGGTATCATGGGACCTGATGGCGAGAAAGGTGACATGGGTATGAAAGGTGACAAAGGAAGAAAAGGAGCCACAGGACCCATGGGTATTGAAGGAATTGAAGGTCAAAAGGTGATTTTATTTTTATTAATCTGGTCCAAAGGTTTTTTTTTTTTTCATTTTACCCCAAGCAAAGGCAATAAGGCCACTAAGATACAAGGGGTTACTAAGAGTAAAAAAATCTAAGAAAAACAGTATTGAAGAGAAAGAACAATAACAGAACAAGATTCAAGGAAACAGATGATGATGATTGATGATAAATTTTTGAAGATTGTAGAGTTGATAGGAAAGCTAGAAGACAGAAGAGAGTTCTGCAAGTGAGAAGTGTGAAAGAAGAAACTATCCATAGAATCTACAAATATTTGTAGCAGTTTTAACAATAATATGATAAGACCTAGCTGCAAATCTAGTACTGATCATAAATTTGTGAATTCAAAATACTAAAGAAAAAAGCTTGTCAGAACAATTACCAGAAAAATATTTATAGAAAAGGTACAGGTAAGCTACATTACAGCTATGGGAATGTAACTGAAGCCGAGAGGCCAAGTCAGAATTAGTAATTGAATTGTTTCTGTCCATGAGATTTTAATCAATACCAGTAAAAGCATCAAATGAGCAGACAAAAATATTTAATGTTACAATGTTGTTGTTGATCATCATTTAGTTTCACTTTATTGTTCAATATGAAAAAGAAAATAATAGCATTGTTCAATTCAGTAATGTCTTTTTGTGAAACCTGAAATCTTCAGTATGACACCAATATGACAGAATGACCAAATAAGTGTTGAATAACTTTTAAGATTTAGAATACACTTTACAAAATAAGTATTTTATATGCTGTTCTGATTGTCAGACAGTGCATTCTTTTTATTATGAAAGTATTGAATGTGATCTCATTGAACTCACTATTTCTTTGAAAATGAAAAGTTTGCTCTTATGTTATATCATAAGGCTTTAGATCATAAACAGTAATGTAATAAAGTAGGTCACTTGCTAATAGACTGTAAGAAAAATTGCAAATAAAGTAGATAGTAAGGTTAGATCTGTTTCTGTGAGTTTAACCAGCATGAAGAAAGACAACATCAGTCTAAATGGTTTTTAATTCAATACTGAAATTATATTGATACAATGTTATGATGATAAATGAATTTGTACTACAAGTCTTTCAGACAGAAATTCACTTTTATTTAACATGAAGACAATTTCTGCCTTAGTTGTTAGTTACTGGGAAAATGTTAGAGATGAGGTACTAAGTTTGTTGGCTGAATAATTTTCCAAATATCAATCATTTGCTTATCGTCGGGACCCGCTCGTATTGGGATCCTCATTCTCTCTACTTGGTGAGTCCAGACTTCCTGACAGCACATCACAGTTCCTCTTCATGTTGGCAGTTTGACTTAAAAGTTTTGGTCCCCTGAGCAACAGTTTCCCAGGTCTCTGGGTCAATCTTGACCTATATCAGAGATGTGTTATTTTGGGCCACCTCATAACTTCTTGCTGCTAATGAGTTCTCCAAACAGGATGATATGTGGGAGTTGAGTGGAACATATAGTGGACATGTGATCTGTGTAGGTGATGTTGAAGGATGGTAGGCTCAATGCTGGGAAGAGATGTCTGAGAGAGGACTTTGTTGTTGGTGATGCTATCCTCCAAGTTGATGTGAAGGAACAGAGCTTTATTTGTTGGAACTGTTCAAAATGTTTGATGTCCTGATGATACAAATTCCAGACACCTCACAAGCATACAGAAGTGTGGAGAGGACCATGGCCCAGAAAACCATGATTTTTGATTTTATCAATCATTTGCTCCAAAGTTACTGAATGGAAATGTTTTCTTCATAATTTGTAAAAGATTAATTTTAAATTATATTAGACTGAATTATTAGTAAATATACAGTCTTGTCAAAGTACAAATTGAGAAAAGACTATAGCCTTGTGGATGAATTTGTTGGTTCATGAATTTGGTGACATAGTAATTGTGAGTTGGGTTGAGTAGTACTGAATTAGACTCAATGGTAATTGGACAAGCATTAGCTTGTACTCGCAGTACTATATAAGAACAAGACATGATATCCCTAGACATAAACAATTGAATGAAAACAATCTACTCCTGTAGATTAAATAAAGTGTTTGGTTTGAAATTCCCTGAAGGTTATCCAAATCAGCAAGGACTTGATGAAGATTGAAGGACACAATGGCTGAAATATTGTGATAATAATAATAAAAATGATGACAATAGTCCAAGTGTAAATAATGTAAATCCTAATCTGTCTTCCCAGAAATCCAGACAGAAAAAGAGATAGATTTTTTTATCATTGTTGTTTTAATACCATTTCTTTTATCTTAATTTTAATTACTAATAAAAGAAATATAAGTCCAAAAATAATTATTGATAATATTTTATTTAAGAAATTCAAAATAAGATGACTCCTCTCTTTCTTAGATTTGATAGTTAACAAAATAATGTTTAATTTACAAATTTTATATAATCATTTACTTCAATTTCAGTTTCTATGTTTCAGTACAGAATTAGAAAATTCTAAATGAAATTAATTAAATTATTTTTTGCTTGTATAAATGATCTATAGTTTTAATATAAAAAAGAATCCTTGTTTATGCAAAATATTATTTTTTTCATTAGGGAGAGTATGGTCCACGTGGAGAAACTGGTCCACCAGGTCCTTCAGGAGAGAAGGTATATAATTTTTGATCAATTAAAAAAATTTTATGTGATAATTTTATACAAAAACTGCTTTGATGATAATTGTAAGTATAGACTTCAGGAATAGGATCTTCTTTTATAAAATGCATTTAATCTGTTGTAATAGATTTATTTTATATATAGTTAAATTAGAAATATTTCTATATTACAAATGTTGCTGAAAAGTTTATCATCTATGTTATGTTAAAATAAAGATTTTTATTATTCATAATTCTGTTGTTTAAAAATACTTTGATAGATTAACTGATTACCATCCTTTTTTTTAAATGGCACTTTTCAAATGAGGAAATCATAAATGTTGAACTTTCTGAAAGAGAAAAAAATTTCAGGGGGTCTCGGCCCAGAAAAAATACTCATCAAACCCACTGACTTAAAAAACATTATTGCATTATATACTATTCCATCCCAGAGTTTATTGGATCATCTTATAAATTTTTCCACCTTTATTATACTAATTAAATGACTGTTTCATATTTAATTATACCTCATGCATACTATATACATTCGTTCATTGACTTTAATGTTTTGTCAACATAATCTATGCTGAATAATTCAGCAAAATTTGTTTGGTGATAAACAGCTTTAAAAGTTATGTTATTATCTTGTCCTTGAAACCATATACAAATTTAACACATATGAATATTATCACTTACTTTTTAAGTCATTAATACAGACAATAAATTTTAGTATTAATTATGAAATTAAAAAACTGTAATTACATTTTTCTAAAAAATCTATTATTAGTTTCAAACCTATAGCCCACTAATTTTCTTTCATAAAATATCATTTAAAATCGTTTTTAATATTTTGTAACATTTTTACATGGCTGTGCTGGTCCATTTTAGAAAAAATAGGAAATTACTATTTACTAGAAATAAATGACTATAAAGATACTGAGGATAATTTCTCATGTGTGCTGCAATTTTGGTTTTGATAGGATACTCTGCAGTACAGACTAAGCTAAACAACACTCCCAAAACACAATATAATAAAAATGCATCATAGAATAAGTCATATCGTACACTATTAAATATCTATACTAGTTTGAAAATAGTAGAAAGCACTAGTTAGTTTATAACACAAATAATCCTAAGGTCTAACATTTCATTGTACCATGAAAATGTATATATATATGTTAATAACAAGTAATGTACATTTCATAAAGACATATAACTACATACACTATATTTTTTATATATTTTTCTCAGTTGATAAATAATAATGATTAGTTTTTTGTATTGTATAGACTAAAGGCATTTCAATTAATAAAAATAATTTTTATTTCTTATTAATGTTTAATGCGAAATGTGAATAACTGCTTTCATTTGACTTTTTCGAATTGTAATTTTTCTATGATTTTCAAGTAAATCATCCTGAATGCACAAAAAAACAGAATTTAAAAAAAAAAACAGTTGTTATACTTTCTGCTAAATGCTTACAAAACAAATATTTCAAAGATTTAGCTTCAGCTTTCAATATTTTATGTCTCTATTATGTATCTACCAAAATAATAAACCATTGATAAACATTTATTACACATTATAAAATCAATAGACTAATTCAAAAAGCTTCTTTTATGGGATCTTTTTACCAGTTTTCTTTTCTGGCAAATAACCTAAAACCTTACATTCATCTTTGAATAATAAAAAAGTAAGAAGATACTAAAATAACTTCTGGATTGTCTATTATAATTTCCATGTCAGGTCTGACCTTGAATTCATTATGCATCAAATGTGCTATGGCTAAACACCAAATGCTATCTTAGGAATAAGGAAAAGGAATGTTTATTTAGGTTTTCAGAACTTATTTAATATTCTTATAATTAATTCTGTTTATGTTTATAAAGATTAATAATATTGTTGTGCTCTTACTGACTTGTTCTTGTTTTAATTTAAGGGTCGTATTGGTATTCCTGGATTCCCCGGCTATCCTGGACCTCCTGGTGAAAAGGTATATTTTTAAATTAATATAAAAAATTATCTTTGTTATAGATAAGTTCATTAACAATAATAATTTTTCATCTGAGAAATTCAGATATAAAGAAATTTATCCATTTTTTCTTTCAAGTTAACATTGAAATTACAGTTCTGTACCAATTGTTGATACACTTAGTATGTCTAAGGGCGATAACTTATTTTGAAAAGAATGAAAAAATTCAGAAAAATGCAGTAAAACTTCACAGAAATTTTTTGTGTATTATACATTGTTTTAAGCAGCAATAAATTTTGAAGACTGGAATATATTATTTATGTTATTAATTGTCTACATTATATATTAAAGAGGATATAGATTTAAGGTTTATTGAAAATGTAACATTTGGATTGTTTATTAGATCTTCTGGTCTTTCACCTTTCTTAGTTGTAATATATTTATAATTTCTACTTCATTACTTTGATATACTTTAAACTTTATACTTAAACTTTTACTTAAACTGTTATATTATTTTTGCCCTGTTATTCTGAATTTTATATGATTCTGGAAATAAAATAATTTCCAATTAATAAAATAGTAATTATTCTATGGTTATAGATTCTATTTGATAAAAATATGAAAAAGGTATTTTTTTAAATTTTAGTTAATTTGTCCTTTGTAATATTGCTTGTCTTTTTCATTGAACCAGAGTATATGACCCAACCCAATACTACTTCTTTTTCTCTGTGACCCAAAATCCTTGGACACTTGGCCTAGTGGCTAAGTTTTGATTAAGCAAATTGAGTTACTTAACTGTGATGAATCCAATTTCTGGATTGGGTAGTGTAAAAAGAATCATATACTCTGATTCGGTGGAAGAGACAAGCACTATCACAAGGTCGGTAGATGATCAAGTTATCTCCCCTAATAGGGAAAGCTTTTATTCAGGCTGCTTACTCAAGGGAAGTAACTCCTGTCTCTTATTTCAAAATGAGGCTAAATTGTAGCAAATCTACATTATACAATCTACCTCTGTGGATTTAATAAGGATTTCAGTTTGAAATTCCTGGAATGTTATCGGCTATAATAGACACCGCGGTGATAATAGTAATGAGGTCATTATTCTTAACAAACCAGTGTATCTAATAATTTTCTAAAAATTTTAGACAAAACAATTTCTGATTTATAAAATAGGACTTACTCTTTGATATCTGCCAATTTTTATCTGGGTAAAAATGGGAAAACGGTAGATTTTAATATTTTTTATTAATTTATTGTTATCTGTTATTTTTTAAAATTTTCTTTATAGGTAATTTATTTTAAAAATAAACTGTACAGCCTCTTTTATTTATATAGCTTTTATAATGATTTGAAATTTTTAATATTTGTCTTATTTTTTCTCTACAGGCAGAGAGAGGACCTGCTGGCAGACGAGGCAAAAGAGGTTCCAAAGGAAAGACTGTAAGTATGGGCCTATGTTTCATAACCCTGATATGTGATAATTGCATATTCTAAATGATAACATTTAACAAGACTTTAGTGTATTAAACTAAATTACTATATTTCAACCATTAGAAAATTAATGATAAAAATATGTAACTTTTAATAAATAAAAAGGATTAAATGATGTAAGACACATTTTTACTAAAATTTAAAACTGCATGAAGCAAGTTGTATTTTATTTCCTTTAATACAATTGTATTTGTTTCATTTTTCCATAATTTATGATTTAAAAATAATAATAATTGTACCTTGCAAAGGAACATCAGACATCAATGAATCAACTTTGCTTTTCAAAATTTGATTATTAAACTGTTTGAATAGACTAGACCATTAGTGTTTCTCTTGCCTATCTCTACAAATATGGTAATAGTCAATAAATTAATAAAGTTCAGTTGACTTGTCTTTTGACCATCTTCAAAGTTTCACATACACAATGCTAATCATGGTCAGATAAATAAATGGATCTTATTAATCTATTGATTATTGCTACTCTAGTTTTCTGTCAAGCACTTTCTTGACAAAAATTCTGCTTGCATTGAAATATATTAAATTCTAGTAATTTTATGTATTTTGATAGGTATTATTGATTTGTGTTATTACAAATATGTTTGTGTTTGAAAGTATATATTAACACTATATATTTTAAAAAACAATACAGTGTTAGTTATGTATATTTTTCAGTGTGACAATGTAATATATGCACACAATATGAGAATATATAATATTTTTAATAATTATTGATTTTATAGTTTGCATTATTAATGGAAATTTATAATTCTTTTAAATGTTTTCAAACATGCTTTAAAATAGCTTATGAGCAATGTTTTAATATTCATACTGATCTACTCTTAGCAATATTTTTATACAGTACTCACATTTGCAATGTTTTCATAAAATTCTTATTAGCAGTTTTTTTATAGATAAGTCATATTAAGTGTTTCAATACATATATCTTATGACGTGTGTTTTAAAATAACTTTAATTAAAAATATTCTAATACTTGCCTCTAAGGAATGTGTTTTTAGATGTTTTGCAATAGAACTTGTATCTGACAAATGATATGTAAGATGTCTTGATAATATTGCGATCACCAAACCAACATATGTACTTAGTTTTCTTGTCAGAGATATAATCTCCCAAAAGACATTTAAACTAATACAATGTTAATCTTTTTCAAAACACTAGTTGATGGAGAAGAATGATTATGTATGATAAATTGATTATGTTAAATTTTGTATAATATATAATTAGTCTTTTTTTTTTTTTACTGGGATCAGTGGGGAATATATTAGTACATATGAGATTTTTTAGGACTTAAATATATATATATTTGAAGGAATGAAGATGTGCTTCTAAAGAAGATTACTAAGAATATTGAGGATGGAGAGCGTGTGATCAACAAGATGTTGCACAAAATGTGTGAATGGGGTAAAAGTAATGAAAGTGCTCAATGTAAAGAACAGAGCTTACTTTATATGATTATTTAGTCAATTTTTTGTTTCTTACCTCCTATGACTTCAAATTTTATATGATGGCAATCTTCAGGCAGCAAGTGTAGATATATGTGATACTATTACTATATAGAGAAGGTGGTACCAATCCATAGAGACATTAAAAGAAAGAGAGGAAAGATGAGAAAGGAATAATTTTATTAAAACTTCACATAAATAATATATATTGTAGATAATATATCATTTGCAGTATAGTGTAATGGTGGCTTTACTTTTAGCCAAAAAAATAGAAGTGACAGAATAACAAATAGAGACAAGACATGATAGATATAAGTAAAAAAGAGTTTTTATTTCCCATAAATTACATGGTCCAATTGTTTGCTCATTCCAGAGTATTGTATATTGGTCATGGGAGACTGAGATTTTGTACTTGGTGTAACACAAGCTAGTAGTTGCAATAAACACACGAAGAAAATCAACAGGCATATGTAGTCGAGTGAGTTATATTCATGGGAGAAATATTTCATGAATTATTGTATTATAGTAGTTGTGAGTTAGTTTCTGCTGCTGCCACTTTTCTGTCACTGGCCAAAACATTGCTGTTGATGGAAGTGCCTTGGTGTCACAGATGATGACCTAGTTAAGCTTGCTTGCTGTAAGAGTCAATCACTTATGCCAGTCAAGTTAGATCTACCTTTATGAGTAAAGATCAGTGTTGGCTTTATTGTAAATCAGTGCCTCAGGAACAGCTGGTATGAAAACCATGTGGGAGTTTTCTGATTGGTCAGAAAAGATATTTTATGATCTTAGTATTTTTGGATGGTATTCTGGAATTGGGTACATAGAGCCACACAAAATTATGGTCTGATTTTTCATATAAAGCTGTGGATATCGAAGTGAACATTCTTATTTAAGTTAAAGAATTGGAGTTTTGATAGGCTACAATATATATTATCTATATTAGAATGAAATTTTATTCCTACAGTTTTGTTAATCAAATTAAACTTAATAAATAAATGTTCATTTATATTCATCTAGGGTCTTCCCGGACCTTTAGGCGAACGTGGAGAAAGAGGACCAGTGGTAAGTAAAAGAGAATTTTATTATTTCTTTCAATGAATTCATATTCTGAATTTATATTTGTTTATCTCCCCTGAATTAAAATGTATTCATTCATTTTGCTGTTTACTCAAAATTTGTGGTAATTTATATATATTTTTGCAATAAATTATATTCAAAAGTAGATGAAGAGAGATAGTTTGAAATACTTAGCTTTCTTGGATTGTTGAAATAAAGTTCTTTGAAGTGTTAAGTGCTTGGTAAAGGCTGATAATATATTTGGCGAGTAATTTGACACTGGCAAGAACTTCAATGCAGGATATGTGAACAGAAATGAAACTTTTCACATGACTTCAGACACTCTTGTTGATTTAATTTTTTCCTTATTTTATATTATGAAGGATTTTGCATTGGCTTGCTATTTTATTTCCTTTCTTTTTTCTAGGATCAATGGCTAATTCCTGTGAAAACAAGGTTATCATTGGTCCAAAGAAAATTTCACATAGGCTGGCAAATTTCTTTCAGTCTTTTTCCTCAGCTCATCCGAATTTGAAAGGAGTGGGTGAAGGGAGTTTTTATTATTTTGTATTCACCACATGCAAACTCAACTATTGACAAATACACTAAACCTCAGCTGGAAACAACATATCCAATGAAGAATGATATGGAAACCTTCCAAAGAATCGAAATACAATTGATGAAAGGTGGGTGCAGTTTAGTGGCCATTGCTGGAAAACTAAACAAAAAATTGTGTATTTGCTGATACTGTGGGATCCAAGTTGTAAGAAAAGTTGTAAGAAAAGATCAGGAGGTAGAGCAACATGAAACATTATTGATCAACTTATGAATGACACAAGCATCAGAAAGGAGGAATTTGGTAGGGCTATGGATGAAAGAAATTGTTGGAAAGAAGTAGTCAGAAGTATTTGTTTGAGGATGATCAGATAGATAAAATTCATATTGAAATAAAGACACAATAAATACTAAACAAATATGTCAATATATAAAATAGTTTTGTGATATGAAAAAATTTATATAATTTTTTTCTAAATTTTCTGTTAAAATGTATGAATTTGTATTTTTTGTTCATTCAAACGCTTTTCTTTTAACTATATTTACAAATATCTTTGTCCAACAGGGACAACGTGGTGAAAGAGGTCAAAGGGGCATCCCTGGGCCTACTGGACCTAAAGGAGATGATGGTCCACCTGGTCCCCCTGGATTCCAAGGAGAACAAGGTATTCAAGGTGTTCCAGGCCCGGCAGGACTTATTGGACCACCTGGTCCTCCTGTAAGTTTTTAAGTTTTATAAATACGCACTTGAAAATTTTAATTGCAGTTCATAATAAATGTCACTTTCACATTTTTAGATTCAATTCTTCATGAATTTGATCACTTCTTAAAATTCATATTAAATCAAACATAAATGTTTCATACTTTGGCGAATTAAACTCTTCCTCATTATCATGTTTCGTTCAATACATTTTACAACCTTTTAAAAGTTTATAATTACTAAGAAAAGATAATAAATAAAAGTGTGTTAATTCATATAAGCTAATTGTATGCATATTTATATTATAAGATGATTGTGTTTTTGCCTGTGAATTAAAGTAGTAACTCTGATAAAATCAGCATACTAGCTTTCCTCTAAAAAACCTTTTTTGTGCTAAAAAAAACCTGCTTATTAACAAATCATACTAAGTGACTCATACAAGAGAAAAATCAGAATTCATGATTTGCTTAAAACATTGACATTAGGATTTGCTTAAAACATTGATATTAGGATTTGCTTAAAACATTGATATTATGATTTGCTTAAAACCCTAACATTAAGATTTGCTTAAAATAATTTGTTCTCAGTCTTTAACAAATCTTTTGTAAGGAAATTTTTCCAATGCCATTAAACAAGAAATTAAGAGCAATGAGATCAATCATGCACAACAAGTAAATTTTTATTTAGATTGACAATTTATTGTGTATCCAATTGAACATGTCTTCTTTTATATGTTGTGAATTCTGTACATAAATACATGTGTTGCAATAATGTATATATGTGACAGAATGTGTTTATATGTATAATAAATACAGGTATCAACAAGGAAAAAGCTTTATTAAGAAAAACGGTCCTTGTTACTGTAGGACATTTAAAGATGTTTGTATTCATTTTGTATATTTTTTTATTTCTCAGCAGAGACTTGAATTAAATATGCAAATTGTAAAACACTTTTTATAGGATGAGAAAATAAAAAACAAGTGACTGAATATTTTCTATCAAAACATTTGAAAATTTTACTATCATTTTTTTTTATTTCTAAATATGTACAGAAGAAAATGTCAATTTAACTCATTGGCCTGAGTGCTCATGTGTTGCATGCTGTTTTTTTAAAAGAAACCCCCAAAAGCCTACTTCATGATGCTGATATTTTAGATCAATGAACATGCAAATCCATTTCATCGTTGACCACTTGTAAGTGTCTAAATTGAGTAGACAGTTTTTCTGTTATAAGTAGTAGGAATCTTCCTTTCTATTCATCATTTTACCAAATAATAATCACTATTACCACCACTGACGTAGCCTTATTCTCTTACTTCTTCAGAACCTGTTTGATGAAACACCAACTGACTATTAATGAAGAATTAACTCCCCCAAAACTGAAACATCTTTCAGTTCAGTCTGTTATGAAAACAGCTTTCTTTTTGGTTCTGATTTTTTACAATAATGACTAGTTGTGATTATTATCAATTCAGAAATTCTTTTACCATTTTCATAGGGACACCCTGGAAAAGATGGACTTCCTGGCTTTCCTGGTGAGAGAGGTGAAACTGTAAGTTGTAACAATTTTTTTAAAAATAATTGGTTTCATTTATATTCAACAATTAAGAATATCAAATATTTCTTGTTTTAGAACCATGTGAGTGTTTCAAGAAAATGTGTAATACTAGTATACATCATCTGCAAATGTTTGGATCTTACATTCCTTAGTGTGAGACACAAATAGACCATAAATTTGATTTTGAAAATGTATCCTTAGTAAAAAATGAACACAGCTTATTACAGGGAAAATACCAAGAATAATATTAATAAATAATCAACATACATACCAGCAGATGTACTTATTCATATTCCTAATATTTGTAAAATCTATACTTAAAGAATATAAGGGCCAAACGATCATACTTGTGATGGCTACTTAATTTGAAATTAAATTAAAAATTTTGCTTTGATTTTTAAAAATTACTCATTATTATTTTTTGTAAGAAGCAAATTTTTGAATTCATTTGACCTAAAAGCTTTATCAATTTAATTCTGTGTTTGTATATATATATATATATATATATATATATATATATAGGTAACAAAAATCAGTAATAATAATTAAATATAAAACTAAGTTATGAATATAAATATTTTTTTGTCACATTTTAGGGTCAACCTGGAGCTGCAGGGCAATCTGGACCTGTTGGTGTTATGGGACCACCTGTAAGTTTCTTGTATATAACTATTTGCATAAAAAATTTCAAAATTTTGTTTAATTGTTTTTTACTTTCCTTTTCTTGACATTGATGAATTATTTTCTTTACTCTTTGTTCACTTCCTCTTATAAATTTCCATGTAATTAAACAATTACCATTTTTCTCATTTACTATATAAGAGAGGAATCTGTTTTTAAGAGAAACTTAACTTTTTGTGGATTAATTAATTAAAGAACAGTGAAATTATATGGAGTCTGCGATTCACAAGTTGAGGTTTGCCTTACTGCAGTCATGTATGCTATTGAAAAAATAGGTTTTATCATGAAAACAATTATTTTAAAAAACTAAACACCAAAGAAACGGATACAAACATGAATAGTGTCACTGTAGATCAGTAAAGTATGTTGCTATTTACTAAGTTAAACTTACTTTTAGTACAAGACAAGTATAGGGCACTCAGTGAGGATCAAATTCACTACTCAGTAGCAAACTAGCTCACTAACCATTACCCAATGCTGAAATGTCCAAATCAATAAAATCAGTTTTGTGTCAGTTTCTGTAATCCTATTTCTGCTTAATTTTTTTGCTGTTATGATTTTAAAATGTTTTGACATAATAAAAATATTTTAATATTATTATTTTAAAGATAAATATTTAAACTCCAAACAGTTTATACTGAACAATTCTGTTCATTTTTCCTATTTGTTGGGGGGTCAGATTCATTGCTGTATGCAAAGAAATCATGTGTACCATGGTTTTTATTCTGGTTTGTTGTACAGAATGTGACACAATGTCTTTTTTAAGTGGGGAGCCTATATGCATACATATACATATTACCCAATCACAGTGACCACTGTCACTCTTAGTGCAATGGAAGGTGTTGCCATAGGGTTGAAATACTCAGCAATGTGTACCTTCTTTCATTTCAAATAAAGAGAGAACATATGCTACACTTTGATAACCTCATCAAAAATAGACTCTCATATAGATGTATATCTAGTTGTTTTCTCAGATCGGTGATTGAAAATGGCTTCAAGTCAATGAATGCTTTAGATAGTCCTTCATCAGACTCTACAGATTTATGATACAAAATTATAAAGAGCTTGATCAAATAGTAAAAACCATTTCACTTAAAGACTACCAACAGCAACAGCAGCTAAAATGGATAGCCCATGTATCATGAATAGAACATAATGACATAATCAAGATGTTGATTTTGTACACTACCTTAAACAAAAGGTTAGGAAGGAAACTAGAAAGAGTGATAAAAGATACTGGACTTGAGAAGTCTATTTTCCTGAAAACTATTTTAAGAGAAAAATGTTATAAATTTCAACTGACAATAACACTATTTCATCAATGAATTCCAAATATTTCCATTAATATATTTTTTCAAGCCATTTAAGAAAATATTAAAAACAGCAAATCACTTATTAGCAGAAATCAATCAACTGAGTTTGAACTCTGTCTGAGGCTGTTTACATAAACTAATGCCTTTTGGAAAAGCATGAATCTCTCTAAGCTCTGTTTCATTACCAGATATCTTGAAAAAAAGTATCTTATCATATTATCATGATGTTAGCATAGCCTGTTTAATGTCAATTTGAATCTTTTTTAATATCATTTGCTTCTTATATTCAGATTTTTGTAATATCTTTTTCTCCAAGGGTCAACCTGGTGATCCTGGCCCACCTGGTGAAATAGGACCCCCTGGTAATATAGTAAGTATTCAAGAGACTTAATTATTCAGTACTGTTCTTTACTTGTCACAAATCACAGCAAGTTTTATGATTGAATATATTTGTATTGATCATATGATTTTCTCTCATTAAAACAACTTTAAATAAAAAACAAATGACTTATTTTATTATTTGTTGACAAGTAAATATTGTTAAAAGCATACAAAAACAAATGAATACTATGTTTCAATCTTTGAACATCCAATCAAAAGGTAAGCAAGGGCATGGTACATAATGATAGAAGTATCATGGTATGTATGTATGTATAGCTGGCCACTCATATTCAATGATACCCATCTAGCCAATCCCTATTGCTAGGTGGCTAACCAATCCCTATTGCAGGCGCTTGCTCAGGCACATTTGTGTTTATTCAACACCCACAGAGCCCACCTGTGGTTTATACTGCAAGTATGCTGAGTAGACCTTAGTTACAATTTCTGGTAAAGAGCATGTTATCTACTGTATTCAACAATTTGTACAAGGCCAGCACACTCAAGCCCTCAGCCACGATGACTTGTAACTTCATGTTAGCATAGCTATTGACAGCACCCAAGGGTTCTGTCTATCCAATTTCACTCACAAAGCTTGGTACCAAAAGAAATAAAGTAAGTTTTGTGTTCATTTTGCTGTAATGACTCTTTGCTTTATGAGTCATTGGAAATTTGCTGATCTCATTTCCTGTCAGCACTGAGAAAAATCCTTTTGCTAAATACATTTAAAATAATGGCTGGCCAGTTGTATCTGAGTATGCCTGTTTGCATAGGGTGGCTAGCCAATCCCTGTAGCAGACTGTTACTCGGGCATATTTGTATCTGTTCAAAATTCACAGAGCCACCTGTAATTTATACTGTAACTATGATGAGCAGACCTTATTTACAGTTTCTGAGAGATATCACATTATCTGGTGTGATCAACAGTCTGAACAAGGCCAGTATATTGAAATACTCAGTCACGATGACTTGTGACTTTGTGCTAACATTATTGACGGCTCCCAAATAGTTCTGTCTACCCAATTTCATTCACAATATTTGGGTCAACCTGTCGTATGATTTTCAGGCACTTTTCAAAAAGTGCTGCACACTGGGATCACCTCCTCAGGTCAATAACATCAAGAAGTCACTTTTCTGACAAATCGACCATAATGAGATTTGAACTCAGGTCTTATGGTCAGAAAGCGAATGTTCTAACCACTTGACCATGTGCCCATTATTATACATAATAATCTATGTATTATATATTATTATTATTATTTGCTATAACCTGACTTTTATTTGTTTTAGTATTAATTCAGTTATCTGTTTTGTGCTTTATTAGAATTTGTGATATATAAAGTAATGTGGTTATTATATTTAGAGTTTGTAAAACAATTGTAATTCTTCATATTTAAAATTGAGGGAAATCTTTATAATAACAAATATAAATATATAATATAACATTTTCTACATTAAGTAAATATTCTATATTCGTCTATGAATTATATCATTAAATGCATTTTTTTAATTGGATTATTAGTTATTCTGAATTAGAAACGTTTTTTATTTGACAGTTGGTTAACAGATTTTATTCATCAATATAAGATATATATATATATTTAAATTCAAAATTATTTAAAATATTTACATTAAAAAATTCATGATCTACATCATTTTTAATGAAAAAAATTGTTTTTGCTTTTTTGTAATGCTAATATTGTTTCTTCTGCTTTAGGGCCCGCCAGGTGATACTGGTTTACCTGGTGATGCTGGGACACCTGGAGAACCAGTGAGTATCAATGATTTACTTAACTTTTTAGACATATTTGTTTATTTAATTAAAGGCGTTTTCATTTTTTGCATCATTTTCTAAATTAAGACATAATCTAAATCATTGGTTAAAGGAATAAAATAAGTGATAAAAGTTAAGTTATATTTTGAAAATATAAATACACACACATATACATACATATATATATATATATATATATACACACACACACACACACACACACACACACACACACATATATATATATATATGAAAATATATATATATATATATATACAATAATCAAATTATCAAAAAAATAGGCATATTATATAACATAAATATTTTGATTTATGAAGTAATTTATTGATTTATATCTTTCTTGTTAGATTCTTATTTCTAGAAAAATATGCTGTACAAATCTATATGTCAGATTAATAATGTGTAATTGAATGACAAAATGGAAAACTTTCCTATGGACATGTTTCCTTCCTCAAGTTGACTTCTTCAGACTAATCATGGTTTTATTGATTGGGTATTTATATATATGATATGAGGAAGAAATATAACAAATGCTCCTTACGATTTTAAATTGATAAATGCTGAAGATATGAGGATGTTTAACATTAAATTTAATTTTTTTAAATTTTGGCACTTGATTTATCTAGATGCATAACCTAGCCAAACTCATTCAAATTCTCTATCACATTCTTTTTTAAAATTTTATTACTATTATTTCTAAATATCTCACATTTTAATAGCATTAGTTTTGTTAGGAAACAAGATTTGTAGAATTCTGGATGCAAATTTGCTGTGGAAGATTCTGAAATGAGTGCTTTTTCAATATATTTTTACCTTAATAAACTACTTTAATTAAATTAAATCAAAATTTAACTTAAATTAAATTTTAATTATTTTAAAATTAAATCTTATTTTTAGTTAAATTAAATCCTTATTTTCTTTTTTCTTTATTTATTCTTCTCACTGAATCAAAATGTATCTTTTATATTTCAGGGTCCCATTGGTCCCCCTGGATCTGATGGTCCTATTGGCCCTGCTGGAGCTCCTGGCTTCCCTGGTGATCGAGGTCTTCCAGGTGCACCTGTAAGTATTTCGTTATAGTCTGATTTTGGTTCCAAGAGAAAAAAATGTAAAAAATATATAAATAAATCTTCTTTAAATTTCCTCCATGTTATAGAAATTTGGCATCAAAATTCAAGGAATTCTTTAGTGTTCCATTTACATGAACAAATAAAGCCTTTATAAATTCCCTTAGAGTAAAAAACACTTCAACTAAATAAGTTTTCCTTTTGTCTTTATTCATATGGGCTTTTTACAGATATACTCTATCTGAAATTTTTACACATTTACATGAATCTTTGTTTTGATTGGTAAGTGTGTATTTTCCATAAAAGTTGATGTGGTAAAAAATATTATGATATGATAGCTGACCGCAAAATATTGAACTTTGTTGAGAGGTAGAATATTGAGAATGATAGAAAAAATCTTAGTGAAAACAAAAAGAAGTTGTCGGAAGTGTGAAGACAGTGTATATGTCCTAAATTCAAATATCCTAGATCATTTCAATGCAATCTAAATGATCCTGAATAAATATATTTCATGTACACTTATATTCTGCTTTTAACACTTTTTCAAAAACTAGTGATTTTTGTCATTTGTTTTAATCATCATATAAAAAATAAGCAAGTGCAATTATTTTTTTTTGGACACTTTGGCCTGTGAAAAAAAATGTAAGTTAAACTACTACAGTATGACTTTTTAGAAAAAAAATAGTGCAGTGGATTCTTATTGCCTTCTCCACACTTTGGAATTCAGAATTTCCTTCTCTTAGATTAGTTGGCAAGCAAAGCTAGAGAGCTCAGTCTGCTCTGCTATTTTCACCCATGATAGTGAGAGATGGATTCATACCTTTCCCAAAAGCATTAGTACAAAAGTTAATGGAACAAATTAAGCTGGAATTTGAACTTGGTTTGCCAATAACGATTACATTAAAGGCATATCCCATAATAATTATGCCTCCATAGTGGGAAATCTGACCCCAGTCTCCTGTGTGACAGGCAAGGATACCAATACACTAGTGCAATTTGGCTCTAGCCTATAACTTACATAAAAAGACACCATTGCATCAATTAATGTTTTGCACTAAGTTAAAAAAAAAAGAAATTATATTTGTGAGAGAAAAACAGATCAATGGGACAGATACTCCCGATAGAATGCATCTGGTCTTGTCTTTCAATATAATTCTGTCTGGAGAAATATGGCTGATTAGCACAGATGCCACTGTTCACAAATTTCATAGCAATTTGAGGTTTTATCATCTTCTGCTGATAAAGCAGAATGTTTTACTAGTAAATACTCTTCTAATTCTCTTGACTTATCTTGAGTATCTTTGCCTGACTTTTCACTTAGAACTGAGTCCCTACTGTGTGATAAAGATTATATTGAATCTATTGCTAGGTCAGCTTCTAAGAAAGTTGTTTCACTGTGTCATGCAAGACAATGTTTCTCTCTAGAATCTATCCTATGTATCTATAAGTCTAGTAGTCATTCATGCTTAGAGTATTGCTGCCACATATGGTTCAGTGCTTATGCTGTTTATTTAGAGCTCCTTGATAAAATCCAAAGAAGAATCAGCAATATTATTGGTCCTGATTTGGCATTTTGGCATCAGTCATTTTCCCACCACCATGAGGTTGCCTCCCTGTGCCTTTTCTATAAATACTTTCACATTAATTCTTTGCATGAACTCTTCACTATGGTAACTAGACTTTTTGAATTTACACACAATACAAGCCTGGCATTGACATCTCATCAATTTACAGTTGAGTTGGCATGATGTAACTGCAAATTCTATGCTAACAGTTTCTTTTGACACACTTCTCACTTGTGGAACTCCCTTCCAGCTTCATGCTTTCCAGCCAACTTTAATCTTCAAAAATTTAAATGCAATATCAGTCACTATCTACTGTACTTCTGATTAATCTTTTAGTTCTCGCTCATTAGTAATGTTTTTGTTTTTAATTCTACTCCACTCAGTAACCCCTTGTGTCTTAGTGGCTTTACTGCCTTGCATGGGTTGAACACGATTAAAAAAATAAAAATAACTCCATCCATGGTTTCTTCTGTCATCTCTAAACTGGATCCCCACAAAACATATGAACTTGATGGTATCCCTGCAATAGTCCTAAAGGAATGTACTTCTGAAATGGCTCCAGTCCTCCCTAAAATATACAATAAATGTCTTACTGCTTCTTGCTTCCCTGCTTGTCAAAAATCAATTTTTGTAGTTCCTGTTTTTAGGAACTCAGATGGACCATCTGGTCCTTCTATCAACCTCTTAGTCTTCTACCTCTTTTAGGCAAAATACTTGAGGCTCTAATCAACTTTGAATTATTCATAAGGTCTTCTTTCAGACAAACAATAGGACTTTTGCTTGTCTAGGGCAACTACTTACAATGGTTATCACTGGAAGAGTCTCCCAGGTCTCTAACCTTGAACATACTTTGTTCCTAATTTTTATCAATGACTTTACAAATGTCATCAGCTTGATTCACTGTCTATGCTAAGGATACAAGTAATACTGTCTTAATGGTAAGTTTGATAGGTTAGCTAAGGTCAAATTGACAACTGATCTAAAAAATAATCTTCAATCTATTCTTAACTGGGGCAAGAAATTACTTGTTAATTTTAATGCCTCCAAAATGAAATTACTCTCTTTTAATCATCCAAGGGAACACTGTTTGCCTTCCATCAGCATGGCTGATACTAGCCTCCAGGAGATTAACTCATTTTGCCTTCTCAAACTAATGTCTTCCACTGACAAGAAGTTAAATAATTATATTGAATCAATTGCTAGATGTACTGTTAGGAAAGTTGGTTCAGAATGTTGTACTAGACAAATTTTTACACTAGAATCTATCTTACACCTTTATAAATCTACCATTTGTCCATGCATTGAATATTGTTGTCACATCTAGTCTGGTGCTTCTACTATGCATTTAGAGTTCTTGACAAAATCAAAAGAAGTATCTGTCACGTTATCAGTCTTGACCTGGCATCTCAGCTTCAGTCACTTTCCTACTGCTATAACATAGCTTCCCTGTTGTACCTTTTCTATAAATATTTTTAGGGTAATTGTTCTGATGAGCTTTCTTCTTAGCACTAGATTGGCAGCTCAGTCTCATAATTTTACAGTTGAAATTGCTAGTTTTAGCCATAAGTTCTTTGCTAACAGTTTCTTCTCTCACAATTTATCAATTGTGGAACTCTCTTCTAGCTTCTTGTATTTCAGTCAACTTTGATCTTCAAAAATCACTGTCCTTTTATTATCCTCTTCATATTTGCATCTTGGTGTTATCACCTTGCTTGGGATGAAATAATTAAAAAAAATTGTGTACAAATCAGCATGCATTAGAATAACACTGCATGCTTATTGACCAATCAAATCAACTCTGTGATTACTACAGTGAGTATATGAGGCACACACTTTGATAAGTGGTTAGCCATCACTCCTTGGTTAGTCATTATTCATAGTCAAGTCCTGTAGACTCCCTGAAGAGTATGGAGCTATAGCTGTCAGCATGCTAAGCATTGCTGCTGGGGTTTTCATAGCAAGTAATAAGTTTTTATGAGATGGAGTTGCTAGCCCTACACCCAACTAATTTTGAATTCAGAGTTGTCCTTCTGCTAGACTAATTATAAACCACAGCTAAAAAGCCCAGTCTGTTTTACTCTTTAATCCATAGATGTGATAGGAGAGATGAATTCATACCTTTCCCCAAGGGTATTTGTGTATAAGTGAATGTAATGAACTTGACTGGAATTTGAACTCAGGTCACTGATTTCTTATTCCAAGCTACTATCTAGTACACCACTCCCATTTCCATATGGATGGGTTAGCCTTTGGGTAAGAAACTTTTGTCAGTGCGGTACAAATTTGGCGGTGGTGTAGGAGCTAGAGGATCTGTATAAAAATAATATTAATAAAATATAACAGTAGTATAAAATAAAGTAGTATAAAACAAAGTAGTATCAGTTTAACTTTTTTACATGGATTGAAATTTGGAGATTGTGATATGCTTTTCTTCATTTCTTGGATTAAAAGAATTCATTAGTTCAGTTCAATTTTCTCAGTTATATTTTATTCATTTCTATAAGTAAGAAATACGGCAAACTGGTAAATTTAAAATCAAAATTAAAATATATGCCTGTAAGTTTGCAATAGTTGTTTGTACTTTTATATTAAAAATGTGATTAGTTTAAATAGAGTAAGTTCTAAAGTATTGAAGGAAGAAAAGAGTATTCAACATATTAAATTATTTTAGATAAAAAGAAGTGTATTTGCTTTAACTCTTTAAAATGTCAGACATCATCAATTCATGTTTCATTGGAGGTTAGCATGTATCCTCAGTTGATAATTTAAACTTTTCCAATGATACAAACATCATTCATTCATGATTTGATTCTAAATTAGCAACTCTAGGATTATTAGTGAAGTTATTATTTATTAGGATTCATGAGGTTATTATTTATTAGGATTAATAAGGTTATTATTTATTAGGATTCATGAGGATATTATTTATTAGGATTCATGAGGTTATGTCATGTCCTAGAATATTTGCCTGCAATAAAGCTGGAAGAACAAACCAAAGACAATGCTATGTCTACATACATACTTCTCAAAAACAAGAGGTGCAAAATGGTGACAACTTGATGCAAAGAATGCACAACTTCTTTCTGGATGGAATGATTCAAGAAATATTCTATTGCTAAAAAATATTAAATTTAGAAAACTAACATTTGTTTTATTCCCACCCCTTTTCTTTATTTTTAGAATCTAAAATGTGAACATATAATTTTTATACCTTTTTACTTAATTATAGCAAAATTAAGCATAAAAACTAGTTTAAAAAATGAATTTTCTCATCTTCTTACCTAATCGGTATGCACAGTTGTACAACTTTTCCCTGCTATTTAAGAGTTAAAAGTACTGAATTTAATAACTGTTATGAGATAAATGCAAATTTATTATTCAATAAAATCAGTTATTTTAATAATTTTTGATTTAATTGAATCGTATATCAAAATGTTTTATATATTTAAAGATCTCTCAATGAATCAATAGAAAGTAATGAATGAATTGCAGGAAAATTACAATTGAAATTGTTTCTTTTTACAATTGATAGTTTTTTTCTTCTTTCAGGGAAAAGATGGAAAAACTGGACCACCTGGTGCTAAAGGACCTCGCGGACCTTTGGTAAGTAATTTTTAAATGTCACTTATAAATATTACTATCAAGAAATAAATGGTTATTGAAAGCTCTTAACATTTGTAGAAGTTAAAATTTTCAACTTGTCTAAATTTTCTTTCTTGAATGTCAATCTAATTGAATTGTCATTTTTTAGTGTGTTCTGTATACAGTTAAATTGAAGATAAATTATATTAATGTAGGTAACAATAGCAATAATAAAAGAAAATTATATATAAAACTTCTGTATATATATATATATATATATATATATATATATATATATATGTCATCAAGGCACCATAAAATGTTTACACCCATGTGAAATGCCCATCAGTGTCTTATAGTCAATAATTAAAGTAAATCGCATTTTTCTATTTTTTCTGAAATGGGCCAGTACTGCCAAGTAACAATGCTACAACAATACAGCAATGAAAGGGTTTAAGGAAGTAGTAGAAATAATGGTTACATAAAAACTATGACAATGAGCAATCATTTGAAAACAGAAACTTAAGATAACCATAATAATGTTGGTAAAGATCATAGTAATAGTGACCACAAATATAGTTTTGTTGTCACTTACCTGTTGACTTTTTTGCAGTAATTCTGAATATTTCATTGAACTTTTGTATAATCTTTGTAATTTTACTGCTACAATACTGTTGAGAGACTGGTCCGATTTGATGGTGAATATTATGTAAAATGTTTGTTGATATGATAGTGGATGTAATGGAGTCTCCTCAAACAAGAGAATTTCAAACGAATATGCACACAATTAACAACAATATATTTTGTTGGCTGAGCAAACTAAATTGAAAAAATTCAAAATGTATAAAGAAAGGTGTGTATAGATAGAGATGTCCTTTTCTGTATGTACATGTATGTATGAAGTTCCTATGAAAAACCTTGAAAGACTTAGATTTGAAAATAGTTCTTTATCTATTAGTTTAATAGAATTATTAGAGATGTCTGTGTGTATTGATGAACGCTTAGGACAGTGTATACTGTCTATTATTCTATGTGTAAAGAGAAAGAAACCCTTTCTGATAGACTACTTTGGCAATGCCATCTTGCATTCACTAGTAGACATTCTTTGGCAGGCACAAAACATTTTTACTCATACATTCATTTAGAATTTACTTATTCTACCAATCCTTCTAAAACATAGTTTTCTTTTTTTCTAATTATTAATTTTTGTTTATTTTTTATAATAGGGAGATAAAGGAGAACGTGGAGAGCCTGGCAAATCAGGTGAACGTGGATCTCAAGTAAGTCACTTTTAATTATATACCATATGCCTCCTTTTTTTTAATAAAAAACAGCAAATGCTGAAATAATTATTGTGAAATACTATGAATTATTTTGTTGCCCTCTAAATGTAAATTTTAATATTGTGTTTCACTTTGTTTAAATAATTGATTGTGTTTTTCTTTTTTCATTTTCAGGGTCGACGTGGTTTAATTGGACCTCAAGGACAAAGAGGAATGAAGGGCGATCCTGTAAGTGTTTCATTATTCATTTAACCCTTCAGACATTAACAATATTAAATCCATAGTAAGTCCGTGTAATTGCTTTACTTTTAAAACTAGCTGTGAACAAATCTGTATGTACCTTTTCTCATTATACATTTTATGTGCATAATTGTAAAAACTGCACTTATATGTGTGTGCAGAGAGAGAGAGAGGTTTTTACAAAATTGCAGGCTTTCATAAAATTGTTTTGTTAACTTTGAGTGCCAAGTATCAAAGTTAAAGAACAACATAACACACCTTATATGCTTCAAATTTATGGCAGATTCAAGTATTTCTTGGATCTTTCAATAGCCAAAATAAATGTGGAAAAATAAATAACAGGCACATGTAATATTCATTTGATTTTAGGTCTTGAAAAAATGTGTTTTAAATTCACTCAAATTAGTTATATGAATCATCATCTTAATTTATCCCCTATTAATTAGACTTGTGCTTAAAACATAAACTTGGAAAATTTTCCACATTATGTGTTTTTTCAAGAGACACAGTACATAGAAGAAGAATGAGTTTGCATACATGGTTGGAAGAACAGAGATTAGGAAAGATAGCAAAAAGACAAGCCTTACTTAGAGCTACAAAAGACAGGAGGCTGTGGAGAGCTATGCTCGTCCAAGTCCTGAAAGGACACAGAATATAGAAGAAGATAGGGGTAATAAAAACAAAGGAAACAACTCCCATTGGATTTTCTTACTTTCTTTTTTTTAATGCCTGATAACTTCGAGACGTAGGCAATTATGGCTATATGCAAATTCCTTTTCTTCATTACCTGTGAACCCCTATTACTTCTAAGGAAAGATGGTGGAATGATTTCCTACTGTCTTCACCAAAATTTTGAATTCAGAACTGCCCTTCTCTTAGGCTGGCCACCACCCAAGGCTAGATAGCATTGTCTACCCTGCTATTTAATACATAGCTGTTTAAAGAAGAGACAAATTCATGCCTTGTCCTGTTTGAAATTATGAAAATAAAAATTCAAGATTGTTAAGTCTTTATAAAATATTTCCTTTCTTTTGCTCAAAATAGATCCATTTATGCTAACTAAAATCTACATAATGTCAAAAAGGATAACAACCAGTATAGTTTCAATCAAATTACTTTTATTACTTTTAAACTGACTCATTATTTGTAAAATATCCTTTTCTTCTTTTTATTTATTCAGGGTGTTGAAGGTATTGCTGGTGAAGTCGGACCACCAGGTCCAAATGGTCCTCGGGTAAGAGAAATTTTTATATTTTTTCGTAAGAGTTTACATTCACTCCTGTAATATATTTATTTTTGAATTAGTAATCTAATGATCTGATGAATTATAATAATATAAATAGAAAAAAATAGATTTTGTGCTTGATACATAAATATTGTACTAATGATTACTTCTCAGTGTCTGCTGTTAAGGCATATTTGAAAAAATGCTAAATCGTAAAGAATTAAAATGCCATATGACAATCATTCCTCATTATATGATGCCAACTACATAGATATTTGTCTTGAACTGTCAGGAATATTTTAAGATTGTATTTCTTACACTTAGTTATGTTGACATTATAACATATTTTGCTTAACACATTTCTTTTTCACATGTAGCAGTACTCATTCTGATACACACACACACACATTCTAGAGACTTAAATATTTTACTAAAGCCAATTTCATCTACTTGCATGCACAGACTTCCTTATAGATTAAAAAAATCTTATTAAAGTGCATAGCCTTTTCTGATATAATTCCCTATTGTGCAAATTGTTTTCTTAATTTTTTATTTCTTTTGAGATGAGAAATTGTCAGCAGACTATAATTTATTCAAACTGTTCTTCTCATGTTGATTATTATTGATGTTATTATAGATATAACATTTCAGCCATGTAACCTCTGCATATCTTCAGGTGTCCATTCTTTGGTTGATATGAAATATCTGTTTAATATGTTATTGAATATTAAGGTGCCAAAAATACACGAGATGTTGATATAGTGAATATAGGACTTGTTTAAACATGCTTTACTCTTATATAGAGTCCATTAGTTCAATATGTTGATTAAGTAGTGAAATAATATACTCAGGTTTAACAGGAATGAATAAAAACTGACATCACAGGAACAAACTAATGCAATAACCAACAGATATCCCATGTCAGTCAGAAGATGGCCAGAGAGTACTTGGTCAAATTGTTCTGTCTAATGACATCTGTAATAATCAAGATGAGTAAAATTGTTTGAATAAAGTAAATTATTTTCTTATTCATAAAATCATAATAGATATTACTGTTGTGACTTATTCAACAAGATTGTTAGTCTGGTACTAAAAATATAATAATATACAGATTAAGTTTCTTGTTTTACAATGGGCAATTGGAAAATCATGATGTCACCAGCTGCTATTTAAACCAAATTTCTCTCACTTTTTTTTTTATTTGTTGGCATGAGATAAAATTTTGGCTCCCCCTCCTAAGAATGGTCACATAGTCTCCACTGGAAGCAAAACTAATTTCTGTATACATTGTCTTCTTTGCTTTGGCATTTCTTTCACTAGAAGATAATCTCTGCATTCTAATAAAAGAACTTTGAACATAGACATACTACATGACTGGTAGATATTCTATTTTTTTCCACTAAGTTTCTTTTAACTTCTAGTTCTTAAATATCTACAATATTTTCTCTTGCATACTCCTTGACTACTGCAATTAAATCATTCCATTGCTTTTATTAAAAGCTCCCTTCTCTTGTGGATTATTTCATTTACCTGCTATGGATGATTGAGCTACTACTGTTTCATTTTGGGAGTTTGTATTAAAATCAGACAATTCTGCTTTGTTAACCCCTGTTTATATTTATATTATGGAAAATTGTCAGTTGGTTAAAAACATCTGCAACTATCTACCATTGTATATAATATTACTAATTCATAAGAAATGTGGCTACTGCTGATTTTATGATGAAATAAGATTGTTATCATCAGTAAATGAACCATATGTACCATATATGAGAACCATTAACAAAATAAAATTTGACAATTATATAAAAACTAGCAACGATACCCAGCATTGTATGGGCCAAACCTCTTTTTTACTCTAGAGTTATTTGAGAGACCAGGGCACACTGTAAAATTGTATTAGTGAAATTGTATTTAAAACAATTTAAGAGGCTTAAATATTTTCACAGTCATTACATCATTATAATATTATAATTTATAATATTTGTTAGTTTTTCAAAATATACTATTAAAAGCATCAACATTGCTTATTTTCCTTTACACTTAGGCTGTGATATAAATAATTAGTTAGTTATCACTCTCGGAGCAAAAAATGGCTTTATTAGAATAATTAAGCAATTTAATTATAAATGCTATGAAATAAACAGTGACTTATTTTGAAGATCACAATTGACCAAATTGGAGATGAATACCAAAATACAGTTATTAAAAAAATACTGAATATGCAAATTAGTTTACTCCATTAACAACTATAAAACAAATAATAGACATAAAATATAAAATCACATTTATTATATGGCTTTCTATTTGAGCTAGTAAACTTGCATTGCTTGTTATACTCTACATTTCAGTTGTTCTAATTTTCCATTTTTCAAATATCTATTTTCATACTTGGTAACTTTCTCAGAAATTTGAGCTGAAGTTCACACTTCTCCATGATTAGGGGATAACTTTTACCAGTTAATACTATTCAGTTTATTTGCTTTTATATCACTTGTCTATTTCTTATGCTGAACAAGAGCATATGACTCTTACTACACAACACAGGGATTGAACTAAGACCTTCTAGGGAACCATTGTATTAACATTCAAAGCTATGTGTTACTTACACCACTGGATTGTCTGATGGTGGAATTTTTGAGTGTCTTTTCTTTCATATTCCAAGGATTCCAGATGGTATTAATCTCTATGCTATGTCTACTGAGGAAGTTTTCAGAATGCTAATTTTTTCCTCTGTGTTATCTTGGCTTCATTCCGCAGGTGTTGATTATCACTCTTTTCTCTTCATACTGCCTAATTTCAATATCTCTACATCAGTTTAATATTGACATGCCCTTACTTTTAGAGGGCACTTGATCTTGATCTTATGGGATGAAATGCACAAAGTCCCAATATGAAACTGCTTGTTTGATGTTACAGTTTGATCAGATAGTCTATGTGTTTACATTTTGAAACAAGAAAAATATTACTTACATTGTTATCTGGAGGGAATGCTCTCAGTGAAGGAAAAGAAAGAAAGTAAAAGTTGTTAGAATGAGTTTATATATGCACCACTTAGTTACTGCTGCTATTACTACCATATCTTCTCTACAGCCAATGGTTTGTGTAAAGGAACCTAACTCACTACACACACAACCAATTTTATATATAGTTAATTAATTTTGAAAGTTTCAAGTGGACACACTCACAAAATTTGAACTTGATATATTAGATGTAGAAAAACATTGTAAAATATTTTAAGTGCTGGGTACATTGAAATTTATAAACCTTTCAATAACTCATAAGATCTTGTAGGATAATAATAATAATAATAATAATATATTCTTAGCTTAAGTGTACCAATATTAATACTGAAATATGTTAGTCTATATAAATCTTTATTTACAAACATGTTTTAATTTTATTTCCTCAATTTCTGTAGGGATATCCTGGCCCTGCCGGACCTGTTGGGCCTCCTGGTGAAGATGGTGATAAGGTAAGAAATAAAGTTTTTAATCTTCTCTTAATAAGTTTTTGCTCATGAAAAAAAAGTTAACTTAATCTGCTTTATGAATATAAATGACATTAGGAAAACTGTAGTTATTGCTGACGCGTTTCGTCCAATGTGGACTTTCTCAAAGCAAAAAATGAAATTAATTTAATTAAAGAAATTAACTAATAATAACAAAAAACAGAATGTTCTTAGCAACTGGAGGAATGTAGAGAACACTATTTTCATATTATAGCTGTGTTCACAGATTCAACCATTTTCTTTTGATTTTACAATATTGTTGTGTACGTTTGTTTGGGAGAGCAGTAATTTTGTTAAGAAAGGTGAAATAGGGAAAAAGCCTGGGCATAGATTAATCTGCTTTATAGTGGATTTTCTCATTTAAACATTTTTTTATTTTTTTCCTAAGATTATTATAAAACTTAGATCTTCTAGACCTTGATTACTCATACTAAATATGACTTGTAGCTTATCTGTGAAAATTAAGGGAACTGTTAGGAAGATTTGACTTATTTAGAAAAAAATATTAGAATAAGCCAGAAAATATATTGGGAACCAACAGCTAGCATACAAATAGAAAATCAATTAAGTACACAAAAATAGAAAGGGGTGTAAGACAAGGATGCATTTTCTCATTGGGTTTATTTAACCTTTAAAAGGAAGCAATCCTAAGAGAACTAGATGTCCTACCAGGATTCATTATTAATGGACACAATCTTAACAACATGCAATATGCTGCTGATACCATATTGATAGCAGACACAGAAAGAAAACTGTAAGAAGTTTTTGACAAGGTAGTAAAGGAAAACATGAAGAAAAGACTAATCATCAGTTGTAAGAGGGCAGAATGTAGGGTCGTCACCAAAAGGAAGAGCCCAAGATGCAAGCTACAAAATGGAGACATCAAAATCAAGCAAGTACAGAAATTTAAATATCTGGGAATTGTTTTAACAGGTGACAGAAAATGTGACATCAAAATCTGAAGCTGCATTGGAATAGTAAAAGATACCTTCCAAAAGCTAAACAAAGTTATAAGAAACAAGAAAATTTCATTAGAAACAAAGAAAAGAATTCTAAACTACAATATAATTATCAATGCTCCTATATCCAAGTGAATGCTGGACAATTTCTTCACAGATGAAAAGAAGATTTGAGACTACAGAGATGTGGTTCTACAAAAGAATGCTGAAAATATCATGGATGAAGCATGTGAGCAACAAAAAAGTTTTAAGAAAAATGAGAACAAAAAGGATGCTTAAAAAAAGGTGTTTCATTAAAACGGATTATATATAAGGGGGTTTCATTAAGACGGATCAAAGTCAGCAATAAATAAATCAGTGTTATTGGTGATTATTTATTTCTCAATTAGATCATGTTATTTAAGTCATGGCAATTATGTATGAAAAATAATATCGCCCAAATGTTTGCCAAATCTGAAAGAAAAAGAAAAAAATCATTAGATGCTTAAACTTAATTCACATTAAAATCGGTCCAAGTTATTGGAACACCCTATACTTAGAATGAGAGATTTTAAATTTCTGGGACACATAATAAGGAAGGATTCTTGGAGAATTTGATGCTCACTGGATTTATTGAAGGTAAGTCAGGCAGAGGTAAACAACCTAACAAGCTTGTGTAAATGGATCAGTAAACAGGAAGTGTAAGGGATAGTAAAAAGGCAAACAGCTGTACAAAGGATAGAAATGTTATGGGCACAGAAGATAGAACATAGTAAATATGCTTTCAAATAAATATTGTCTATTTAATTCTAAGTTAATACTGATGCTGCTTCATCCAAAAATTAATAGAGAAATTTTTAGGAATGTCTTTTTAAAGTCTTTGTCTCAGTTATAATAGGTTAACCAAATTCTTGGCCGTAGAGAATTCTGGAAATTGTTATAGTCTGTTATAGGATTTCATTCAATTATGACAGTTGAATATCTTTCAGTACAGAGTAACAATTGGTGTACAATTATTTTGCCTTTATCTGTTTTATTGGTTTCATGTGTTTACGCAATTTATATATTTTTTTTTTCAATTCAAAAGCAAAAGCTCAATTTTAGCAAATTATTTTTTTAAAGTTTTATTTTGAATGTTATCCTTAAGAAATTACATTTGGAATTAATTTTCTATAGCTAATTTTATTTATTAATTTGCTATATTTATATATACATATATATATATGAATGAATAATCAAAAAAATCTTTTACCTCATGTGGGGAATAGACTATTTCGGCATATGATGAAAGTGGTTGTCTGTCTTTTCAACCCTGATATATATCTCACATGATCAGAAATTGTGTTTTTTTTCTTTCAAATATATCCAAGATGTTGTCAGACACTGATTATTGATTAGAAAAAATGAATCTAGATCTTAAAGCAAAAAAAGCAACTAGATATATTGCTAACAGCTGACTTTGTTATATACAAATAAGAAATCACATCACTTGGAGACTTCGAACTGCAACAGCAACAAAAATGGTAGCACATGTAAATAGGAAGAAAAATGATGATATCAAAATATTGACTTGTAGCTGGAAAAGAAAATAATGATATAGTCAAGCTGTTTACTTTCTACACTACCTTAAATAAAAGGTTTGGAAGGAAATTCCCAAGAAAGAGATATAACAGTGGAGTTGAGAATTGCAATTTTTGAGAAAATGGTGTTATAAATTTTAACCAACATTAATGCTAAATTAATGCCAAATGTTCCTATAGTATTGTATGCAAATTAGATAGACAAGTATAAATAGAGAACAATTGGTGAATATAGGGTGTCTATGCCTAGCAAACCCAGTTGCTATTCAGAACACAGAAAACTGTACTACAACTACTACTATGCAGAGAAATATGCAAAACATAACAGTTCCCTGTATGGAAATGGTTAATTCTACCATTATCATTCCTGGAAGCTTTAAATGCAATAAATTTGAAAAATGTACAAACTGTTTGATTGTAGTAACTGTTGATGTGATTATCCTATTACAGTAAGTTTATCTTCCATATATGTATGAAAAGTTTATTGAAATAATTTTTTTTTCTTTTTTTGTTGATAGGGTGATATTGGACCGCCAGGAGAGCGTGGTGCAAAGGGTGATCATGGTGTTATGGTAAGAAGTAGAATTTAATATATTTCTCTTTTTACAAGTAAAGTTAGAATTATTTCATTATTCCTGAATAGAATTGTTGATTTGGTCACAGTATTCTGGTTACACTTGTTCACTTTCAAATCCATTATTAGCATTCAAGTTAGAATAATCTATATTTTATGCACACTCACACAATCAACTTAAATGTTAGAGTTTTCAGTAGATAAACCCACAATCTTTTAACTTTATATATTAGATGTATAAAAAATATTTATTTGCCACTGTTTTGAATAAAACTTGATAATTATTCAGTGTGTTTAACAGCATTAAAATCAAATTAGGCTCACTGTTATGTGACCTATAGATACAGATATTTTGTTTTTAATATTCAATTTAAGAAACAAGTAACATATATATATATTATACTTGGAATGAACAAAATAAAACTCTCACATGTTAATGAAAAGTCTAGCTAACAACTGGTAAAATTACAATGGTTGCATTTTGCTTTAATATTAGTTTGCAGAAAAGCAATCCCATGTGAGTGATTCTTGTTAATAAAAGAAGATTTGGATTTCATCAAAATTCTGATCTTGCAAATTTTAAAGATTATTTTCACCTTAAAACTATTTCACAATAGCCTTATGTACAAATTATTTGTAGGGTAAACCAAATTAATGTTGAAAATACACAACTGTAAAAGTATTTTCTAAGGTAGGGAGTCTAGATGGGTTACTTTGTGCATGAAAATGTTTTTTTATCAAAAACTCAGTTGAAATAATTTTTCCAAATTAGATTATGAAATTATCTTATATTTCTGATTGTTTCTCTATCAGTAAGTTCTGTGTATTATGCCCTGCAATTACTTCAGATAAATAACAGACCATTTAATTTTGATTGAAAGGAAAGACAGTAAAAAAGATATATTAGATATGCTACTTGTTTTTAGTGAGAAAAAGATAGAGGAGACAGTAATATTCTTGTGTTTAACTTCTACTTTTGTAAAATGGAAAACCTTTGTCAATTTTGAATCCTTTCATTTGTATCCTCTTACTTCTTTAAATGGCCTGCATTCAAGTAATATGGAATCCCTACTGGACTATAAAAATATAGATGCAATTTAGGAAATACTGTATTTCCAACCATGTAATATGCATCACACATAACACATGCCCGTAATTCAGCAAGAAACTTTTTAATAGTAATTTCATCATTTATAATCCTACATATTTAAATCTGGATCATAAGAGTACTAGTGTAACTAAACAGGTGTATTTTGGTGTTAGTCTTTTACTAGTATCCAGACCACTGGAATAGAAGGTGCAGTTTTGGAGGATTCTTTTTCTTAAACAGCATATTATATACCATGAAATGTTGTAATAGTGTATCAAGTAATGTTATAGTTGATTCCTGATTATTATTTCTGACAAATGTTAGATTTTGTTGAGATTTTGGTTACTTCCTTCTTGAATAAAGGAGGGATTACCTGCTCTTGGCATAAGTTGAACATTGGGAGCAAAAATAGAACCAGATGTTGAATAAACATTGACTATAGAATTAGGCAGATTTAACTGCTAATTTTTATATTTTAAATATAGATTTACTTACAAAGTGTATATTTTTTCATGTTATTATTTTCCCAAATATATGGAAAACTTTTTTTCCCTATGTACTTTTTATATTTATATTCTAAATGTATTTATTTTTTTATTCAAATAGGGACCTCCTGGTCCTCAAGGACCTGTTGGCTTGCAGGGAGCTCCTGGCCCACCAGTAAGTCTTGATCAATTTTATGTTTCTTACATGTTATATTTTCACTATTGTAATTCTTTGAATCATTATAGTTAATACTCAGAAACCCCACCCTTCATGTTGGAGTAGTAATCTGAGAATCTATATATTAAATAATTATATATAAGCATATTAAAATTATTTTCATATAAATATTTTTCCCTTCACTATTAGTAATTATACGACCAGAATTATTACTTTTTAACATTTAAAATCCAGTGTTTTTATAATTGCTGATATGTGAGAAACATGGAAGTTTTAATAACTATAAGCAAACTGTTGAAAATAATCAGAAAGAGCTGACTGAATTTTAGGGGAATGCAACAAAGTAAGTGTAGAAGCAAACCAGACCATCACAAAAAGTCCTTGACTAGGCTGAATGTGGTGTTCTGAATAATTCCTGTGAAAACAGTCTCTCAATACAGATGGCATCACTGCTAAATTTACATAGTAGTTGTTGTGCTAATTTGCATGAGAATAGTGATATTGGGTTGTCAACAAATCATAGCCAATCTGTGGTTGTGGCTACACTTATATAAGATTAATGTTTCTTGGTGTCATTCATGAGCTTGGTCAGCTGATGTTGACAGTTGGGAGAGCACTACACTGATTTGTGGCTGTACATTTTTTATACAGAAAGAAGGTTTGAAAAATTTACAACTCACAATGTACATTGAAGTTAAGAGAAACAGAAGAAATCTCTGAGAAACCTTGACATGTTTGAGCAAATAGATGTAGGAACAAGTACCACAAAGAGGAATTGTCAAAGATAACATATTGATAAAAGCAACAAGAGACAAGAAAGCTGTGAAAAACCATGATTATGCACATTCTGAAAGGACATGGCAAATAACAATAGAACTTACCATATTATCAAAATTTCAAATCATTTTCAGGCAACTCATTTCTGTCCTTGACTTTTATAGACAACAGTTATTAATGTTGAAACTTTCAAATCTTGCTTTAATTAAAAAGAATATCAATTTTATAATTTTATTTTTTAGGGTCCTGCTGGAGAGTTTGGATCACCTGGTGTTCAAGGTCCACCTGGTCGTAAGGTAAGTATATAACATTTTACATATGGCATGGCTGTTTTCTAATAAGAGTATGAATGTTTTTATATAAACACTTGTTTGAAAATCAGGACTGTTAGAACCTAGAAGCTTGTGAATGTATATAAATATAAATATGGTAAATTAATTCTTGATCAAATAAATTCCTTTTAATGATAGCATTTTCTTTTACTCACTTTTAAAAATATAAATGTGGCAAAAAATTTCTTAAATACAAGTAAATCTGAATTTAACATTACTAGCTGAATACTTATCTTATGCACACAGAAAAATAAGTTGTAATAAAAGTTCTGTTACCTATTTCTTTATAAACAGCATTTCTAGCAAGATATCTTGTAAAGTTCATTTTGCCATTATGCTAAGGCCACTTTAGCATAATAACAAAAAGAACTTCCTACTATAGATATAGCTATATAGTGCTGACAAACATCTAAATAATCTTATGCTTTATAATAATAACTATTATTTTCAATTCAGTAAACTTAACATTTTTTCACTTGTTTAAATAATTTGGTACAGTTTTAAGAAAATCTGATTCAGCTGATTATTTGACTTATTTAAATAATTCTGTAAATCATTTTTGGCTCTGCTCAAATAATGTACAGTCATGTGAAAAGTCAGATGACAACAATAGTTATTACAAATGCTGTAGGAAATAAGACTATAACTAACATTGCTAGGTTTGAAATTGTAAAATTTTGTAAAAATGTTAATATTTTTAAAAATTATTTACTCTGTTTTCTTCTAAGTTCAGATTACATTTATTTTATATTTTCTTTATATGCAAATACACTGATATTTTTCTGCTAACTGAATTTTTACAGGTATATTAAAAATTGTTATACAAATTAAATGTTCCCACTTATGTTATAAACACAATTTATTAGTATATATATATATATATATATATATATATACAATATATATATATATATATATATATATATATATATATATATATATACTTTATTTTAGGATATTACATCAAAAACAATTTACAAAAGCCTAATGAGATGCGTTAATAAACATCAAAACACGACTGTAATTATCTAGGATTTTGATATGTTTTCAATGTAATATCCTAAAATAAAGAATATTACTCTTCTTTATATTGAGCCCTCTTTTTAAATTAAATGTTACAAATGTTGGAATTGTACTCTATTCACTCTCATCTTATCTGGATATATATATATATATATATATATATATATATATATATATATATATTGCTGATAGTAAATTCAATTCAAGCTATTTTGTTCTACTGATGTAAAGTGTGGACATAAAGATAAAAGTTAAATGAATTTAAAAAGATAAAAGTAGAGTTTGCTTTTAAATGAATTTACTATATATTATTTAAATATATATTTGTCTTCAGAAAAACTGAATAAATTTTCATCCAAAGTTTTTACATGAAATCTTTTCTGCTTTTTGAGAAAAATAAAATATTTACATTGTTTTTCTGTGGAAAAGTATTTTGTTTTTACTTTTTATTATTTATATTGTTCACTGAATTTAAGATCAGTTTTCTAAATATAATTTATTGAATAAATTAAATATTCATCAAAATGGAAACTGAAATGAAAACATCCCATTAAATTCATTTTAATGCAGAAAAAACATATTCCTCAAACATATGTACTCACTAAATATAAAACTTATAGTCAAAAGAAATAATGTCAACTAAATAAAAAAAATTCCATTAATTGTTTAAAAATAGCTTTTATTTAGTTTTGGTTAGCAGATGTAGACTTCAAAAGTCCCAGATAGGTTCATTTCTTAAATAGAGTAATTAAGCTTTGCTTTGCTGTGATAGATTCCTATGGCCTAATGGCAAGGCAGACTTAGCTTAAAAGTAGGTTCCCAAGTTGAAATAAAAGGGAATATAGGTTCAATTCCTATCAGGAGGCACATTTTCTTAATTAGGACTCAATTTTTAGACCAGTCAACATTAATTTCATCATTTAAAAAGAAAACAAAGATACTTACTTAAACATGTGTATCTGTTAAATATAACATTTATAGTAATAAAAAAGCTAACACTCAATTGATCCCATTTATCTCATTCTCCATTAAGTAGCTCAATAATTGTTTGAATTATTGATCATGTCTCTAACTCTAAATATGAGTGAAATATTTTTAGACATGGTGTATTGGAGAAAAGGCTTGAAACCTTGATGCCCACCTTGATTATAACCTGTATTCATCTTTAGAACAAGTCCCCTAAAAAGAGAAAAGTGTTAATAACCCATTATTTACAGTCAGACTAAACTTCATCTTTATTGTTAGAGCCATTATGCCTTCTGGTGTCTGTTGATCTGGGAAAGCTTCAAGGAATTTTGAACTGAATCTTTTAATTAATCTTCATGGGTAGATCGTTCTCATTCCACTGTCCATGTCCAGGGACACCTCATCCTTAAGATTACCTGGATTGACAGACTTGAATAAAGCCAAAGGGCACAGTGTCTGAAATGTTATGATAATATAAACATAGATAAAGATATTAGTGCAATTGTAAATAAAGATTATAATCAAATATATTTTATTTTACCCTCATGTAAAAACATCTTATTTCTATAGATTTACTGTTTCAAAACTTAAGTTTGCCCAATTTTGCTTGCTTTATTTCATTTTTAAAATAGTTGAAAGAAATAATTTTGGTATAAGGAGATAAAATATTACTCAAACAGTTTTGCTACAGAAATTTGTCAACAGTTCCTACTTTTAATTATATACATTTATAGGAAGAAATAAAAGTAAAATGTTTTTAAGATTGTCTCTATATTGGTAAATTTGACATGTTCTCATTGCTTTCATTATTTTTTCTATTTTTTTAAAGGGAAGTGAAGGTCCTCGTGGATTGACTGGACCTTCTGGACTTGCTGGAGTTCAAGGAACTCCTGGTCAACCTGGTGTTAAAGGAGAAGCTGGAGATGTTGGTCCTAAAGCAAGTATTTTTACTACATTATTTTGCTTTTGTTGTTTACTATCATTACTTCCTTGGTATACAACTTAACCCCAAAGAATAGAATTTTTTTTTCTATTTAGAAAATATTTACCATTACTAGAGTTGATCTCACTTTTTATGATCCAAGTAATCTTTGAAGATTATGATAGTTTTTGTATGGAATCAATAGCTACCAAAATATTTTCTGGTTGACAGCATTTCATAGATTTTTCTTTTTGCTAATAAACCAAATAGATTGCAAGGTCAAGCTAGATACAGAGAGGAGCTAACAGAGTTTGAGGAACAGACAAAACCATTCAGAACAGTTAATAGCCAGTGTTTCAGATGCAAGGGTCCAGATATGCTGTGTGACTGTAAAGACTTGCGATGATCCAAAACCAACTTGTGGTGAGATAGTGCATATTGTAAAATATTGTTCACAGGGAAATGGACCAAGGGGAGCCACTGTGCTGGTAACTACCCCTTCATTCCAACAGTGGTGCATCACAGATCACAACCAATAATAGATATATTGGTAGAGGAGAGAAGAGTAAAAGCCCTTGTTGATACTGGTTGTACTACTAAACTAATACTATCCAATTTGGTGGATAGATGGAATGAACAGAGCAGTATAAAAGCAGTTGACAGGAGAGAAGTGAGATGCAGAGGAACTTGCAGTGTGGCATTAGAAATACAAAGTTAGCAACTAAATATAAATGTCATTGTAAATGACTGTTTGATTGAGAAAAGAAGAAAAACAAATTGTTTTGCCTCTTAAAACTAGAGAAATATAAATTAAACCAATATAAATACTCAAACAAAGACCTCTCAAATGGATATCGTAAGTTTAATATTTGTCTATATCTCTGAGATGAGGTATTATGATTACTTGCATTATTTACATTACTCAGACTGTTATCCTCATTGGTAGCATGAGGGGAAATAGAAAAATCAGGTACAGCTGACCACTTATGGAGGGAAAAGGGAGATCACTACCCCCTGTGGGATGAGCTTCAAATAAGAGAGCATCACTGAAAAATATGAAAACTTAAGGAATCAGCACATATGCTAGGTCACAAAAATCTCCTGAGCCAACCAAGCATAGAAATGAATACAATATGAGAACCAATAATAAGGAGTGCTAGAGAAAAGCAATGGATAACAACATAAATTGCAATATGAGCTCTGGTAAAAAATGCACTGAGACATTACGTTTGTAAGTCCCAAAAATTCATACACAGATATCCTCAAGGACACATGGCCAAATGGATAAAGATGTTGGTTAGATCCAGTGACTAGACCCAAAGAGATGTGAGTTCAATACCAGGCCAAAGCAGTGGTGAACCAAAAACTTGGAGAGTTGAGTTAAAGGCAAATAACTGAAACATCTGGAAGAGGCATGGCACATGGAAATAGAACAATCTACCCCAGTGGATGAAATAAACGTTTCATTTTTTCTTCACCTGAAGAAGGCCGGAGTGTACAACAAAACAACATTGTGAATATGACAATGAAGATAACAGTCTGAAACAGTCTCAATGTAAATAATGCAAGTAATTGTAAGTTTAATATACCATTTTGGAACTGCTACAGTTGTAAACTTTAGGATTTGGTACCATGTTAAAAGATGCTTCGTTAATTACATATAGACGATTTTAATGATAGAAAGGACAGTGACATAAATTATAAATGTAGGGAAAGTAAATGTGATGTGATTATTAAGTAGAATTCGTGAATCAAAACAATTTCATATGCAATATCTTACAATATTATTAGGTGTGTGAATAAGTTTTCTGTGAAAAACTGGTTTTCAACTGTGAATATAATCTCTAGTTTTCCTAAAAGAGTGCGTTTTAATCTATATTAACTACTTCATACAAAAGGTTAGAAAAGAAGCCCCCATCAATGCTGGAAGGTGCAATAACAGTGGACTTGAGAAACCTGTTTATGTTGATTATTTGATAAGTCTGGAAACCTCCTAAACTGATAAAGAGATAACACAAAGTTTGTGCTCCATGAGGTGGGAGAAATCAGGTAAGGGAAGGTTTTGTCATCTAACCTAGAGTTAGAGGCAAAGTTTCTAGCAAAGAGTTTCACCTTATCTAATGAGTGTAGGGCCATTTATAATTGAGGAAATTAATGGTTTGTCTCTATTGTGTATAGCATTAGCAATTTCCAGAACCTGCACAATCCAAGTTTTTTTTATTATCTACTTTGCTTTGGATAAAGCTGCTATTTGCATTTTTTAGAACTCTTTTGTAGTGATTACATACAGTTCTAAATGAGGCAAGGGTTCAGCTAAACTGTTCCCTTGATAAAGACTACAGTAATGTTTACAGTGGGCTAAGGCATATTCATGCATAAACCAGGGCCAGCTGTTTGGCTTTTGTTAGTATCTTCAGGGATATAGCTTTCAATGCCAGAGAGAATCTATTCTGAAATGAGGGAGGTTGTCCTGAAAGGTCCACTTTTGAAGAGAGCTGTGAGAGGTATTTCTGCAATGTGAAATCTGAAGGTATCTCAATCAGCTTTGTTATATCTATAGATTGTTCTATGAAATGGCATATCTAAGGAGGCTTTTCGTTTTGCATCAACTTTCATAAAGATCAGGAAATGTTTCTGAGAAACGTACAATTTTATTATGTTTACAGATTTAACAGGAAATCAACTTTTATTTGGTATGAATTTATTAAAGTTCTATTTTTAAAATTTCAGGGACCACCTGGTGCACCTGGACCAGTTGGAGCAACTGGACCCAGTGGTCCTATGGTAAGTAATAAAAAATTCTTTATGTTAAATATCATGAACATCCAGTTAATTGTGGCTCTCCACAATTTCCTATCTTTTGTTTTTCTGTATAACTTTTTCTCCTTTGCCATCCCTCTTTATTGTTGTTCTGTTATTTGTTCACACAAATTACAAAAATTCATGAATTTGTTTACTTGCTGTTTCCCCTTGCTCCTCTTGCCTTCAGTATATCCTGTGAGTGTTAAATTCTCCAATCTTTCCTTCCTTATTGAAGCTACAGATACAAAGTGCTAAATTCAACCTCTCAATTCAAGAACAAGGCATGACTAATCATTTCACCAACCTTTAACATGAAAAACAACAATTTATTCCTAGTGATCTTCTGTATATAATACCATATTCTAAATTCAGTTTCCTATAGGCAAAATATCGCAACAGATATCAAATATTATATTTGTATTTAATTTCACTCAGTCATTTTCTAAATCTAGATTTATTTTTTTAGTATTATCAAGGAAAAAATAGTACATTTAAAGTAACATTACTTAACATGTTTTCAATCTGTCATTTCATAACATATTTGCACCTATTTATCACTGATGAAGTTTAAATATAATCAGTTTGCAAATATTGTATCAAATTTATATTTGATCCTTATGATTATCTATATGTAAATTTATGATTTATGATGTAAATTTATAATTCACTGATAATGTATTATATAGAATTGCAACATGAAGTAAGTTTCTAAGAAAACCTAAAACCAATGATTCTTTCTAATAAAACAGATTTATGAAAGAAAATTTATCAAAAGCTAAAAATAAAATGTGAAATCAACTTTTATATCTAAGAACTTACAACAGAAGCATATCTTGTGTTCTAATAGTGAACCCAAATTGTTTCAATTTATCATTTGTTTCTGCTATATTCAGGATGGCAAAAAATTCTAACATTATATCATTTTAACTAATTTCACACATTGCCCCTAGCAGCTTTATAAATACCCATGTTTCTGAATTTTAGGGACCACCTGGTGGAGCTGGAAACCCTGGACCTGAAGGACCAATGGGAGAGAAAGGTGCACCTGGTCCATCTGGACCTCCTGGAGTACCTGGAAAAGATGGAGAACCTGTAAGTATTGGTCATTCAGACTAAAAATAAGTGATTTCATTAATAAAGAGGTTACTTATATTCAAATAGTTTTTAAAGAGGTTACTTATATTCAAATAGTTGTTTAATATTTATCTAGTATATAGAAAACATCTTTTATTTATTCTTGAGATTTTATTTGATTATTTTCTAATTTGTAAAGTATAAGATTCAATTGATACATTTTTGAAAATGTTGAAACAAATACCTCCATCTCTCTGAGTCAATGTTTCTTTAAAAACAAAGTACAAAATAACTGTTTTTTTTTCTCTAATATTACTTTGTATCCCCAAAACAATAAACCATTTAAAATATTATAGAACATTAAATCATGTTTCCATGACTTCTTTTAAACATTGTATGGAATAATAGTTAAGTGTAATTGACAAAATTCTCAACAAGAGTAATTGAAAAAGTTTTCAATAAGCAATAGAAAGAGGAAGAAAAATAAGAGTGCAAAATGATACTAAGCAAACAATATATATATATATATATATATATATATATATTAATTAATTAATTAATTGATGATCATTATGAAAATGAATGGCTATTTTTATACACTTGCTTAAATTTTCATTTTTGATGTTTTTTTAATTTTAACATTTTTTTTTGCTCCTTGGTATTGAATTAACTTTTTTCTTTCATTTACAGGGTCCATTCGGTGAAATGGGACAAAAAGGAGATCTTGGAAAGACAGGTCTTCAAGGATCTCCTGGACCAAGAGGACCTCGTGGCCCTGATGGGCCAAAGGGAGAACCTGTAAGTTTGTTTTTTCTCATATGCATTTTGTAGTAGCAGTAGTAGTAGTAGCAATAAGCTGGTTGTACTTACTTTTAATAAAGCCTTCACTTTCAATCATAAGAATTAATCTTAGCTGATAGCTGCTTTTTTAATGTCTAACTTTCAAGTAATTGTATAAAAATATTTCAAAGTTTAAAGACTATCAAATCTTTAAGTGATTCTATGCTTATTTAGTATTACATATAATCAGGAATATTCATTAAAGGAAAAATGTTTTTACCATGTGTTTTAAAAGGTAAGATGTCAAAATGTTTTTATGCTATTCAAATTTATTTTTCACTTTTCTACAAAAATAATTTAAAGGCAGTTATGTACAATGTATTCATTTTTTATGGAAATGTTTGTTGCCTGTATAATTCATATAAATGGAAAAATTGTTAAATATTCAAGACAGTGTTTTTTCATTGGTTTAAACATGTCATTTATCAGGATGCACAAGTTTGTTTGCTTTGATCTCCTTCTTTCTGTATTTTTCTTAATTATCAACTTTCTTCTAATACTATTTCTTTTATATTTTGAATATTTATGATAATTTATTTGGATTGGCCAGCCATTGACACAAGGCCATTGGGAAGGACTCCAATCTGCTTTTTTATCTTGTCTGCTAAAGTGTCATTATCACTGTTAATTATCAAAATCCTCTTTAACCGACATCAGAGTAGCTGATTCCTAAGCTTAATTGTTTGTGCATCCATCAAGTTATCAAGAGTTATTTCCCTTGTTGATTCTGTAATCTGTGCAAACAGGTTTTTGGTAGAAAGGATCTTAATCCAAGCAGTCACTTAATATAGTCACTTAGTTGAAGCAAAACAGTGTCAACACAGTCTCTCAGCAAAGGAAAAATAAGAACTTCTGACAACAGCAACAACAATGGCTACCTTATCATGGCCCACAATACTTCAAGCCCATCAGTTGTATTGTAAGCAAACAATTTGCATAACTTTATTTTACAACCAATCAATTCATCACAAGCTCCAGTTATGCATCAAAGAGTCAGACTTTTTAAATGATAATTCTTATGCTATTACCTTTGACTTTAAAACATTATGTTAACATTAAGAGTATGTTACTAGCCTGTTGAATTTTAAATAAGCAATACTTGTAGAATATTTTTGGTACAGCTTTTAAAAATTTTAACTTATACTTTTTGATATACTGTTTTATATTTTTCTTTGTATTGAATATTTAGCAATTATTTTATTCTTTCACATTTGTTTATTTAAGGGAGTGGCTGGATATCCAGGACCTGAGGGCCCATCTGGTGACTCTGGTTTGAAGGTAAGTAAACCACCAATGTTGTCCATTTTATGTAGTCAAACCAAATTTATTTCTTAGGTTTTATTCAAGAAAGAAAATAGAAATATACATGACAGAAATTTATGCAAAAAAAAGTTCATCAACTTATACTAGAAACATCTGCAGAACTTTTCATTGAAAGTCTTAGTGCCACTCAAAGTAGAAGGTTACTAAATGAATAAAGGTGTATAGAGAGGGAGCATGGATTACATATTATGATGACATATCAGATAGATAACAGTTGACCCTCAACTTAAAGAGGTTAATATTCAAGTAATCAGGGAAGTATCCCCCTCTGGAGTCTGTTCCACATTACAGTAGTACTGGGGAAGAAGCTGTTTGCATAGAAGTTGAATATGAAGGGAATGAGGAAAAGTCACCTCACTGTAAATGGAATGGTGGGTCCTAACTGTGAAGATCTGGACTGATGGAAGCAAGAAATATAGTTTGTCTGAATATTTGCTGTTTTCTTTTAATTTATTTTAAAATCTTCCTAGCTGTTCATAAATAGATAGACTGCTTTTAGTAAGTTTATTTACTGATCACTAAAATTATGACTAAGAAGTTTAGCAGATATAATTACCTTTTGATTAAAAAATGCTTAAAAAAAATAACTTTCTAGATTTATTCAATGTAAGATATTTCTGTGTTTATAAAATCCAATGAGCTGATGATTAATTTTTTCATTTGTAGGGTGAGCCTGGCCGCCCTGGAACTGATGGTAAAGATGGACTTCAAGGACCTATTGTAAGTTAACTTTCCCTTCTCATTTTTATTTTCATTGCTTCTCATTATATTTTATAGAATGTCATTTTAATATTGTTATCATTTTCATTATTTTTGTTGTAATTATGTTTATTCTTATCTTACTACTTAAACTGTTTATGGCATAATTTTTCTACTTTTCATTTTCATTCTACTTTTGATTTTAGGGTCCACCAGGTCCCCAGGGTGAAACTGGACTTCCTGGACTGCCAGGTAAACAGGTAAGTCACAAATACAGAAATGAAATCTGTTAAGAACAAAAATACTACAAAAAATAATTGACTGCTTTCATCCTGGAAATATTAGTTAATAGTACCTGTTGTTAATTTCTGTAAAACAAGCCCAGTAATAATAATACTTTACTTCATTTCAGGAAGACATCTTTCACTATTCTGATGTGCCTTTGGACTTCTGTGTTATATTTTTTATCATCTGTTACTACACTACCCTGTAATTCTGTCACTACACCACTCTGATATTTCCAATTTGAAGCTCACTCCTTTGACTGTTTCCTTGCTGACAACCATATATTTAGTCTTCTTATATTTATGTGTAAACTATTGAAATAATCAGTAATAGATTTGCATGTCTCATCTAATAATTCAGAGACTCAGAACAAAAGTAAACCATAAGTTATAAATTTGAATTTCATTGAAGTTCTGATGCAGCCAATTGAATCAATTCATAGATTATCCTAATATTTATTAAAATTTTCAATTATTAAAACACAAGTGCTTACAGTCTGTTTCAGAGGGTTTCAAACTGTGGTTTGTGGACCATAGGGTGTCCACAAGGACAAGATAGGGGGTCCGTGGAGCAAAGACTTTTTTATGGGTGACGTGCAACTTATAAGCGCTTATAAGTAACTTATAGGCCGATCATGGAATAAATTGATTTAATAAACTATTTCATAGATTTGATATACTAATATAATTTATATCTTAAATTGATAAAGATAATGGATTCTATTCATGCAGAGAAGGAACCAAAGGATTTGAATTTTGGATCTATTTTGCAATTTCCAGCTTTCTCATTGGCTGTTAGGTGTCACGTGTGCAAATCTTCAAATGGGAGACATCAAAAAAAAAAAATCAGTTTTATGCAGCAACAACATTCGAAATTCTGGCTCACTGTAGCCTCCGAGTATCCATTGTTATATCTCGAAAGGCAGTTAAGATTTTGTTACCGTTTGCAACAACTTATTTATTCGAAGCAGGATTTTCGGCACTAACCAATCTGAAAAACAAATACAGATCCAGACTTGCTCCAGAAAATGACTTACGTGTATGTTTATCAGTAATATCACCAAGAATTGACAGTTTGTGCAAAGCCAAGCAAGCACGTCCTTCTCGCTAAGTGTGTATTAAAAAATCCTGTGTGTTAAAGTGACAATAAAACTATTTGTTAAATACTATTACTGTTTTCATTTACATGTAAAATTAATATTTTAATATAACAAAATTTAATTTTGTTACATTTTGCAGCAACATGCAGCATTAATTTATTTGAACACTTATGTCTAAAGTAAGCTTTAAACCAGCTTTTATTGCATTAATGCAAAATTATATGTTATATTCAGCAAATATTTATGTATAAATTTCATAAGTGTTTATAATTGGGTCCCAAGGGAAAGCCTGAGATATAAAGGGGTCCGCAAGTCAAAAAGTTTGAAAACCCCTGTGTTATATCATGTACTCTGTTTCAGATTGTTCTACTTTCATTACTAAAAACTCATTAACTGCTAGATAGCAGTTAATGCTACTGGTCTTGATAAGAGCATATTTGGCAACCAATATTCTAATGGCTCATAAACATCACCACAAAAGAGGAAGATTAAACTAATTTAGATTTCATCATCTCTCTCATCTTCACTAATTTAAGAAAGGCTTTCTCATTCACTTATAAATTATTTATTTAAATTTTATATTCGAACTAATGTCCTCATCTTTGTTATTATCACAGCAATTTGGCCATTGTGCTCTCCAGACTTCTTCAGGTATCTGTCAATCTGGGTGACCTTTAGGGAAGTTCAAACTCAGCCCTTTATTTAATCTATGTGGATAGATTATTCTTGTTCTATTACCCATGTCTTGAGGTATCTCATCTTGGGATATCTCATTTTGTTCTCATTTTAGGAGTTAATCAGGTAGTACAGACTTACTGAAAAAAATAATTGGCCCAGAGATTGAACTCATAATTACTATGTACAAATTTATGACTGGTACATTAATCCATTAAGCTATTGACAATGGGATAATCTTGAACCTAGAACTTGAGGCCTTAATACTAATGTTCTACTATCCTGCGTACAGCTAATTCTGCTGTTGCTGATGAAGCCTTGCTATCAGTTCCTTACAGCAAAATGGCTGAATGTTGTGATAATAGCAATAAAGATGAGGATATTAGCCTGAATGTAAATAATGTAAACTCCTCATCCTAGAAGTTTACTCAGAAATTATTTGCATTTTAGCCTTTACGCAATTGTAAGGATTCCATTTGTAAAAGCTCACTATTAACACAATTTATTAACACATTTACTATGATTAGTCATCAATTTTATTTTTAAACTACTGGCTGTATACATGTGGTTTGATACATTTTTTACTTAATTTTTAATTGACTTTTTAAGTAACAGAATTAAAATTGATCATTTTTCAGTATTGTATAGATTTTGGTTTTGATAAACATTTGGAAGAGAAAGGAATAAAATCATATTGTATCATTGACACTGTGATATCAAACAAAAAGACCGTGCAAAAAGAGACATGTACATCAACAGTATCTATGTCAATAAAAATAATTGTCTGTGGTATGCATAAGAGAGCATTTGTTTGACATTAGCCTGATCTATATGAAAACAGTGATTAAAAGATGGTGCCTGAGTTCTGGGATAGTGGGAGTATAATATCCTTTAAGTAAGTAAGCAAAGTTTTGGATATTTCTGATGTCATTATGTGATGAAATGTTTTTTTGTAAGAAATTTGTGGGATATTTCTTTGTATGCAACTGGCTCTATGTGCCAGTGGAACTCATGAAACTTGGAGTGAATGAAGTTAATCAGGCTAGGGCTGCAGAACAGATAATACCCCCAACCCTGTCCATTAAAAGAGTATTCTTGAAGAAACCATCACTAAAATGCATTGGAATAAATTGACTTGACAAGATTGGTATATGAGCAGGAAGAAAAAGAGTGTAAAAGTTGACATTAGTTCCCTAACCACTGGAGTTTCATTGGAATTGACCAGATCTGTCATCAATTTGTTTTTACTGGTTGCATCTAGAGAATGACATGCAGCATATTAATTTGAGTGAGCTTTATGTAATGTTAAAAGACATTAACTTGGCTCTCCTATAGAAGGAAACAGCACTGAAATTGGTGATTGATTCTTTCTGTAGTTGTACTGATTGATTTTTGATACCATGATCTGAAAGGCAAGCATAAACACCAAAGCAGCTGCAAGTAAGAAGATGGCTCAACACACTCAAGGAGTAGAGTTTTTCTGTGGACTTGAACCAAGCCAATAAACTGACCAGAGTGCAGCAAAAGTTGCTTTATGTAATGAAAAAGTGATTGCCTTTCTCATGTTGGTTTGTGCTGCATTCAAGGAAATGTGGTAATCCCAGTCAGATAATGAACACCCATCAGCACAGTGGTCATCCTGGATTAAGGTGATCTATTTACTTTGTGAGGAGACTCGGCCAAGGGTAGCTGTTAATGTAGTGGCTAAGAAATGGAAATCAATAGAAAAGATAAATGAGAGTACATGACACTTAGCTCAGTATGGACATTATTTGTTATAGTTACTACTTAATCCTGATAGATTGTAACATAATATATTTTTTTGGTTTAGTAGCCATTGGTGTGAAAGTATTCCATGAGTGTCATACATCAGTTTGAGTCTATTTTTAATCAGAAATTCTCACTGCATGAACTTTTTACTGACAATGACACAACATTCTCTAGTAGAGTGTTCAAAGAATTCTTGGCGAAATGGGATATTCACTTATGTTTCTGGTGTGAACATACCCCATCAAGAAATGGAAGCATATAAAGGTATCACTGGAATGTAAGTAGGATTGCTGAAAGGAAGTAATGCACAATACAAGTAGTAGTTTATTATATGACGCCAAACAATAATACCTCAAATTGGACTGTGTCAACTAACATGATAGAGCATTGAGGTGCACAAGATGATAGACATAGTGTTAATAAAACACTTAAAAACTTATGCATGTCCAAATTTATGATGGGTAGAGTGACTGAAATTATTAACCCTTAGTCCATCCTGATTGATAATATTTGCTACATCAGATACCTTTGACCTTTTTGGGATCAAAGTGTATTTATAGATGCTGATAACACATCTTCCCTGAGTGAGGATGAAATTCAACTGAATCTGAGCCCATTACATGATGACCTATTTTGTTTTTTAATTTTGACTTTTCTCAAAATAGACTTAAATATCTTAAATATATAATAAGGTTATATTCACTCAATGGTTATTTTGGGGTTTAATATTTTATTATGTACATGTATTATTAAATGACATTTAGGCCTTAACCAGGATCATATTATTTTTTTTTCTACAGGGTCAAACTGGTGCACCTGGCCTCCAAGGTATTCCCGGAGAAATTGGCAAAAAAGGTGACCGTGGCCTTCCTGGACCTCCTGGCCAACAAGGACCAGTTGGACCAACAGTTTGTATTCTCTTTTTAATTTTGACTTTTGTCTCTCAGTTTTATTGTTTGACTTTTCTGGTCATTAATTAATTAATTGACCAGAGGTAAATTTTATTCTCTTACAAGGGAAATGTTTCTTTACAAAATGAGAAGAAATAAGACCATGGATGATATTCTGTTTATTTGGTGTTGGCTCTTCAAGATTCCAAAACAAAAGCATATGTTTTATTTTCCTACTTCATTTTCATAAAGAAAAAAAATTAATTCAGTCTTCAATATTTATTGTTTAAAAAAGTGATCAAATTCAAAATGCACTCGGTAACCCTAGATAATTTTTAAAACTATATTTAAAATGGAATCATAAATAAAGAAATGTACTTTTTAATTAATGTCTTTTTATGTTAGTGTCTGTGTAAATAACAAGATAAATACTTAAAAAGAGTCAGCACCAAAGTTATATGCTGATTTATTTTGCATTTGATGATGATACTTGTGATTTTGGCTGATGGATGGATTCATCTTTTGATGATGTGAGGAATTTACCATTTCGCTTTCTGGTTCAGTAAAATGTTCATTATGTGTTGTTGCTTCCTTAAGGCCTTCTGTCTTTCAGCCCTTGCTCTGCTTCCCGCCCTGACTGAACGGCTACTCTTCCCACTACCAACCAGTTGCCTATAGCCCTTCTCATTTGCAGCGAGCTCTCTCAGCCAAATTGATGCAGGGTTTGCCTACAGATTCTAATTAAAAAAAACAAAAATGAAGATCCCTATCACCATTATCATTTGTTAAAACATTATAATTTTCCTTATTATCATATAGGTAAAAGGTTTCAGTGAATTCATTAGTAACCAGTCCAAGAATCACTAAATAATAATAGTTATGAAATTTGGAAATGATTCTAATGATAATTATCGTTATTGATTGTATTTTCACTCTATTGAACATATTCTCTTGGTTACTTCTACGGATCAAGAATAACATTTTTCAGTAGTTGAAATAGGACTGAATAATGTTTATATGTGTGGTTAGTGTAATAGCTGTTTGGAAAGAGAAGTTGGGTTCAAATTCTGGCAGAGTTTGGTGCATTCACTTTTGCACAAATATGCTAGAGAAAGGTATGAATTCATCTCTTCTCCTCCCTTAAATAGCAATACAGACTGGGCTGCCAAGCCATGGTTGGCAACCAGTCTAGGAGAAGGCCCAAACTGGTATGTCGCTCTGACAAGACACATAACATACAGCCATTGTGTTCACAATTAACTGCAGTACAAGGTGGTGGAATCTATGATCTTGACTGAGGTTAAGAACAAAAAAAATATTTACTTTGGAATGTTGCATCTTACAAATGATATAAGAAACAGATATGAAGTAAGCAGCATTCCTGTTGTGATCAAGTAAATGGTTAAGAAATAACAAAACCAGTGTTGCAGATATATCATATATTAAACAGTAACTACAACAGAAGAGTATTACGCGACTGGTGAGTGTGTGTCTGTTGACCCAGTGTTCAATCTATTTGACTGTTCTCCCAAGGCCTTCTCTCCTACTAATTTTATAGTAGGCAGAAAAGTTTAACATAGACACCACAACAATTCTGATTAGAATATTTCTACTGGTTCATGAAAGATGGCTGATACCAACTAAACAAACCGCAAAGATTTGGTGTTCATCTATCAATGATCATGTCGATATAAAATCTTGTTTATCTATATTCCAATGTTGGTAAGTCTACAGCATACTGATTAGTATATTTTCACTCCCACACGAACATACATACACATATATAGAATATTTGCCTTAGAATAAATTATCAGCAAAATACTGTGGAAGGTAGGTTATAAGTTTTATGTTAACAGCAAGGTCGATCTCAACTTTCAGGCAAGAACCAAAACCTAACTAAAACCTAAATTTTTATTATATTTCCCTAAGGTATAATTATTTATATATAAATAGAGTTGTATGTATGTCTATAGAATTCCTTGGATTTACTCATCAGTATAGAACTGCATTTGTTTGATTTTTATCTCTGGTAGCAACCAGGTACTTTATGTTTGGTCTCATTGGCAAGTCAGACAAAGGACGCATTTCTCTTGATCAAGCTTTTTGGTGTCCTCCGCAGCCTCCTCTTGTCACTTGTGTCAAGATCAGAGTTGCAGGATGTTGATCTGCAGCCAACAGATGACCATTGTCCTTTGCAGAGCTTGACTAGTCTATCTGTCTGTCAAAAGCTTTATATTTTTATCAAACTCTTTGGATTGAAGCTTCTCTCATGATGTTGATTGTCCCACATCCAGAATGGATTTGCATGGGCTTGGAGGTCCCTCTCAAGTAAGTGCTGTCTTCTTACGTCATTTACTCATTTGCTGTGTTGTCAGTTGACTGCTATCCTTTTCAGACAGGACATAGTAGTTGTGAGTAAAGAATTGAAATCTGCCCTGGAACTTTAGAAATGAAGCTGAGGCAAATTTATTGCAAAATGTCCTGGGAGTTACGTGGTTCATCATGGTGCCCGAAAAGTCGCAACAGTATCTATTTTCTTATCCTGGCATACACCAGATGTTGACTATCGAGCACCTTCATTGTATTGCTAACAAAGACAAAAATTGCAAATATCTCAAATATATATATCTCATCTTTTTTAAGTCATTTTGTTTCTCATAAAATATTTTTACTGGGTTTCATTTTACATGTCCCTTCCAAAAATAAAATATTGTCTTTGAATAGTTTGTCACAAAGGAGTTAGAATTGTATACAGAAATATACAGAGAAAATTGAATGTTTTTGGAAATGTATTTGAACAGTTTCTTTTGAAGGGAATATTTGAATGTTTAGATTAATACTCTCATTGATGCATTGTTATAGCATTGTTGCCTGACTATGCTGACTCATTTTGTTAAAAATAGGAAATTGCCATTTACTGGAAATAAAAGATTATAAAGACACGGTTTCTCATGGGTGACATTATACTACTATATGTTTACACTGGTTTGGAAATAGCACTAAGTACTAGTTAGTTTATAAAATAAATAGACTTTTATGGTGTCTTGAAAATGTGTATATACATCAACAGCAGGCAATGTAAATTTCATAAAGACATATGAGTACATATGCAGCAGCAGAAGTTTTAAATAACAAATAAAACCTATCCATTGAGTGTTCTTCATCAGATCTAATTCTGTACTGCAATTTGAAGTTAAGCTACCTCAGCTCATAATAACTCTGATCAAAATAATTCTGGAGAATACATTCACGTGGAAAAGCAGGTTTGAGATATATCAATTCATAAAAATCACTCCGTGATACAACATAAACAGGTAATGGAAAAATCACTTAAAAAGAGAAGGAATAATTGACCTTTCTGATATGAATGAATTAAAGTAACATTTTACTATATCATAAAATATATTATATTCTATCTTGAAAACAAGTGGAAAATTCGAAGTTTATCATAAATTCAAGTTTAAATTATAATAATATAAACTATTGCTATTAAAAATAAATTTGATAGACCTTTTAATTCTTCATCAATCATACTAAGTTCTGTCCCTCACATGGATTAAAGTTGTATTGTAGAGTTTGAACAAGTTCTTTTTTATATACATTAGTACATTTATGTACTTATAAAATTTAAAATGGTTAATCATATAGTATCATTCTTTCTCCTTTTCTTTTTACAAGAACAACTTTATAAGTTTAACTGTAATCCTAGAGCAGTGATATATCTGTGATTCATAAATGTTTTATTGCAGCCTCTGGACATTTAATATCTCATGTACATTGAAGTATGAAGTATGGAGCTTTGTATAAATGTTTCCAAACATACTAGCTCGACTTAGTTACTTTTTCTATTGATAAACAACATCCTTTGGAGGTGGAACTGTTATAGTTCTAGATTTAAGTATCTTTGGATTAAATTTCTGATTCTTATTGAAATCTCCTCTCCTCATGTGTCAACCCATGCTATTCCTCACGACTGAATTCTTAATGCAGTTCCATATTCTATTTTTGCATTTTGCAAATTTTCACAACAGCTCTTAAAATATCCCTTCAGCCCTAGCTATCTTAATATTTCTTTAATTCATGACAGAACTTCTTCATATTTTTATATCCATTCATTATGCTTTATAGAATCAAGAAAATGTCTGAACATTTTGTTTTTCTTGGGATGGATTTTATAAGGCAGACAGATAAATATCTTCACTATATTGATTGTTTAAAAAAAAAATCTCTTTTAAGCAATGCTCAGCCCCACCCATGACTTTTTATTTTGAATTATGCTATGGACTACAAATAAGAAGACAAAACAAAAAGTAACAGATTTTATTGTGGTTAATGAATAAAATTAAATGTATTCCACAAAGTTACACATAAAAGGTAGCAACTTTAATTAATTAATTAGAAGGCAAGTATTAGTTAAAAATAATTTTAGGGATGATGATTTTTTAACTAGAAATCTTTTTCTCTTTGAGTGGCTGACAAAAACTGATTCCACGTAACAGCTTCTCATTTCTGCAGTTCTGTAGTTTCAAGCGATTTTTCTCTAGTCACATCTACTGAAACAACACAGCCTCTTTCTCTCTTTCTCCCATCTTCTTTCTCATTCTCTTCACATTCACCATTACATATTCACTTGTTTCCCAGCTGGTGGTGAGAATTTGTAGAATCTAACAAAAGTAACTGCCTATTACAAAACTAATCATTGTTCAACACTGAATCTTTCTCTCTCTCTCTCTCTGTCTCTTTTCATTCCCTTTTCTTCCACTCACCTTGCTTTTTTCCTGCCAATTGTTTTAATTATTATTTATTTTTCCTAACTAGTTAATTTGCTTTGCAGTGTATTCTATACTAAGTAAATTGCTAACTAACTTGTGTTTTGATACTAGGGCCCCATTGGACCTCCAGGAATCGAAGGACCAAGAGGACAACCAGGCCCTGTGGTAAGCAGCACATCTTTATTATAGTATTTTAAGAGAAAACAAAATATAAATTGATTTTAAATTCTAATTTGATTTTCATCATGCTGGACAATATTCTGGAGTTATTGTTCATCTGGATTCTCCACTAAATTTTCAGAGTTGCTATCGAAACTCATTGGTGAATCTTTTAAATTGTTTTTCGTAACTTGTGTATATGTTAAGTTATGGTTAGCTTAATTCTATAGATATTACATCTCATAGTTTTTTGCTGATTTAAGAAGCAATGTTTTCATTGATGTTTCTTATGCACAAATGTTGTATAATTTAATTTTATTCCCAATATTTTTCAATGTATTTTGTGTTAAAAAGTTAATTCTTTATGATTGGTAATTAAGAAGAATAACTGTTACACTATCTTTTTTTACATTTTTACTAATTTTTACACTTCAGGGAGAAAGTGGACCAATTGGTCCTCCAGGAAAATCAGGTTCACAGGGACCTGAGGTAAGATACTCAAGTCATTATCTTCTTTAAGAATTGTTTCAGTTTTTCATATCTTTTTAATCCTCTCAGGGGAAAATTTTAACACATGTACATTCTTTACCAAAATGTATGTAAAAGGATTCTAGTTCATTTTTTTTTAATCTGAAGGATCAAAGTTATTTTATTAATATAATTTTAGTCTTGTTTCTGAATGTCATAACATTATAATAAATCCGAGTATATACAGGTAGAGTACTGATTTTCCATCATTATGCTGACTTATCATTTTACCAGACTGACAGGTTACATAATAACAAATTGATAATAGACCTCTGACCAGACCTTATCACCAGAGTGGCATGGGAAGCCTTTAAATTAGGAGGCTCCAAAGTAAGAATTTGTACACTTAAAATTAGCTCACATCATTTTCAATTGGGAATAATTTTCTGGGATGCTAGATCCTCATAGGCAACCCCCCTTTGTTGATGGGCCCTATTTTGATCTACTAATTATATATCTTTCATATCTCCATAGCAACACTGGCTATTAGAAATTTATATTAAACTATTATGAAATGTAATGCCACATGAGACCACCCATTGAATTATTCTAACAATTCAGATGCTTACTCATAATTTTATTTGAATTAAGAGAATTACTGGACTGTTAGTAAAAAGAAACCAAAGAAATCAAAACACAGTAACTGAAATCTAATTTCTACTGTTATTTTAGGTCCTTTCTGTTACAACAATTTAGGTCCTTTCTGTTACAACAATTTAGTTCCTTTCTGTTACAACAATTTAGTTCCTTTCTGTTACAACAATTTAGTTCCTTTCTGTTACAACAATTTAGTTCCTTTCTGTTACAACAAATCTATCAAAATAAACAAAATAGTCAATTTACAACACAAGTCACAAAAAAAATTGCTTCTAAGAGTAACTATTAAATTCATAAAATTCTCAATATCAAAGTTCTGTAAGTTCTTAATAGTTGCTATTTTTTTCTTAACAGGGACCTCCTGGACCACCTGGACCCAAGGGAGACATTGGTGTTAAAGGAGTCAAGGTAAAAAACAAAGAATATCTCTATATTTTTATCATAAATTGGTTGGAAACATAAGAAAAAATATATCTAATAGAAATTCAAATTTTGATATCTTGCTACATTTATTTACTTATAAAGATTTTCAGATTTCAATGATTTTTTTCCTAAATTAAAAAATAAAAAAAACTTAAATAATTTTTTTTTAATCCATGGGCACTGATGTCCTTTGTTCATGTCAATTCTAATGAATTTATTCCTGTGATGTTTTGTTTCTTCAACTTAACTAGGATACATGACATTTTTTGCTTTACCCAGTTGAACTCATAACTACTAAATAACTCAAATCACTTAATTAGTATTTTTGTTTTATGTGATACATGGTCTTGAGGTTAAAAGTGTTGGTTATATGAACAAAGTTAACCAGTGGTTTTTAGCTCAATCATTAGTTGGGTAATACAAAAACTTTGTACTACGTGACTCATACCAGGAAATGCCAGAAGTCTGAATTAAATTTAAATCAGAAACCTTTGGTCTTAGTGGAGTAGATTTGTGGTGACCCAAGTCTGTACTGGGTTCACTCTAATAGATACCAAAGTAAGTTATGCACTTAGTGTCACTTTTGAATATCAAAAGATCTTGATGGTTGACCTAGAAGGTGGTTTGCATGCTGCCAAGTGCAGAATTGAGCCTTAAAGAATGCCAGGGAGTAAACAGGAAATGAACCAGCCAAATATAGAATAGATGGACAGGAAACAATCAGACCTCTGAAAGAAGAAGGGAGAGTTTCTTATATCCTTACAAGAAGATGATCAAACATTCAAAGAACCAAAACCAGATCTAATGGTCAATGTTAATTTGATGGAGTCAAGATATGAAAAAACAATTACTTATGAAAAGTTTAGTCTTGTATTCTTAACACATGTTACTAATATGACATTATGTCATCATATTCAGGTTCAGTGGAAGAGACAAGTGATATTATAAGAATGAAACAATTGATATAAGATATCCTCAAGCTTTTACATTGAAATAAGAACACTCTACCCCTATAGATTGAATAAAGGATTCAATTTGAACACAAATGATAACCAACTATGATAGACACCTGAATGAGGCCAGAGGGTACAACAACTGAAATATTATGTTGATAACAACCAAGATGAGAATATTAATTTGAATAAATCTATGTATAATCTGCTTCTTAGTTAAAAAAGAGAGAAGTTGTAAATTATTATCATTTTATTTATTAGTTCCAACTTGAGAATCAAAATTTTTATAACTTTATGAAAACATTATATTGGTGGGTACTGAACATTTCTCAGAAAAGATTCCTTGTAAAATTCTAATATTTGGTCACTTGGACAGATTTTGGGAAGTGGGTTGAACTTTTTCAGCATACCTTTATATCTCCCATTATTTTATATTTTTGAATATCATTCTTTTTTATTTAATTCCTTATTTATTTTGTCATTAGGGACATCAAGGAAAAATTGGAGACCTTGGATCACCTGGTCCCGTTGGACCTAAGGGAGAACCAGGAAAGATGGGCCGACCTGGCAAACGTGGAAGCAAAGGACCTGTTGTAAGTAATTTTAATTAGCAATCCAGAATAAGGAATCAAATCTATACTGATAAAAATTTAATATAAAGAAATTGAAAACAAATTAATTTCCAAAGTACTTTAAATTTAGGAGTCCAGACTTTCTTAAATTAGGAATAATTTTGGAATGGGTTGAAGACCATTCAAGGTAGATGGTTACTGTTAAGATGGTTACAATGAATGGGTTGTGAAAGAGTTGGTAGTAGGAAATGAAGATTATGAGGATAAGGAGGATAGATAACGGTTGACTTTTGATTTGAAAAGGTTAACATTGTAGTGTTCAGGAAAGCATCAACACTGAGATCTGTTCTGCAAAGTAGCAGTTCTTAATGAAAAGCTGGACCTTTCTCCTTACATTTGGAATATGGAGGAAATGAGGGTGATTCAACTTTGTGGAAGTAGCATGGCATGTTCTAACAGTATAGAGTCTGAACTGGTGGAACTAAATAATAAAGCTCATCAGGACATTTGCAATGGTAGTAGTGATAGTGATAGGCTTGCAATGTTGCATATGTGTAAAAGTAGTTGCAGAGTGGAGAATAAGTCTTTTACATGACTGCATAAATGATTTTGAACTCTATCAATAATGGAGAGTGAAGATTGAGCAGCTCCAGCTCCAGCTCTCCAATTTTAGTCTAAAAGTATGGTAGGAGTCAGATACTTCCTGGAGCAATAGAATGAGCCAATTATTTTACCAGTATTTTTAGTAATGGATCATAAATTTCACTTGAGGTCTGGAGTAAACTTGAGACCCAATCCACTTTTGAGTAATTTGATTTTTTATATTCTTAAACCTGATTTGTTATTTTTCCCAATATGGCAGCATGATAGTAAGATTAAGTTGATGTTTTAGTGCATAGTTCATTTGATTGATTTGTTTTTATGGCTTATCAACCTTTTTCTGGTTATTTAAAGACAGAAAATAGTTTTAGATTGAAATAATTATTTGGCTACAATAATGATTTATTGATACAAGTCCTACTAATTAACCCATGTCTGGGGACAGAAAAGATAAATTCATACCTTTTCCAATAGTATTTGTATATAAATGAATTTAACGAATCTGACTGAAATTGGAACTTGGCTCTCTGATTACCAATTCCAAGCCATTATCCATTACATCAACTGCACATCCAAGCTTACAGCACCTGGTATTCCAAAGCAGTCACCCATCTAGGTACTGACCAGGCTTGACATTGCTTAACTTCGATGATCATATGAGAATCTGTGATTTAACATATGACCCTAAACCAGTGTATAGTTAAGTTTGTTAGGTTATCATTTTCATAGTGGTATTTGTAATCCAGGATTTTTTCTTATAAATTTAGTAGCAGACAAGTTTTATTTCAAAACTTCATTTTCCTATAATTTGATAATTCTTAAACCTCTCTATAAACAAAAACCTCCAGGACTCATTTTCTAACAGTTGAGCTGTGAGCTGTTCAAATTTATCAACTTAAAGTCAGTCATTTTAAATTATTAAACTTATTTTGATCAGATTTCAACAAAATTAATGTCTTTTTGTATTCTTAATATATGCATGGCATAAAGTTCAGGGATTTTAAACTAAATTTTATAAAATTGAAAATTCATTTTTTTTAAATATACTTGCTTGGTATATAGTTGTATAAGTTGGAAACTAATAACAAATTCATTTTGTATTAAAATAATTTAAATTTGAATAAATTAATCAAAGTAAACATAAATTAGACTTTGACTTGTTATCCTTAGCAACATTTTTTCCAAATCTTAATTTTAACTTGTACACTGAAAACTGTATATTTTGTATAGAATTAATAAATCATATTTGTTGATTTTAGACATATTTATTAAATAATGAGAATTTTTATTTTATTTAGACTTCTCATTTCAGCAGTATTTATTAGTATTTTTAAAGCAATATAAAAGCATACCCAATGTAATTAAAATTACTTTGATCTATTTTAGGGACCTGTTGGTCCTGAAGGACCTGCAGGAGCTGATGGCCCACCTGGACCAATTGTAAGTATTTTATTAATCACATTTTATTACTAAAGTGTTTAATTTAGCAGAAGCATTTCTAATATAGCCTAAAAGACATTGTCCTCTTGGTAAATTCTTTCATTGCCTTCCAAGTACATTGAATTAAATACATTCATATGTGTTCCTTTTGAAAAATTTCACAATAACAAGCATTTTTCAAATTTTTTTTAGTAACTTTGCAATCTACAAGTAAGCTAACAAAATCTGTGAATCAGGATGTGAAAGATTTTCTAGTCTTAATGTTATACAATTTCTTCACTATATGCATTTTTAAATTCTTTAACAAAACTGATAATTTCTGTATTAAAAAATGACATAATCAAGATGTTGATGTTCCACATGACTTCAAATAAAAGATTAGGAAGGAAACCCCCCATCAATACAGGAAAGAGCAATAACAGATATTGAACTTGAGAAACCTACAATCCTGAAAAATCTTTTTAAGAGAAAGATTTTTGAAATTCTAACCAACAGTAGTACTGGCTGCACAGTTGATAAATGCCAATTGTTTCCTCATAAGAAAATGGCTAATGTTATCATTACCATTCAATAAAGATAGAATACAAGATTTACCCATATATGAAAAGAAAACTTAATTACTGTTTTGATGTCACACCTGTTGGTCTATATTTTCATTGTTCACCTCTTACTTGGATGATCAATATTGTGTCCTGGTTTGTTGATTGGTACTTGATTCCTCAGTCTCTGTTAACATGTATATATAAATGATAACATGTTCCACCTTACAGGAAGCAGAAAGTGCACAGACAGAGATAGAACTTTCTAGAACAACTGTTTAATTAACACCCAAATATTTTCATTGGAGATAGTCCTTCTAAATCATTAAAGTTCCCATTACATATTCTATGACATAATGTGTCTTTATACATTTATTAGGCATGTAACCTGATATCTCATTCTTAGTAATGCTGTATTCCCTGATGTTATGGTAACATAAGGCATTACTTATTGTTATTAAGTAAACAAAGAGTATTTCATGAGTAAGTAGGGGGGATCAGGCTGATAAAACCTAACTTTACTTCTTTTGGGAGAAGAGAGAATGTCACCACTTTTATACCAAATATTAAAAAAGACAAACCATACTACCCAATATTTGAAAGGTACAAACATTTTTTTTACAATATAACAAAATACAATTTGTACAATAATCTTGCATTTCCTTTCATGCACCTTATTATGAACAAGACAAGATAATGGAAGGAAATTATAGTCTCTGAAAAGGATTTACAATATAATTCTTCCAATCATAAAAAAAAATCTTGAGATATGAAAACTGTTAAAAAAAAAAAAAAAAAAAAAAAAAAAAAAAAAGGAAGAAAATAATTAGAAAAACTGAGGTGGTAGCATTTTGAAATGTCTTTTTGGTTTTCTTTCTTTTTTTTTTTGGCATGGTTGGCTTTTTTTTTTTTGCTTTGTTCTTCTTTCTTTTCATCATCATAGAAATTATCAGTGTAGTCCTTGATAATGTTGAAACCTTTTAACTTTTTGCTCTCCTAGTTGCAGCTATTGATTTTCACTTATGAATGCCATAAAAACTCCCACTTTCTGCCTCCCTCCCTTTCATCTGAAGTCCTTTCTGCTCTTCTCCACTGACCCATGTTCTTATATACTCTTGAAAGAGGCTCAAACATGCCTCATCTTTAAATTTACATGTGTGGAAACCACTTCTTTGATTTGACAAAATACAAAGAGTATATATTTTTTTTTAAATTTGAAAGATGAATCATCAGGAGTGCGCCATAACTGTTGTTTCTGGCAGGCCCTTTTAGAGCCAATTTTGAATAAAGAAACTTTTACAAACAAATCTAACAATTTTTCATAAGCTGTTTGACTTTCTTTTAATACACTTCTCCCAAAAGTAAGTGTATAAGATAAACCTCGACTATTATAATATTTATTTACTTTTAATTTTTTTTATAAATATAACCAATGGAATTTAAAAATTAATTAAATAGTTTCATCATTTTTAATGGTATGCATAATCTAATTCATATATGAAAATGTTAAATTTTGTATTGAGATTTAAACAGATGAACTTGAGGCTGAAAAGCAAAATTATGACAATAATGTATAATTTGCCTATCCTGTGATATCTACTGTTTTCTTTATTTTAGGGTCCAGAGGGTCCACCTGGTCCCAAAGGAGAAATGGTAAGAGTTAATCTTTTATGATATATATATGGGAAAACCTTTTAAAAGTAAAAGCTAAATTTTACCAATACACAACACAATAACATTCTGACAAAAAGAATTTTAATTATGATAGTAATGTTGATTCTTCTTGTCAAATTCAGAAGAAATAGTCTATTATCTCATTCATATAAGAAATGTTAATGCTTGTTATAAATAAGTTTTATGTACATGACAAAATTATTTTGAAATTTTACAAAACTTGCAAGTTTTTAACTATTGTGCAATAATTTATTTCTTTTAATTAAAGAAATCTATATATAAAATTCTATGACTTCCATTAGTCTGTCCATCCATTACACCCTCTAAAATAGCCATACATTGACTGATCGAAACCAAATTTTGGGGATCGAAACCAAATTTTGGGGAGAAGTTCAAACAGGTAAGGGAGTGAAAAATACAGTTGGTTTTACATGGGCACATAGTAACAGTAAATTTTCACTGATTATTTTTGAAAAAATTAGTAGTTTTATCATTTAGCATACAAAATACTCCCACCATTTTAAAAACAATTTAATGATTAAAATAACAAATACTTATTTAATAAAAATGATTATTGTTTTTTTCTTTAAGTTTTTATATATATAAGAATTTTCCCATTTGCAAGAACTATAAACAAATCACAAAATCAAATGGTTTAAAAAGTTGGAATTTGGCTCCAGAAAGAAATATTTACATGGCCTGTTGTATGTTGCATGCCCAAGAGTAAGAAATCCTAAGAATTTATTATTTACAGTTAAAAAGGAAAAAAGAAATTTTCTTAAAAAATATTGTTTCTTATGAAGTTCTAGTAAATTCTTTATCAAGTCGAGATACTTTTCCAATGTTATTTAATTTTTGGAGGGAACACAAAAAAATTTCAGTGTTGATAGGAGTAGTTATTAAATTATCTTTTTTTTTTAAGAAATGAATCTTTTTCTATCTGATACTTGAAAGTTAAAAGCAACAGAATTTATTCACTTTGTACAATTTATTTTATCAATTAGGTAAGGAATTTTAATTGATAAATCTTGTTGAATATTTTGAATGTTTGAAAAAGCACATTTTCTTATTGGCTTAATATTCTGAATTTTTTCAATTAAATAAAATTATGAGTGTTCTTTATGCAGATGAAAACTCCTCTTTAAATTTTTTGTTTCTTTGGTTTATTTTTTTCTTACTTATTTTTTTCAGGGAATGACTGGATCTAAGGGAGAAATGGGATTATATGTAAGTAATATTTTCATCAAATCTTCAATCTCTTGCTCTCTCTCTCTCTCTCTTTCTCTCTCTCAATGCAAATCTATCATTTTTCTTCTGATACTCTACAAATTCCTTCTTTGCCAGGTAGGACAAAAATTAAATGAAATAGGGGCCTAAAATATTATATAAACTCAGAAAGAAGTACATATTTGTTGATTATTCTTTGAAAGTCTATTTCTGTGGCTTGTAATTAAGAAAGGTGATTTTTTTTCATTCCGTTGGAGGGAATATTTGAATTAAATTTTAGTTTAATTCTTTTTAATTCATATGAAATTGGTAGAGTTAATTGTGCAAAGCAAAAATAATATTAGATTTCAAAATATTTAACGGACAAAATTATTTGAAAATAAAACACACATTTGTAAGAATATTAACTGACTGATATTTTATTAAATTAACAAAATTAAAATGTTCATATGTCTCCGTGCCATGCAACCATCAGTTCAGGTATCAAAATGAAATTGTTTTTATTTGATAATTATGCCATTGTTTTATATCTTTATTTAGGATTTTAGCATAAAAGAATTCATGAGAAAATTGTATGTAAATAAAATTCCAGTACAGAAATTTATTAATGAAGTGTACATAAAATAAATTTTGTAAAATAATTTTTTTAGTTATGCCTCAAAATTCCAGCTAATTTGGTTTCATTCAGTTTGCACTAAGGTCCTTGTGAAAGACATAAATTCATTTATCTCTCCTCAGCTATGAGTAAAATAGTAGCACAGACTGGGTTCTCTAGCCTTGATAGGGCAACAAGTCTTAGCAAAGGAGAACTCAAAATCATGACTAATTCAATGGGAAACCATTCAACTACCTCTCTCAAGAAGTGACCTGATGATTCACAATTTACAAGTAACAAAGAAAAGGAAGCTGTAGAGAACCATGATCAGTAAAAAGATAAATAAAATTATCAAATCCTGTTTAATTTTTTTTAATTTGTTAATATTGGCTGCTCAACTCTTTGCTTTTGTAAAGATGAACTGCTTTAAAAAAAAGATTAGCTTTTCATGTAAGACTAAGATAACATAAAAACAGTAAGCATTGGTATCATTAATTTTCATTTGTATTATTTTGAATCACGTTTTAGAGAAAAATAACAGTTGAGTTTTGTAAAAGCAATTTTTATGTAATACCAAAAATCTACATATTTAGAATTTATTGTTTGAAGGCTTAAATTGTTATTTCTAATGTTAGTGTATGAAAAATGAACTTTTTCTCTTGCCAAAGAATAGTATTAATATTAGTTTAGTGTTTTAAGTCTTCCACTGAGAATTATTTTTGAAAACTCTGGCCAAACAAGTAAAAAACATTTAAACTAATTTCTGTGGAATCTTTAATAAAATTAAAGACATACATTCACACTAACTGTAAATCATTTCTTTCATGTAAAAATGTAATTTTGTATAAGAAATTTCCTCTTAATCTGAAAACATACAACATTTATCTTTTTTATTACCTTTACAAATAAAACCAACTCACAGCAAAAATATATATGATTATTATTACTGACATTTTCTCCATTGAATACCCCTGTCTTTAACTAATTTGGAGAGTTATTTTTTATTTTAAATAAAATAAATAAAACCTTTTATAATTGTGTTTCTTTTTAGATATAGATCATTAGCTGTGAGGAAAAAGACCAAAGGAAAATATCAGTCAAAATTATTTTCAGTATTCTAAAATTATTACATGTAGTCAATTGGGAAAGCATTTATTCTCTCAAATAGCTAACTGATAAAATTTCTTAATATTTTTAATAAAGTAATAATTTTACTGAATTTCCCAGATTTTAAAATTGCCATTTTTCTTTTCCATAACAGTTCATTTCAGTGAAAAGCACTTGTCCCCACCCCAAAAATAAAACAAAATGTAGGCAATTTAACTGATAGTATTTAGGGAAAATAATTTTAAATTAACAATTCTTTTGTATTCTAAGTTTTTATGCCATTCAAAAGCAAATGAAATTTAATATCAGGTGAGTTTTAAAAAAAAGTTAAAAATAATTTCTGAAAACATTGATGAGTCTCCCATTCTTGATTGTGTGTACACAAAACCCATTGATTTGATTTGACGTGTTGCATTTTAAATGACAGTCACAGTTTCAAAATTGTTGGCTATCTTTATAAAAAAAAATCTTTTCTACCTATGCTTTAGTAATTGAGTTGTATTTAAGCGTTGCTCCCTAACTCAGCACTGAATGCAAGACTTGCATATCAATGATGTCAACATTGGGGGAAGTCAGAGGGTGTCAACAGAAGGTAAGTTAGAAGATAAAAGATGTTATACAGACTAATTAAAAGCTTATATTAGCTCACACACATTTTCCCAAAATTAACCTATATTACAATGAATACATACAAAGGCTAAAAAACAAGGAATCTCGCACATAATGCCTTTGTATCATTTTATATATATATATATATATATATATATATATATATGTAAAATAATTATTTTATATAGGACCTTTAATTCCTAAGGGTACTATGTCTATCTATTTAAATTTTAGGTCTTCCCTTTTAAAACTTTTCACATTAATAAAATAAAATTTATTTTACCTAAGCTAAATAGTTTTATTAAAAAGAATGCATTTTTTACAGATCTTCACCCAAGGCTTTATTAGTATTTTTTTAGTTCATACTTGATATATGTAACTGAACAGCTCTTATTACTTATTATATAAATATTTTAATTACAACTAATATTTATTTTTTTAAATTAGCTATCACTTTAGCGTATTTTATGAATAGGAAAAATCACTTTCCTGTTTCATGTATTTTCTTCTTCTCTCTTGTGTTTTATTCTTATCTCTCATATATTCCATACTGATGTCTCTTGAACCATTATCAACACCAATTCCTGATTGACAAGTTCTATCCTCTTGGGCTTATTTTCTAAATTGGAATTTTTGCTTTGGGTGGAGCTGCAAAATAACAAAATCAATTGGGAGCATGAATGTGCACACCAAGTTTCAATCAAACAATTTAAAAATATGTAAATATTAGGAAAAACTTGTAAAGCAATTTTTTTGGTTTAGGCAGTTAATTTATCTAAAAAAATAATTAAAACTATCTAAATGAAAATTAAATTTTAAACTTTATTATACTTGAAATAAAATAAAAACAATAAATAGTATTTTTATTGACACAACTAACAGGGTTTTAAGGTAATATACAAAAGAGATTATCAGGAAACAACTCAAAGTATCTTTTTCCTTTCTTCTAGGATAATAAATCTTAATTCTATGAAATAGTTATGCTTATAAATCAATAGTAACAAAACTGATTAATCAAAATCTTTTAGTGAAATTTCAATAATTTCTTTCTTTCTTCTCTTCATAATTCCCAGAAAATTGCTATCTTTTGTGTCAGTTCAAACTCTGATTTGTATACTTTTTATTCCCTTCAGGGTCCTCCTGGTCCTCCAGGAGCACCTGGCGAAGCCCAAGCAATACCTACTGAACATCTTGGAATGCGTGCAAGACACACTCGAAGGAGGAAGAAGAAGAAGAAGAGGAGGAGGAGGTCTGCTGATGGTAGCGAAGTTACTGATGATGAAAAAGATGGAATAGAAGAGGTGGATGAGGTTATTCAAGGAATGGCTACAAAGAAAGTCTCCATTAAAGAAGGCCTGATGCAGGTTGTAGATAAAATGTTTGAGGAGATTGATAAACTCAATGAAGAAGTCATGGGTTACAAATTCCCTAAAGGTACCAAAGAGAATCCTGCTGTGACCTGTCGAGATGTATATTTAGGCCATCAAGATTTTCAAGATGGTAAATATATAATCAATATCTTTTTAAGACAAGATCAGTATGAATACGCCCCTACACACTCTTTTAAACTTATGTCATTTAATCAGTAATTATTTATAATTGTGAAATGTTTAACAATGTATAACTTGCAATGTAAGAGTGCCTTGTCATAGTATAATGCTTAGTAAGTTTGTATTACAAATCATAACTAGTTGGATGGTTGTTCTTGTTTAGCAGCATATCAACCTTTATACCCTTGTGCAAATTAATTGAAACAAAACGAATAATTCTGTTATTATTTACTTTTTTTGGTATTTTTCCACTGAAACATGACCCAGTATACATATTAGCACTTCATACATCCATTCCATGAAATTATTCCTTGCAGATTGACCACAGATTCTCAATTGTTTTTTTAATCATGTGAGTTTCTGGGCCAGTCTAGAGTACTTTGATTTGCTCACTGGCTAGGGTTTTCCAGCATGTTCATGCAGTGTTACAATTTTTATATGCTTCCTTGGAGTAATGTCCATCACAGACAATGGCTGTAGGACAGCTAATCGACAGACAAGACAATAGTGTCTGGGCATGATAAAAATCTGATGCAATCACGGATGATGCAAATATTTTTCAAGGCCAAACTAATTTCATCATACACCCCAAAAAGAAATTCATATTACTGCATGCCATTGCAAATGACCTAATCTGAGAAAAAAATAGAAATCGATTACACCCTGTCACTCCAGTGTGTCTAAAACTGACTGTATGATGAAAGAAAGGAAACTAAAGCAGGTGTTTCAATTAATTTGCACAAAGGTGTAACCTCTATGGTTTATTTCATTCTAAAATGTACATATTTTGTATGTAATTTTATACTTTCAACTACAGATAGAATTATATACTTTCAAGGTAAAGGTATGTTTTTTTAGATATATAGTTTGTAGATCATAAAATGTATTGTTAATTTTACTATTAAAATGTATTTTTATATTTTTTTAATGTTGCTTTGATTGTCATTTTGCTATAAAAATTTATTGTTGCTCATTTTATTATAAAAATGTACTGTTGATTTTTGTTTGGTGGTGGTCACTATTTGCCTATAGCTAGGACCCTAACATGTGTCATGACCCCAGATCAGGGTGGACCTGGGAACAACAGCAATTAAGAGGTGGTTCCATGCTCATCAAAACCTCCAATGTTCTGATCAGAGTCCTTCTTGCCAGATATAGTTTATCTCATAACCAGTGAATTCCATAACTGTGTGTATCCGTTTTGTAATTTTGCACTCAACCAAGCTGAGGTCATCTCATTATGATGCAATCATTTACAAGTTTGTCTCCTATATTTATAGCCTTCTGCTATAATGATGCTTAGTAGGAGGCACAGTGGAATAATAGAGAGTGGCTCAGATTGAGCAATCAGAGAGCCAAGTTCAAGTTAATTTCATTGCATTCACTTACGTGCTATGCCTTTGGGAAAAGTATGAATCCATCTCTTCCCTCAGCTATGGGTAAATAGCAAGAGAGACAGAGCCTTATAATCTTGGTTGATAATTTAGGAGAAGGAAAACTCTGAATTCAAGCCACCTACTGACTTGTAGGTCTTGGCTCTTTAAATTCTGTGAAGAGGGATGGGGTAGCTTCAACATCCCTGATGCAAAAGGAACTGGTAAGCCATTGCACTATTCTTCCTTGAATGCCACCATGAACCACAGTTGTGAGATGGAGGAGAGTGGTGACTACAGTGATGCAAAAAATGTGCTAACTGAATAAATGATGATAATGAATGTTTAGTAAATAACTATAAATTATAATCTATAAATAAATGTTTTTCACTGTTTGAACTAGTGCATTGTATTGAAAGCAGAGTATGAATTAATCTGTACATAGAAAATGCAATCTGAGTTACATAAATGTTTCCCTTATAACCATTTCCTTTAGCTCAAATTCTGTTTTAATAATTAAATGCTTTAACTAAATTTATTAAGGTAAAAACAGATTATTATTTGTTACGGTAAAAACAGATTATTTTACTGTCAGCATTTATTACTCCTTAGCCCAAACCAGTGATTCTCAAAATTTTTTTCTCTGGGTTACATTTTCAGAATTAAAATTTTCTTGTGCCTCACCAAATTTTATGTGATAAAAAGTATATTTAAAAATAAAAAAAACAGAGAGTTTTAAAGGGAGATAACCATGGATTTGAAGTCAGAACATTATCATTAATAACTCTCTCCTCCAATTTGTGGACCCTAGTTACTATATTCTTAATACTTGATATAATGCAAAAATATAACAATGATAAAATCAGTCAATAATTATTTATAACTATTTATACTGGGACTCATGTATGTAATTACAAGTAATCTTTAAAATTGATATGAAGGCTTTCTTTTTCTGACTTCAGTCAAGAAGTAAAATTTTTTTATATATTTCACTTTCCTCTTTCATTATATCATTAGAACTTTTATTAATTCCTGGATTCTCAAAGAAACATTTCATGATCTTTATATTCATACTGGATTTAAGGTAAAATCCAATTTTTCTTTCTTGAATTTTAAATGTGTCACACATTATTAGCTACTTGATTTTTGTCCATTTTTAGATAACTAATAAAGAGCATCATGAAAATATTTGCATTAATGTGCAGGATATTTCACATAATATTTATAAATTATAGTAAACCACATAGTTGATTAAACCAAACAAAATTCAAGCAAATGATCCCTTGATTCTTACTTTTTTTCAGGATGGTATTGGATTGATCCAAATATGGGAGCTCTTAATGATTCTATCCATGTATGGTGTAACTTGACAGCCCATGGAGAGACTTGTGTATATCCTGTCAGAAAAACAAGGATGGTAAGACATTTGTTTATATCTCTTAAACATACAAAACTATGGGACTAATTTTCATAACTTATCAACAAGATTTGCTATTAATGATGAAATATTGAAAGATATGTTTTTCAGGCCTGTTTCAGAATTTGTTGGCTTATCACAATAAGCAGTTACTTCTTGCTTATTGTTGAACTGACTTTACACCTAATTAATATGCTTTGTTTTGTTTTTTTTTACAATAATATTCACAATATACAAGGCCCAACAGCCATTTGAGGTAGAGGTTACAGAGTAAGAAGCAGAGTTTATGAAGATATGTGGGAAAGATAACAATTAACCCTAGACTTAAACAGGTTAAGATTGTAGTAATTGGGGAAGCATCCTCTTGGGAGTGAGTTGATGCTGGAAATTTCTTTCGCTTAAAACTAAAGAAATTGAAGCAGTGGGGAAATTAAAATTTTATCCTTCCTGATTACAAATAAACAATAATTTATTGTTTTTATGAATTTATTCTTAGTTTCTATTTTCATATCATTGATTTTCTCAACCAGGTTTTTTTTCCTAAAAATGGGACACATTCAGGTGAGATAATGGTTAGTGAAGCTAGTCTAGTTAACCATTGCTGCTAAGTTTAATCCTCAATGAGTGTTTCATATAAAATTCTACATTATATAACCTGTTGAAACTTGACTAATGCATGGAATAATAATATAACACAAAATGTACTTAGAACAACATGTATTGAAACAAGAAAGTGTACACAATATTTACATATAGTCTTTTGTATATTCTTGGGAAGACCGTTCCTGGAGAATGTGTTGACTTAGTCCCAGTCGGGCAGAGTCTCTGGATTGAATCTCTTGATTCCTCTCCTCATCTTCCCAGTACCAACCATATTTATATGGTCGGTACTCCACTATGCAAATTAGGTGGATCCTACCACAACATAGCCCAACAAGGGTTAACATATAAAATCAACCAACCAACCTAAAGAATCTGGTGTTGTGTTCCATAGAATATAAAATGCACAAAATAGATACCCCCACTTCAACACTATCATCATATTATCATCAACCTTTTCTCACTGATGAAGAAGCTCTCCTTTATCCTATCTTATAGATGTCAATGACATCATGGTTTTGACTCAGGGTAATTGCTATATTCATCCTGTTTGGCCTAACACTGGGTGAAGGGTTTCTGTTAGAGACCTTCTTTCCACTAACTTTCAGCACACTGATTTTTTACCTATTATTGGAGTCCTTTGAATTCAAAGTTGCCAGCCAAGGCTGGAGAGTCTAGTTTGCCTTACTATTTTGTCTATAGCTAGGTAGGGAAGAAGAAGTTCTTTTGCAATTTACATCTTCACAAAAATAATTAGCAGGTACTACACATATTTACCAATTATTTTTATATTTTTTCCAGTAGTGTTTTACCTTTTGAAAGCTCTAAATTTATTAACCATAATTAATTTTAAATCTTCAGATTCACAATATGATTATTAAGTTGAGATTTTGATATTTTAAGATATACAGTAATTGAAATGAAAAGTTATTCATGTGTCAGATAATATAAGTCACAGATCAAGTGATACACTTAGAATTTTAATTGGTGTTAAACCTAAAATTAAGATCTTTCTATGTTGAAGATTCAAATTACTTTTTTAATTTTTATTTTTACTAATGAAATAAAGTTTTTCTTTATTTAAGATTATTTGCTGATATCTTTTGTTTTTCTACCTCAGGTTATACCAAGGCCATGGAAAAAACATAAAACAGATTTAAGATGGTTCAGTGAATTTGAAGATGGATTTAAGGTAAAATCCAGTGTTTTATTTTCTTGAATTTTAAGTGAGTCTCACATTATTAGTTACTTAATTTTTGTTCATTTTTAGAATATTAATAAAGAGCATCATGGGAATATTTGCATTATTAATGTGCAGGATATTTCACATATTTATAAATTATAGTAGCCCACATGTCACTCTTTATTTACATTATTTAAACATACACATATTTGGACTATAATCTTTGTTGTTATTATCACAAAATTTCAGCCATTGTGAACTCCCAACCTTCATCAGAAGGTGTTTGTTGATCTGGGTAACCTTCAAGAAATTTTTAACTCAACCCTTTATTTAATCAATGGACATGAAGTGATGGGGAATAGATTGTTCTCATTCCACTGAATGTCTAGGAGCAGGGGTTCTGAACTTTTTTTTGCCTATTGAATTCTTTTTGCCATAAACCAAAATGTCATTCCCTCCACTTTCCAAGATTATCTAACTCAAAAGGTGCATTCCAAATAATTAATATATATATATATATATATATATATATATATATATATATATATATATATATCATTGAAAAGTTCCATTCTTTTCTATATTAATACATATACCTGGAACATTTTTATAGAGGAGTTTTACAAATTTACTAGCAATAGAAAAATGTTGATAGATTTTTAAACTTGAATACATGTAAAGTAAAATTTGTTTTAATTCATAATTATTAAATAAATAAACTGAAGCAGACTTCAATAAAAAAAAAAAGAGTTATTCCTCCCCCACTGAAACCCTGAAGTTCTCCCACTGGTTGTGAAGTCCAGGTCTAGGGATATCTCATTGAGTTCTTATTTAATACTCTCCATCCCAGAAATTCAACATATCACTCAAATGATATGGCAGCAGTTTTATGAATTTTTTTTTATTTTGGCATTTTCAGTTTCATTTTATTAGTCAAATTACTGAAATTCTAAAAAAGCAATTATGTTCTAGTTAAAAATTATTACTCAATGTGTACAAAGTTTAAAAACACACATGTTCTGAATAATAATTAAAAACAGTTTTTAACAACAAAATTATTAAGACATCATTAATATGAAATATATGCCCCATGTTCTAAAATTAGATTTAGTTAATCCATTCATTTTTTGGAGATATTTTATTTCATCTGAAATAAATAGCATAACATTAAAAATAACATTCCAAAGTTTATCTTTGCTGCTAAATTTTCATCTGCCAAGGTAAATTTTCTTTTTCAGCTTGTTCCACAAGTTTTCAATCAAGTGAACAAGCTGACCATTTCAAATGATTTTCTTTGAAACCCATTTTATTTAGATGTTTATGAGCTTATTTGGATTCTTTTTGAACCATGACACTATGTAAGCCTTCAAAAAGTAATGTCTGAACAGTCATCTTAACAGGGTGTAGAACTCACCATGGGCTCCAACATTTCACCATCTGTAATCCCAAAACATCATGCCACCTTCACCTGGTTGATGTCTCAACCTGTGGGGGTTGTTTCTAGCAATAAACCATTCATATTTTTACTCCATCCATCTGACCAATGGAGAATAGCACTGATAAAATCATTAGTTGAAAAAACATCAGTTTTCATTTATATTTTGCTGCCCATTTCATTCAATTTTGATATTTAAAAAATTAAAGAATTAAAATATCTTCTGGATATCTTTTAAAGGAGAACTTATCAAATCTGCATCACAGTTGTCCAAGATCTTCAACAATTTTGTTGTATCTGTCAATCATTTTTGCAATATCCAGTATTATTTTACCTTTTGAAAAATCTGAATTTATCACACATTTGTTTTTACCTCCCAAATCATTTTAAAGCTTCAAATTCACCCCATGGTTATTAAGGTCTCTTCAAAATTTTAAGATATTTCATACAAATGGCCTTCATTTGTTTACATTTGAACAAAATGAGGTTGTCTTTCATCCTAATTGTACAGATATATATTGCTATCATTCAGCAAATAAAGCTTTAGCTTACATTAAGCATTTATTTTATATATTGATAAAACATGATTTGGTGAGTAATATGAAATGTATTATGTCTGTGATTTTATATATATATATATATATATGTGTGTATGTGTGTGTGTACGTGCACTCACACAAAACAATTTTTATAACAATGTATGAAGCATTTAAATTTATAACTCTGCAATATCTTTTGTTACTGAACAGCACCAGTTTTATGAATTTTAGCTACTATTTCAAAATAGATTTCACTCACACTGCACAGAAATATACTCTATCTTGTAATAATTTTTATTCTATATATTGTTTATTTTATATAATTAGCAGTTTGATGATATTCTGATTAAATTGATTTTTATTGTAATTCTTTTGTGATTAGTTCATTTATGTTATATGGGATAAATTCTATATATTAGTCAGTACGGTAATGGTAAGATTAGCTGGTATTCAGTGACTGTTGGTTGAAATTTATTAAATCTTTTTCTTAAAATAGAGTTTTAGGAAAATAAATTCACAAATCCACTAAATGTTATAGCACTTTCTAGTACCGATGAGAGTTTCCTTCCTAAACTTTAGAGTAGACAGAAAGTCAAGATTTTGATTATTTCATTATTTTCCCTTCTAGTTATATGTACTGCCCATTTTTGTTGCTGTTGGAAATCTTCAAATGGTGCATTTTTTTATATTTGATAAAGCTCTTTGATTGTGATTCTGTAGCACCAATCTATAGAGCCTGATGAATGATTGTCTTCTTTATGACCTAAAGGATTCAATTAGAAGGACTTTAAAAAATCACCTTATCCAATCTGACTAACATTTGTATAATGAAGGCTGTCTACACGTACAGACAAAATGAAGTCAGCTTACTCTCTCACTGAATACACCAAGCTGCTAAATCAAAGAGTCAATTGTCTCCTTTGTAACATACCCCACTCCATCCGCATATGCATACACACATTATTTATATGACTTCTTGTAATTTTCTTGTTCAATAAGAAATATCCATTTCACTTTACATTGTCTTCAAAGAAGATTTTGTATCATTGTTCCATAGTGGTGTGCTTGTTGTGTTTGTGTAAAAGACATATGTCTCCTGGTATAATTCCCCACTCCCGACTTAATAATTACTGCGGACTCAAATGTGAGTTCAAATAATAAATGAGTAACACAAAAAAGCATATAAAACAAATGACAATGCATGTATTAACAAAAGTATTACAATAAAAGAAGAAAAAATTTTAGACTAATTACATAGAAAACATTTAAATTAGAGAGTGTGTGTGTGTGTGTGTGTGTGTGTGTAAAGTTTGTGGTCCTACATGACAGATACGTCTGTGAAAGAGTACAAAAAGTCACAAGAGAAAAGTAAGATACTGAAAATGAATGTATCCCAGTGGGGTGACACTTTTTTCTCATGTGTGACTACATCTTATTGTAAAAGAGGCAAAAAGGATAGAGAATGAGTGAGACTATCATTGTCTATTTACAGGCTTAAGAAGTGCCCCCTAGTGAGGTTTTTATTTTAGGAAAGTCAAGTGGGATAACCAATAATTTGTTAACAATTATTTCAACTGTTATTGATGCATCAGCTCTTTCCCATTATTTTGTTCCTACATCGTTTGAATTTAATTTCACCCTTTGTTTTCATTCAATTATCAAAAAGCTGTATTTTTGTTTAGAGAGACAATTTATCAGGAGTCAGAATTAAGTCATAGTCAACTGTGCTACAAATTAAAGAATTCAAAATCTTGTATCAATTTTTTCAGTGAGTTTTGTATCTCTAAATTCACTTTAGTAAGTAAAGTTTTTCTAAGGGTTCAGAGTTTGTCTCCTGACTTACCTGCACCACTCATGAAAATGTAAAATTACTAATAAAATATCTTTAGAAATGACAAAAAAGAAAAAGTCTTAAATTACTTGTACATTGGATTGATTGTTTTTCTTTTTCCACTTCTAGATTGAATACAGTTCCGAAGTGCAGCTAAATCTGCTGCGGCTAAACAGCAATTATGTGACCCAGCGTTTTACATACTTTTGCACCAATTCAGCAGCTTGGTATGATCAAAAATCACGGGGCTTTGAGCATGCGTTGACATTAATGGGTAGCAGTGACCACGAATTTGAAACCAGAGATCTTTCAGGTGATGAAGTGCCTTTTGATGGTTGTAAGGTAAGAAGGACTTGTTTTCCCTATTAGACACACACACAAACTAAAAATCTAATTTGTCCAAATATAAAGACAAAAGAATATTTGTATCCAATTCTCAAAAAAAAAACACACTTGTAAACATGTATTCTTGTTTAATTTAAAAAAATCCCCATCTCTTTTTACACAGGATTGTTTTCTGATAAAAAAAAAAACCCAAAAAAAACAGCATTACTTTATGAAAATTATGTCAGTCATAGTTGAAAATTTTCAGCATCTGATGGATTTAAATTCTTATGACATTTTATATGCATTTCTGCTAAAGGTCTTAAATCTTTCCTAAATTATCTTTATTACATTCTTTTAAAGATTGTTCAATCTTGTTTAAAGATCAGAAATTAGTTTAAAATCTGAACATAAATAGGGTGTACTTGAAAAACAGGTAATTTGTTTTTTAATTTCATAGAATTTAAAAGTTATGAATACAGAACTCCTTTTTGAGTCCCTTAGAAAAATGATTCATTTTAATAATTATAACACTGGAATTTTTTGCAAAACATTAATATTTTATTGCAGTTGCAAAATATTTAGAACCTTAATCTTTTCTTGGTGCATAGATAATAAAGCATTTCTTGGTAAATCTATGAGGATAATTATTGAGTAGCTTCAAAATGACTTTATTTTCTGTATTTAATAAGTACAATGTCCCCATATGGTTATATTTAATAAGACATTTTATCATGTTTCAGTGCTTTGTGGTTTGGCTCAATAGTAAAGAATTTTTTAATGGTTAAAAATCAGATTTCAATTCTAAATGCTGCACTGTAATTTTAAGAAGCTCTTTGCTTAGTTACTCAAACTTTTCCTACAATATCATTATTTTTATGGGTCCTAATCAAAAGGACAGTTTTTCCTTTAATGCAGCTATTATTTTATACTACTTTCATTCCCTTGGCAATGTTTATTTACAGTAAATATCGCATTATACTTGGTTCACATATTTTTATAATCTTGTAAATAAACATTGCAGAGGGAATGAAATTGTGAAAAATAATAGTGGTGTCAAGGAAAAAAAAATCACCTTTTTGACATTTTTTACAGGCATGAACTTTAAACATTGACTTTTTTTTCTCTACGGCTTTAGGTTGAAAGATAAATGGAGAAAATTCTTGACATGAACAAATATTCTTGTGTTGGTCTTTCTGCTGATTTATATTATTTAGCACATTTTAATAGAATTTAGCATTTAGCAAGTACACTGTTGTACAAATTGATTGAAACAACTGCTTTAGTTTTCTTTCTTTCACCATACAGTCAGTTTTAGACACACTGAAATGATAGGGTGTAATTGATTTCTATTTTTAACTCAGATTAGATCATCTTCAGTGATGTGTAGTAATATGAATCTATTTTCAAGATGTATGATGAAATTTGTTTGGCCTTGAAAGTATTTGTGTCATCTATGATTCCATCAGATTTTTATCACACCCAGACACTATTGTCCCATGGCCATTGTCTGTGATGGACATTACTCCAAGGAAGCATATGAAAATTGTAACACTGCACAAGCACACTGGCAAGCCTTACTGGTGAGCAAATCAAAGTACTATAGACTGGCCTAAAACTCTCATGATTTAATTCCAATTGACAATCTGTGGTCAATCTACAAGGATGACTTCTTGGAATGGACATACATGTGCACTGGGTCATGTTTCATTGGAAAAATATGAAAAAAAGTAAATAATAATGAAATTACTCATTTTGTTTCAATTAATTTGCACAAGGGTGTAATTTACATTTATTGGTTAACTTTAAGCATGAAAAAAAACTAATTCCAAATTTGTACCAAATTTGCCCCCTTAGGTATTTCTGTCATTATTGAGAGTGGAAAATAATTTGCAGTAGAAAGTTTTAAAGCTGTTTGTAATTTTATTTTTTAGCAATTAAGTAATTACTCCTACTTACACTGTGATCATGATCTTCATTTTTAAAAGCTACAACAGTCACCTTGATTAGATAACAACTAGTACAATATAATTATACTCTATAAATCATCATTGATGGCATCTTTGAATATAGTAAAATGTAGCTGACTCATCCCCTAAAAGAGAATTCAGATGTAGAAACAGCTGAGTTCTAGGTTATGTTTACTATTATAAATATTTACACAACTGCTAAAATAATATTTCTGACAACCTTTATATATTTTTCTCTGAACACTAAAAGTGAAAAAAGTCTTTTGGTTGTTCTGAACTGAAGAACAAGGAAAACGGTCATTATCTTTATTGCCTCTCCTCATAATCTTAAAGTTCCTACCACCTCCTCTTTCACTCATATCACACACCATTACGTTAACATTTTAACAATAGCCCTTCACCTTATATTGGGTAAATTCTATTTTTCTACTCCAAATTTTGAAAGAAGGCATTATCTTGTATTTGGATAAAATGTTGCCTTTGAGCAGTAAGCTGATTGCAGTCTGGTTTAACTTGCCAAACAAATATCCCCTAGAAAGTAAAGAAATTTGTCTATGTTTTTATTTTTTAATTTGTTACTATCATTAAACTGACCCCAGCAGTTCACAGTGAACATACAGCATCAAATCACTTAACAACATTTCATCACTTTCAGTCTGTTTTATTTAATGATAATTTGTTATTTCTAAATTTAATCATTTCCATTTTGTCTTTTCCTTTTTTACAGGATCATCGATCAAACACATATTCTATGTTTGAAATTCGTACACGTAAGCTGGACTGGCTTCCTATACTCGACTTTATGCCTAAAGATTATGGAGAGCCCTGGCAACAGTTTGGTTTTGAGGCTGGACCTGTCTGTTTTAGTTAAATAGCCACAGCTTTACAAGGCAATTCTATCTATGCACACAGTCCTAAGACCAGCTGTTGGCACCATGACAAGGACAAGTTTCTAAACAATGTTTATAAATAACTTTGTACAGGAAATAATGTTCATGGACTTCTAATAAAAACCAGTTTACCGCACGCAGCCTCCAGCCTTTGGTTTTTCCATAAAGACAGCTGCTAATATGTGGGTGGATACAGTCATGTCACATTTCTGCCTGAATTTTCATTTTTTTTTCTTCACAGCAATATGCCTTTCAAAATCTTCAGGTTCTCTGGAGAGAAAATAAAAGAAAAAACAGGAGAGATTTAAAAAAAAAAAAAAAAAAAATGTCGATATACCAATTCCTGTGATGATGATCATTATCATTTTTTTTAGTTCAACAACACCCATTAAAAAAAGTCAAATAAAATCCCATTAAAAGAAGCCCACAACATCGATTTTGTAGAAAATGACACAAATAAAAAAACTTTCATTTTTTTTAATTTGAGTTGTGAAATTCTTAATTAACTCAGTTTCTCCTCCTGCTCAGCATTCTGTCTGTATGAAGAACATGGGAACTTAACACCACTGTCTGCCTTGCACAGCTGGTTAATATTATGACGATCCTATAAAACAACCATCTCGTCATGTAGTCAGAAACAGCACACCTGGTTTGAAAATGAAAAAAAAAAACAAAAAAAATTAAAATTAAGTTCTAAACAAATTGGATTAAGGATTTGGCAAATAAAAAAAAATTTTATTTTATATTGAATTTATGTTCTTTGTTTTTTTGCCTATCATTATTGTCAGAAAAATTCTTGGAAAACAGAAACTCTTGTAAAATTTGTAAGACATGAAATAAATAACTACCTTTGAAAGGTAATATTCGCCAAAATTATTTTGTGTGGAGTTGAATAAAGATTTTATTTAAAAAGCTGAGGGCTCAGTTGACAAAATCTGTAATCACTTTGTAGATTTACAAGTACGTGAATAGATTGCATCTTGATTCTTAGCCTTTTATATAATCCTCACAATTTAGTAAAAAAAAGATTAAGAAGACATACTTAACTTAGGAAATAAAAGTTGGGAGTTTACAATTAAAAGATGAAAGAAAATTACTATTTTTACAGATTACTTCTTTTCTGCATTTTTCAACTATATCTTCTTGTTGACCATTCGGGAATGACCATTTCCATTTTTTTATATAAGAAATTTTTTCTTAAATATTTTTTAAAGGATCCAATAAAAAAAAACACAACATTATTAATAATTTGAAACCAGGTCTGGTGACAGAGATAGTTGACAGTGGACAAGGTACAGGGCAGGATTTCAAAGGCTGATTTTCAAGGTAGACAAAAATTTGTTAAGGTTAAGGCAACAATATTCTGAATTCTTTTTCACTTAGTCTTGTGTCATAACAAATTAACCTGAGTAAATATAAATGAGGTCAGTGTGCTAACCACTTCACTAGAAGCAAGTATGGTGCATAAAATCATTTTTTTTTTTTTTTTTTTTTACTAGAAAGATTGTATCAGTTACTAATAAGAAAAATATAATTCTGGAATTACTCCACCTGAAATTAAGGAAACTCAATTTGAAACATTTCATTGTTGTAAAAATGTCCAGAAAGATATGTTGGAGGCAAAACCTTCACTAATATTTCTAAAACAGTAATTTATGTGCAATAAGGCAGGTTAAAATAACTTTCTAAAACACCTTTTAAATAATACTTCACAAATCAAAAGAGATCCAACAAATATATAACAAAAATCCAATTTAGATAAAAAAAAGTTTTATAATCATAATATATATATATATATATAATTGAAAATGAAAACAAGACTAGCCTACAACAATAAAACCAAAAGCTAAACCTTGTCTGGAGGAGAAAATAAAAAATCTCCACTCCAGACCAACACAAATTACTAAATAAAATATCCAATCATATCTCAAAATGCGGACATTAAAACATTTTTACTGCGTTATTTTAAAATTGAAGACTAAAAGCAAATATCCTATTTAAACATTCCCAAGAAAAACGCAAATATATGCATTATATTGTCATCAGCTTTATGTCGTATCTAAGAATTTAATTTCTTCTTTGCTGATCGTTTTCTTTGTGATGATGGTGTTGATGACTAAATTCACTACCAATGTGCAAGTTCAGGACTAGAAGCTTCCAGTTCTACTAAAACCTACTCCTGTCATCCATTCCTTATTGCCATTTGGCTTTGCAAGAGTTGGTTGAAGGTGAGAGAAAATCAGAGTAGAAGAAAGTGCCAATGGTGTGAATTTGTTTAAGGTCGACTTCAACTTGCCAGGAAGTGACCCACACACTTGATTTCATGACCTCCCTCTGTGGCACATAGGGAATAAGACATGCTGAATCCAGTTATAAAACTGCAATGGACTGCCACTGACTCTGTTATAATTTTGAGTGGCACCTTCTGTAGCCTGTTTATCATGCATAGCCCTCTTCATCTGCTGGTTCAGCCATTGAGATCTGTTGTAATCATCATCTGCTTGTTCCAACATCAATACCTTAAACAAATAAGATAACCACACATCCATAAAAATAATAACATAATAAAATAAAATAATAACCTAATAAAATAAAATTATAAATTAACAAAATGTATAAATGCAAGTACAACCGAGTCATACTGCAATTCATGCTTGGAAATGGAAAACTATCTCAAATCTTGTTCCACTGATAGTGAAGATTTTTAGTTTTGGTTTGGGTATGCAGTAGAAAAAAATAAGAATTAAGATTATAATTACTATATTTGATAGTGTATAAGACACACTTCAATTTCAGCAGGGCAAATCAAGAAAAAATTAGTGAAATTAGTAAACCTACATATAGCATATATAACGCAGGGGAATTTTAAAAGATATTTTTAGTAAAAAAAAAACAGTGTACCTTATATGCCGTCAAATACGGTAATTGGGCTTGAAAAATTTATCCTCTTTATCTTAGTATATTTTTGCTTTAATAAGGTCTTACTTATTACAATTAATATATAATTTGGTGGAACTTCAGATCCATAAACTTCCCACCCCATTAACAAGGATGTACAAAACGTTAAATGCATTTTAATCTTTGAATTAATTATCTATGTTAGAAAAGTTTGATGAAACAAAAACCATATTGGAACTTTGAATTCTGGAAGAAAAATATGAAATGAAAGTAAATTTTTTATTTTATTTATTTTAGAATTTAGAAATAAATTAATTATTGTTATGTTGACTTATTTTGTCTGAATAAACATTTTTATCATTATAAAAGTAGAAAAATTTAACTCTTAAACATGTGTGGTTAAGCATCAGGGTTAGGGTTAATATTTCATACACCTTGTTTACAATATCTAAAAATATTGAAAATTTATTGAATTTAATTATGACACTGAGTTTACATAACAACGTTCTTAAATGATTTTCATTATTTCTTTTGCATAAAATATCATGTTTGTTACTATTTTATCTTTTTTAATGATAAACTAAACAAAAATTCAGAATTTTTAAATACCTTTTAAAAAGAAAAACACTAATTACTCATAAAAAATTCTTTTTTTTTATTATCAATATATTTGTTTTTTTATGAATAACAAAATCACACAAAAATAAAGTTAACCATTAGTATATATGCATTTATAAATAAAAATTTCATGAAGAAGAATATTAAATTAAGTGAAATTTTAAAATTAACTTTCAAATTTCCTAAATTACATTTTTTAGTCAATTTCACACAAAAAACGTTTGTTTTTGCAATGAAAAATTAATATATGAAATCTGAAGAAAATGAAATAAATAAATCATATCCTTACTTCAATTAAATCAACTAAAGTTATTCTAAATGTAAAAAAAAAAAAAAAAAAGTTTCTTAAGCCAACTTCAACAGTAAACTACTTCAGACCCAAACTGAAGCTAAAATCTTCATTCCCAATGAAAGAACAAGATTTGAGACTGGCCTCCAGTTCTGGGTGAGAACTGCACTATGATTTGGCCTTTAGTAAAGAATGCCATGCAACTAAATAAATTTAATAATAACAATTAGTAGTAAATAATTAATGAATAAATACAAAATACCCTAAAGCAATTAATGATGAATAATAATTTTAAAATTAACAAACAATACTATAAAATGTCTATGAATAACTGCATTCTGGCCCATAATTATTTCTATTCAAAGGCCTTTAGAATAAATTAAAATAACTTTTCACCTATCTGATAGCCATTAGAATAATAACATAAACCAGAAATAACTGACCTTGCTCCACATAATGACTCCCCAATGACTAGCATATATAGGCATGCAACTATTCAACCCAAAATGCCTGAAGATTATATATATATATATATATAAACTTTTCCTTCAGTGGCCAAATGTTATAACTCAACCAAAAGTTCTAACAAACCATTCATGGATTGATTTGAAGAACACTTGTTTCTCTGTGACCTTATTTGATTGATACTTTAACAAACTGGTTACTTGAAATGTATATCTTGTATTTCACTGTATCAAAATGACTTCAAATTAACCAAAACTATCACTTCATGTCACTCAACTGCTGACTATTTATGTACTTTGACCTTCAGTTGAACAGAAATGACAGGAGGTAGACATTCCAACAACAGTGAAAGTAACCTTAAACTGAATTATCCAGTATTTTCATAAAAAAGACAAGCTTAGTACTTTTTATTTCATGAACAAAGATCTAACTTGTTTTCATCCACTATTTATAACAAAAATAAAAATATTCTAGCAAATTCAATATAAACTTGCTGATTTGATTAGCAAGTTGTCAAATGATAGCATCATCTGGAGAGGAATAATAAAAAATGTTTTACAAAAAATCTCATTTGGATTTAAAATAAGAAAATGTTAAAATGAGTTTTTTTCCAAAGGTCTTAGTTTCCTGAATGCAAAAATAAGCTGTATTTTTTCTAATCTTTCCCTTGTACTTGAAACTCTTTCTCTGATTTAAAATCTCAGTCAGAAC